TAATTTAATTTTTTAAATAATTTAATTTGTTTAATAATTTAATTTTTTTTTTAAGAATTTAATTTTCTTTAATAATTTAATTTTTTTAATAACATAATTTTTTTAGTACATACCTAATTTAATTTTTTTAATAATAAAAAAATTTTTTTTTAATAATTATTAAATTTATTTAGATGAAAATTAATAATTAATTTTTTTTTTTAGTCTCAGCAACAACCACCAGCTCAGTCACCCCAGCAGCAGCAACAACAACAAGGGCCTCCTCCTCAAGGCCCACCTCAGCAGCAGCAATCTCAACAAGGAGCCCCGCAATCGCAACATCAACAATCACCGAGTCCAGTTCCGAGTAATTTCCCTCCAACTTCAGGTCCAATTTCTCAAGGTCCACCGTCCGGACCCCCAGGTCCGCCGGGACCGCCCCAACAACCTCCTGGAGGATACGGGCCTCCTCAATCTCATCCAGCGACGACGCAAACTTATGTACCTCCGGGATCTGGTCAACCACCTCAAGGCTATCCTACTCATCCTCCGGGTCAAGGAGGTCAACCTCATTACGGACACCCGCAGTATCCTCCTCAAAATTACCCGCCTCATCCGCCACCGCCTTCTGGTCAAGGTTATCCTCAGTACCCTCCTCGTGGTCCGCCTGGTGGTCACATGCCACCGCCTCCTGGTCCTCAAGGTCCTCCGCCGCCGAATCAGTATGCTGGATATGGTTATCAACAACCGCCACAGTAAAATAATGAATGAGACTTTTTTTTAATTAATTTGATTATAGAATTTGTGCTATTTAATAATGTGTAATGTAATGATTTTTTGCATTGTAATTTTTATATTTTATATGTAATAATTTGACGATAATGGATTTAATAAACGGATTTTTTGTTGTAATTGTGGGTCGTTTGTGGAATAAAAATGATTTTTTAAATCTTAAAAATGTTTGTATTTTAATATTGTTTTATTTCTTAACAATAAATATCGTTACAAGAAATCTTTATATTTGTTCGATAATTATGATCTCAGAAGCTCAGAACTGGAAAAAACATTAAACAAAATACTTAATAACATTTTTTGATGGTATAGGTTTGAAACTAACTTTTAGTTTTAATTTTCTAATAACGGTTTTCTGAAATAAAATTCTGATTGAATATTTTAATGGGATGGTCTTTGATCCGCCTTCAAAAATTATAGGTCTACACATAGTAAACGTACATTTGACATAAGATGCTCTCACTTGTGTAAGGAGAATGGAAAAATTTTCTAAATTTTTGGATTATAATAATTTTATTTGTTTTTCTACTTGCAGAAAAAAAAATTACTTAACGCCATCTACAATTTTCTCGGAACTATATATTTCAACATTTTTCAACAGTATAAAACATTTTTTCTCTAAAAAAAAACTATCACATATAATTTGCATGAGAATGACAAAAAAAATTGTATTGAGATTAGCAAAACTCGAAAAATATTTCTTTCTTTTACATTCCTTTACAATAAATCTAGCGAAAATTAAATAATGTCCATATTAGAGTGACGTTTTACTGTAACTATAAAATTATGTTTTCTTGGTTTAATGGGATGGTCTTTGATCCGCCTTCAAAAATTTTTTAGTTGAGTTTGGTATTCTTATACCGTATACCAGTCCAAACCAAAACAATCATAAAGTGATTGGTACGCATAAATGATCATAATTTTTGAATATAAAAGCTTGATTGTTTTTTGTACCTGTGAAAATCTTGAAGAACATTACGCCATCTAGTGTTTTTTCTCCAACCACCTTCCAAAGAAAACACATAAATTATGAAATCTCAAAATATTTACTTATTTATTAGTTTCCTACAAAATTAATTCCTTAAATTATAATTCATTCTTCAATTCAGACTTTACTTGTCTTTTTTCTATATCATTTACACATTTACAGTCATAAGACGACTGAGGCACTTCCTCCATCCCTTCAAGTACTTTTATTTTATTCTGTATCCTTTTACTCCATTCCTAAAATAAAACCCCATATTATTTAACTCACAAAACACTATCCAAATTATTAATATTAAAATTTATAAATACCTGTAACAAATGCACATGGTAACAAAACACATCTCGCGGTAACGCCGCAACGTCTCTCATCAATCTCCTACCAGCTTTCGCAATTTTCAACGCCTCACCATCATTACTCTTAGCCCATTTAATTTTCTCTACTAGATCCGATAAATCATGCTTCACCGGAACATAATGTTCACCAGGAACTGTATGATGATAAAAAAATTCATAATACTTCGACTCTTGCTTAAATACCAACGAGTCTCCAGCGAGTAAATATGGAAACCGATACGCTGCAACAGTCCCATCAATATTTAATTGATATTTATACTAAAAGTTAAACACAAAATTTCATTAATAATTTAATTACACTAAAAATTAAACAAACTAATTTTTTAATCAACTACCTTGAAAAAATCAAAAAACGAAGTATGTTTCTCTCCAGGTCCATATTTATCCATTTCATTTTTAAAGAAAAAGAAATTTGTTATAGAAGCATTAAAAAGATCTGGATTTTTTCTAGCAATATCAATTAAATCTAATCTTTCTCTTCTTGAATCTCGACCACGCCAAAATACCTTTTCAATTTTCTTTTCCCAGGGTGTCTTAATATTTCCTTGAACTGATAACATATCCAACATTACTCTGCAAGAATAATTAATAAATAAGATTTTTAAAAATAAATAACAAATTAAATAAACAATAAATAAAATAATTAATCAAAATTTCACAATAATTTTTCTAAAATTAAAATTTTTATATCATAAAATAATTTAAAAATGAAAAATTAGTTACCTTCCCATATTTTCTAACGAAGATTCAGTAATATCATAAGTAGGCAAAATAATATCATTAGTTTCCTCAGACCCACACCAAGAAAACATCGGATAAGCCTTCTTAATTTTAGAAATCAACGGCCAGTCTCCTAAATTCATAAAAAACTCCACATCAGGCAGCCTAACTTTTCTCGCCAGGGACAGTAAAATCGAATCCGAGAACATCTTGAACCCAACATGTTGTCCATAACAATTCCTGTAAATCTACGGCCATTTAAAATTGCTAATGCATTTTAATTAAATCAATTAACAATAATTAAAACTCATGAAACAGTTAATCTAATCGTACCCTATTATCTTTAACAACATAATGACAAAAACTATGAGCATGAGGCTTATGGTACTCCTTAATCAGATCATCTCTTAGTTCATCAAAATTAATTGATGGAAATATTTTAAGGTCCTCAGTAATTTGGTGATATTCTATACCCTCCACCAACCACGCAGCAGAACTTCTCGCCTAATCCTCAGCAACAGCAGCAGCAACAACAGCAGCAACAGCAACAACAACAACAGCAGCAGCAACAACAGCAACAACCTGGACAGTACGGAAGTCCTAGTCCTCAGCCAAATTACCAACCTCCTTCCCAAGGTCCCAACCAGAACGCTTACGGTGCGGGTCAAACTCCTGGTAATTATCCTCCTCAGTCCTCTCAAGCTTATCCTAACAATGTTCCTCCACAGAATTATCCTCCTCCGCCTGCTACTTCCAATAACGTTGCTCAACCTAGCCAAGGACCTCCACAGCAGAGCCAGGGTGGTCCACCTCAAAACTACGCGAGTCAGCCGAGTCCCGGTGGAGGACCTCCAGCTCCTTATGGACCGTCTTCTACTTCTCCGCCGTTCAGTACCAGTAATGTGAGTGGGGTTAATACGTATGCTCCGAGTAACCAGCCGACGAGTACACCTTCTGCTTCCACTCAAACTTATCCACCGACTAGTGGACCTCCACCGGCTACTTCTCAAGCTGGTAGTTATGTTCCTGGGCCTACTCCTTCTGGGTATCCAGTTCATCAACCTTCGCATCAAGCCCATGGTCCCCATGGTCCTCATCCTGGATCTCATCAAATTCCGCATCCACCTCCATCTCAAGCACAACCTGGACCGCCTCCTCAGTCTCAGCCACCTGGACAGTCGCAGCAACCACCTCAACAACCTCCTCAGCAGCAACAGGTAATTTTTATTAAATTTTTTCAATAATTTTATTTTTTTTATGATTAAATTTTTCGAATAATTAAATTTTTTAAGTAATTAAATTTTTTTAATAATTTAATTTTTTCAACAATTTAATCTTTTTAATATTTTAATTTTTTTAATAATTAATTTTTTTTAATAATTTAATTTTTATAATAATTTAATTTTTTTCAATAATAAAAAAAAATTTTTTCTAATAATTATTAAATTTATTTAGATAAAGATTGATGATAAATTGTTTTTTTTTAGTCTCAGCAACAACCACCAGCTCAGTCACCCCAGCAGCAGCAACAACAACAAGGGCCTCCTCCTCAAGGCCCACCTCAGCAGCAGCAATCTCAACAAGGAGCCCCACAATCGCAGCATCAACAATCACCGAGTCCAGTTCCAAGTAATTTCCCTCCAACTTCAGGTCCAATTTCTCAAGGTCCACCGTCCGGACCCCCAGGTCCGCCGGGACCGCCCCAACAACCTCCTGGAGGATACGGGCCTCCTCAATCTCATCCAGCGACGACGCAAACTTATGTACCTCCGGGATCTGGTCAACCACCTCAAGGCTATCCTACTCACCCTCCGGGTCAAGGAGGTCAACCTCATTACGGACACCCGCAGTATCCTCCTCAAAACTACCCGCCTCATCCGCCACCACCTTCTGGTCAAGGTTATCCTCAGTACCCTCCTCGTGGTCCGCCTGGTGGTCACATGCCACCGCCTCCTGGTCCTCAAGGTCCTCCGCCGCCGAATCAGTATGCTGGATATGGTTATCAACAACCGCCACAGTAAAATAATGAATGAGACTTTTTTTTAATTAATTTGATTATAGAATTTGTGCTATTTAATAATGTGTAATGTAATGATTTTTTGCATTGTAATTTTTATATTTTATATGTAATAATTTGACGATAATGGATTTAATAAACGGATTTTTTGTTGTAATTGTGGGTCGTTTGTGGAATAAAAATGATTTTTTAAATCTTAAAAATTTGTGTTAATTTATTTTATGTATTTGATTATTTATATAAATCAAAACAGCACAATACTTTTTTAAATATACCAAGTTTTTCTTAGCTTGAATATTTTTTTACCATAGTAATGGTACTGTGTTCTGTGATAAATTGCGTACGCAAATCATTCTCTGGTTCACGTATAATTTATATATAGTTTAATTGTCTTATTTTGAATTTAAATCATGATGAGAAAAGTCTAACATATGATTTAAACCAGGCTTTAAAATGATTATTTTGTTTGATTTAGTTGATGGGGATGGTCTTTGATCCGCCTTCAAAAATTATATACGTGTCTAATGTACGTTTACATCTTGTCTTACTTATCGTAAGGTCTTACCAGACGATGCATTTTGAGTACGCAGAAAAATGAAAATTTTTAGAATATATCTATTTTATTTTATTTTCTACTTGCAGAAAAAAAAGTTACTTAACGCCATCTATAATTTTCACGAAACTACCTATTTTAACATGAAAAAATATTTTTCTCACAAAATAAATATAGAATACGCATTACAATGGAAAAGAAAAAAAACGCGAGGTTACTCCATCCCGAAAATATTTTTATTTGAATTTTCATGATACTAAGTTCTGTGGAAACATAATAAATTCCATATTTACTTGAGTAGTTTAGATATAGTAATATTAAGATTATGTTTTACTAGTTAAATGGGATGGTCTATGATCCGCCTTCAAAAATTATGATACGTTGATTTGGCATGGTATACAATACCGCAACCAAACACTTTAATTAGTATTATCAAACAATTGATAGCAAAACTACCTAATTTATGGAATATAAAATTTTTATTGTTATTTTCACTTACAACAGATTCTTAGAACATTTCGCCATCTATTGACTACTCATGGAGTAGTCTTTATTCAATTTCTCACTTAAAAAAAAAAAAAAAAAAAACCAAATAAGTATAATCAAATTTTGAACATTTTTTTTAATCAAAGTTTTTATTAAAACTATCGTAGTTTAACATTATCATAATTCATTTTTGAACTCAGACTTAACTGTTCTTTTTTCAATATTATTCACACATTTACAATCGTAAGACGGCTGATGTACTTCCTCCATCCCCTCAAGTACTTTTATTTTATTTTGTATCTTTTTACTCCATTCCTAAAATAAAAAACAATATCATTTAACTCATAAAACATTATCCAAATTATTATTATTAAAATTTATAAATACCTGTAATAAATGCACATGATAACAAAACACATCTCGCGGTAACGCAACGTCTCTCATCAATCTCCTCCTACCAGCTTTCGCAATTTTCAACGCCTCACCATCATTACTCTTAGCCCATTTAATTTTCTCTACTAGATCCGATAAATCATGCTTCACCGGAATATAATGTTCACCAGGAACTGTATGATGATAAAAAAATTCATAATACTTCGACTCTTGCTTAAATACCAACGAGTCTCCAGCGAGTAAATATGGAAACCGATACGCTGCAACAGTCCCATCAATATTTAATTGATATTTATACTAAAAGTTAAACACAAAATTTCATTAATAATTTAATTACACTAAAAATTAAACAAACTAATTTTTTAATCAACTACCTTGAAAAAATCAAAAAACGAAGTATGTTTCTCTCCAGGTCCATATTTATCCATTTCATTTTTAAAGAAAAAGAAATTTGTTATAGAAGCATTAAAAAGATCTGGATTTTTTCTAGCAATATCAATTAAATCTAATCTTTCTCTTCTTGAATCTCGACCACGCCAAAATACCTTTTCAATTTTCTTTTCCCAGGGTGTCTTAATATTTCCTTGAACTGATAACATATCCAACATTACTCTGCAAGAATAATTAATAAATAAGATTTTTAAAAATAAATAACAAATTAAATAAACAATAAATAAAATAATTAATCAAAATTTCACAATAATTTTTCTAAAATTAAAATTTTTATATCATAAAATAATTTAAAAATGAAAAATTAGTTACCTTCCCATATTTTCTAACGAAGATTCAGTAATATCATAAGTAGGCAAAATAATATCATTAGTTTCCTCAGACCCACACCAAGAAAACATCGGATAAGCCTTCTTAATTTTAGAAATCAACGGCCAGTCTCCTAAATTCATAAAAAACTCCACATCAGGCAGCCTAACTTTTCTCGCCAGGGACAGTAAAATCGAATCCGAGAACATCTTGAACCCAACATGTTGTCCATAACAATTCCTGTAAATCTACGGCCATTTAAAATTGCTAATGCATTTTAATTAAATCAATTAACAATAATTAAAACTCATGAAACAGTTAATCTAATCGTACCCTATTATCTTTAACAACATAATGACAAAAACTATGAGCATGAGGCTTATGGTACTCCTTAATCAGATCATCTCTTAGTTCATCAAAATTAATTGATGGAAATATTTTAAGGTCCTCAGTAATTTGGTGATATTCTTCAGAACATTCATAATTTTTCAGCCAGCTTTCTACTGACTGATTCGGGCAGTAGCACTCTTCTTCATACACCGGACCTGAATTATTTAAATCATCAATAATAAATTACTCCAATAATTCATGTTATATCAGTAGCTTATATAATCAATTACTAATTACTAATTACCTTTTTCGTGTATTGATCCAGCAGGTAAAATTTCATTATTAATTACTACTTTAATATTTAAATTATAACAAGTCTCGAACAGTTTATATCTAATTATAAAACTTCCATCATTGCAATCCAATACTTGGGTCCAGATTCTGCATCCATGATTGTTTTTATTTAGTCCAGTTACTTTGGCTTGAACAATTGATTCTGTTGGAGACTGGGTCAAGCTGGAGATTTAAAAAAAATTATTTTTTAACTAAATTATTTAACAATTATAAATTAAAAATTAAAAATAAAATAGATACTGACTTTTTGCCCTCAGAATTAATTAATTGGATAAAAAAATACCGAGAACGCATGGTAATTTTTGCAGGACTTAATCCTGGACCCCATAATACTGATTTTGATGGATCAACATCAATCGCTAATACACTGATACAACTAATTGTGATTATTATTATAAACATTTGATTAAACTGCATTTTATAACCTATATTACACTAATTGAGTTAAGTTTAAATTAATTATTATCTTTTTGAAATATATATCTTTAGTTAGCAATATTCAAGTAAAAAATATAAATCTATTAGTAATTTTTAATTTTTGAAATATATATCTTTAGTTAGCAATATTCAAGTAAAAAATATAAATCTATTAGTAATTTTTAATTTTTGAAATATATATCTTTAGTTAGCAATATTCAAGTAAAAAATATAAATCTATTAGTAATTTTTAATTTTTGAAATATATATCTTTAGTTAGCAATATTCAAGTAAAAAATATAAATCTATTAGTAATTTTTAATTTTTGAAATATATATCTTTAGTTAGCAATATTCAAGTAAAAAATATAAATCTATTAGTAATTTTTAATTTTTGAAATATATATCTTTAGTTAGCAATATTCAAGTAAAAAATATAAATCTATTAGTAATTTTTAATTTTTGAAATATATATCTTTCTAAAGCATTATTCAATTTTTTTGTTACATATCTATAATTTTAAAAATATATACTATTATTATTAACAACATTAAATGTTTGAAATATATCTTTTTTTTAGCAATAATTAAGTCAATAATATATATCTATTAGCAATATTCAATTTAGAAATATTTATCTATTATAGCAAGCAATTATTAAATTAGTAATCATATCTATTAGCAATTTTTGAAATATATATCTTTCTAAAGCATTATTCAATTTTTTTGTTACATATCTATAATTTTAAAAATATATACCTATTATTATTAACAATATTAAATGTTTGAAATATATCTTTTTTTTAGCAATAATTAAGTCAATAATATATATCTATTAGCAATATTCAATTTAGAAATATTTATCTATTATAGCAAGCAATTATTAAATTAGTAATCATATCTATTAGCAATTTTTGAAATATATATCTTTCTAAAGCATTATTCAATTTTTTTGTTACATATCTATAATTTTAAAAATATATACCTATTATTATTAACAATATTAAATGTTTGAAATATATCTTTTTTTTAGCAATAATTAAGTCAATAATATATATCTATTAGCAATATTCAATTTAGAAATATTTATCTATTATAGCAAGCAATTATTAAATTAGTAATCATATCTATTAGCAATTTTTGAAATATATATCTTTCTAAAGAATTATTCAATTTCTTTAATGTATATCTATAATTCACAATATTTGATTTTCAAGTCATATATCTATTATTAGCAATATTCAATGTTTGAAATATATATTTTTTTAAGCAATATTCAATTATTTCAAAATACATCTATCATCAGTAAAATTCAATTAAAAAATATACATCTATTGGTAATTCTTGAAATATATATCTTTTTAAAGTATTATCCAATTTTTTCAATATATAATCTATGATCCACAATATTTAAAATATCAATTTTTTAGCAATATTCAATTACTTCAATATATATCTATGAGCAATAATTTTTAATTTTTGAAATATATACATTTTTAAGCAATATTCAATTTCTAGTAGATACCAATAAGCAATATTCTAATAAACCTTTACACCCTCTATCAATATTCAATCTTTAAAATCCATATCCACTATTAGCAATATTAAATTTTTTAAATATATCCATTTTTTTGCAATATTCAATTTATATATTTTCCTAATATTTGCAATATTCAATCTTTAAAAAATATATCCAATAATATTCAATTCAATAATATAAAACACTCATAATGACTAATACTCAACATCATTACCACGATCCATCAACCTCTGAAAGAATAAATCCATTTCCAGTACATCATCTCAAAAATAACCTTTCTCTCTTCCTGAACTTTTCCTAAAAAATAAAAATCATAAATAAAATTCACCATCCATAAAATTCCATTAACCAATTAAAAAACTTACTTAAGATAATTTCAATATAAAATCACGCTTGAACAATGCTTAATTTTCCACGTCCTGTCACAAAATGGTCCTCTAAACCCACTTCTCCCTTCCGGCCACTTCACGCCCTCAAAAACGCTTTAAAACAAAAACCCGAACCCTCAACCGCTAACAGAGCCCTCTACTTTACCACCCAAACTTGCAATTACAAATTAGCCTTTACACAAAAAAAAAGGTGGCGCTGTCCCGCGACTCAATAAAAAAAACACTCCCAGCTGCTCCCAACCGAGCGAATTCATTCCTTTCAACAAAAATACAGCTTCAACGTGCGCAAGTAACACAATACATCCAAGTACAACCGTTCATACATTTTAAGAGGGGGTATGAATAAACAGAGGTTAACTTATCGAACACACAACTACCCTAGTCAGCAATAAGCAATACCGCGAGCAAGTACACACACACATATATATATACTAAGCTTCAGTCCGCTACATCAGTACTACACTCTACACTAGTCTATCGGTGTCTGCTGGTCTGCCAAGACCTAACGTCTAATATAATCTCTGTTTCCAGACAATAGATCCGTGATGTCATCTGTCACCCGTCAACTGCCGCCTGATTACAATTTTCCATAAAACAATACGGCGTTGACTTAATCATCACCAAGATCATTATCATCTTCACCAGTCAAGTCCAAGTCATTGACCACTGACCACATCATCATCAACCAGCGTGTTATTATTGGATTAGTGTAATTTTTTTCCTGATTTTTTCATCTGAACATCCGTTAAGAATTTGTGTCATTATTATTACATTGCATTACTTTGGAAATACCGAAAGAAAATTACAATTTAAATTGTATGACTGACTCAGCCCATAAAATACTATTGACAGTTAACTTCCACTCTCTTCTCAAAAGTAAGCACTAATATAACTGTACAGCATTATATTAAGTATTAAACAACTAAAGTATTCAGTACTTGCCAGTTCAGAGTTCCAGTCAGTCTCTGCTGTCTCTCTAGTCAGCTTTAACATTAATTTACTGGGTCTCAACTTTAATAGGCCTACTGTACTGATATATATGACGCATGCTGGACTTCTGGACATTACATGCCGGACTTGTAACTTGTAAAATAAATGCTGCTTCCGTGTCCCTTTAATAGGTGAGTCGTTTCCATACCTACGTAAAGTAAATAAACACTCATATAAATACAACACATGTAAATTATATATGTAAGTAAGACCGAGTTAGATTTAAGTTCATTTTATTTATAGATAACGTATTTAGAATGTGGGCACTACACTCGCAATCGTCAGAGCTTTAATATTCTGTATTAGTTTCAGTATTGATACTTGACTCGCTTGACCGTAAGACAGTTATTACCAATGGACAGTAAATCTAATAAAAGTTTTTTAGAGCTTCAAGTTTTTAAAGTTTAAATTTGATTTGGATTAATAATAATACTTGGAGTTTAGTTTGGTTTGGTTTGGTTTGTTGGTGAAGTATAATAAATGTTTGCCAAGTGTTTTATGAAGAAAACAGAGTCGACGGTAAGGTTCATTGATCTCCAGATTCCATTCTCATGTAACAAAGCGCAAATTGATGCCGGTTAAACCCTTCTTACATTTACATTACGTTATTTAATTTTTCCTGTGAGAATTTTACATTTTATGCTTCATGTGTGTTTAGAGGAGTTTTCATTAAAGTTTACTTACAGTGAAAAGTAAGAGTCACGTTTTAAATAACCTTGGAGAATTTAGAACTGCCGGCTCTGAGCTGGCAAGTTAATAAATTATTTAATGTTCATTAATTGAGTTGTTTAGAAATTTATTTTTTTAATCTAAGGCTATTTTTATTTTATTTATTAAATTGATTTTTCCTGTGTCAAGTCCGTAAGGTGCGTAATAAATATTCTTAATTTTTCTAAGTAAAAAAATTTTGAATTTTTAAATGACTGAAAAATGATTTAATTTTTATTAAAAAATTTTTTTAATAGTTTAAAAAATTTAATTTATTAAATAAAAAATATTTGTTATTTAAAGTGAAATATTTTTATAAAAGTAATTTAATATTGTAATTTGACAGTAAAAATTATTTCCAAGAATTAAGCAAAAATTATATTAAAATTTTTAAAGGACTGAAAATTAGTTGATTTAATTAAAAAAAAAAAAATTTTTTTAATAGTTAAAAAAATTTTAATATTAATTTAATTAAATAATTAAAAAATATTTGTTATTTTTAATGAAATATTTATATAAAAGTAATTTAATATTGTAATTTGACAGTAAGAATTATTTCCAAGAATTAAGCAAAAATTAAAAATAAATATTAAACAATGAGCGTATTTAGATCACACGGTTACTGTCAGAGTATTGAAACTGAAACTCCAGTAGTGGTAGGAGCTATTAATAAAAAAAGGCTATTGTTCCTCAGCAAATATCAATATTGATCTTACAGTTGTGCTTTACTACGAACGAGTACTTGGAATTTTCTGTTAACTTATCAAGACCTGAATGAGTAAATAAATATTTACAATGTTTAACAGTGATTAGTGATCAGTGATTATTGATTACAATACTTCTATTATATTATATTGCTCTTATCCTAATTGATTAGTAACAATGACTAATGAATTTTCTTTTATCACAATCCCTAGGACCGAAACATGGCGTTATTGAAAATGAGCTCCAAGAAATGGTTGACGTCGGGCTATCCATCACTGCTGCCGGATGACAGACCAATCACAGCCATAAGTGTCGTCGAGGACATTGACAAATGTCCACCGAACTTCACTGTGGTAAGCCCTAGATTTTATCGACTTTGTTTGTTATCTATTATGTTTTTTAGTATCACCAGTCTATAATAAAACCAATCTAGTTTTACGGCTACGGCTGTGACATAGATTTAATCTAGTTGTAGAGTGTTATCTCTATAAAGTAAACTGATTGCTTAATTATTTAATCATGACTATTTATCATTATCAGATTTCCAAGACGTATGATCAAGATATTGACGCTGACCTTTGGCGAGAAAGTGGACTGTTTATCAAGAAGAAAGGTCGTTATATTTGTCACTCAAAAACAGAAGGTGTGCCGAATTATGTTGTACAAGAAATTACTGTTATTAATGAACGAGAGCTGCCGAAAGATGGATTTAGTATGATACCTCAGACACTAGACACTGGTTAGTTATTATTATTACTATTGTTAAATTGCACTGTACTTTCTTAAATATTGACGTTTTTAAAGATATAAGCTCATCCCGATGTTACACTCATCAAGAGCTTTCATTTGAGTACCCACATGTATTTTCATATATTTTTCATATATACATATATGTAATATATATAAATATATGAAAAATTGATGAGGGTATTCAAATGAAAGGTTTTGATGAGTGTAACATCGGAATGAGCTTATATCTTTAAAAATGTCAATAGTTATCAAGATACAAGGTAATTTCTTTAAATTGCATTGTACTTTCTTAAATATTGACGTTTTTAATGATATAAGGTCATTCCGATGTGACATTCATCAAGAGCTTTCATTTAAGTACCCACATGCATTTTTGATATATTTTTCATATATACATATATATAAATATATGAAAAATTGATGTGGGTATTCAAATGAAAGGTCTTGATGAGTGTAACATCAGGATGAGCTAATATCTTTAAAAATGTCAATAGTTCAGGAGATACAGGGTCATTTCTTAATTATGTATCTAGAGATAAAGCATTTTCGAATGCACAAATTCAAATCAAGACCTTTGCAATGACACTAAATTTCACTAAAAAAAACCGATTTTATTAAATGACTATTCTAAAGACAAAATTTTTCTTATTCTCTTAATGATATAGATTATTATTATTGCTTTGTTATATTTTAAAACGTCATATCGATTTTTAAAGGGCGTTTATTATTAAAATATTATTTTAGATCAAAAAGCATGGAGGAAAAAGCAGGTGTGTTACAAACTCCAGAATAAAGACTTGTGTTCAGTAGCTGTGACAGACATTATCGTGTGTAGCCGAATCAAAAAGGCCCCGTCTGGTTTCACATATGCCGGGTAAGTAGTTATTACTCAAACTGATAAGAGTTTCGTAAATAACTGAAGATTATACGTTTATCGAAAAAGTTATTTATTTCTCAGACTTGATAAATATATTTCATGTCTAATATATCTGCCATCTATTTTTTTTCCAGCGAGGTCAATGGAGTTATTATCTGTTACAAACTTAGCGCGTTAACTAATGGCGATGCTAGCTCACAATCTTACGAAAATATCAAGTTAGTACTAATTATTTTATGTCTTAATTTTAATTACTTAATAATTGTGTTTGATAAAAAAAAAATATTTTTTATCAGCATTCTTCAAAGCGTGTCACCGAATCTTTCAAACGGAGTACCGCACAGATCAGCGCCAGAACGACCGCCGAAGCCAAAGTTCTCACCGAAACCGCAGAACGGTAGCAGCAATGTTTATCCACAAATACCAGGAGGTATTGTGGCAAGTAAAAAAGAGCTCGATGAAACGAACGACCGTGACTATGAAGTGTTGAGTCCAAACGCAAGGATCAACAAACCTACAAGACCAGCACCTCAGCCTCCCACGTCTTCCCAAACGAGCAGTAATACTAGTAGCGGTTCTTCGGTGCCCCTCTATGGCACTCTGCCAGGTTCCTCTGACTTGGATGGCGTTCCTTTTGTACTCAATCCTCTGCTCATTGTTGACAGTGACCCTGTATTTGTGAGTAATTAATTTATAAAATAAAATAAATAATTTCCGTGTGTTTAAAATTTAATTTTATAAAAAAAAAAAATGTTATTTTGTGATAATTATAAATTTTACTTTTAAAATTACCTTAAAATTTTTTATTCTAAAGAATTTTAAATTATTAAATTTTGTTTGAAAACAATTTTTATAGGACTAATATTTTTGCCATAATATCAAAAATTTTAACAATTTATTATAAAATGTTATTTTAAATTTCTTGCAAAAAATCCTGACGCTAATAATTAATTAAATTTGTTGAAAAAAATAATGTTATGACCTACTTAAAAGATACTGATAATTTTTTTTTTTTTACAGACACTTCCTGTGATTAAGGCACGAACTCGCTTAGAAATAGATCAAGAGTATTACTACGACTTCCGTGCAGAAAAGGAAACTTAAAAATTTAAATAATTATTATAATTAATAATCATATTCTAAAAATGTCATCGTGCCAAACGAGAATTGTACCAACTAAAGTACCATATTACCGTTAATCAATGCAGCTATATCCGAGCGTTTTGCATCGACAATATAGCGTAGCCATGTGTAATAGAGTGCCTGAACGAGTGAATTGTATATGTTATAATATAATAATTATCTTATTATCAAACAAACAAACAAACAAACAAAAAAAAACAAAACAATGCAGACTATAGATCTATTCGATATACGTAATAATAATAATTAAATGGGTTTCTCCATTTTTATTCTTAAGGATGTTTTCATCTACGATGTGTCTGTTTCGTCATATCTTCCATTTTAGATTTTTATACCGATAATTAATAATTATGATGATGATTAGTATTGTATTTTTATAGACTTTCGTTGTATTTTTATATAGTTATTAGACATTTATATAATAAGTGTATTATACGTACTAGTTGCTTAAATATTTAAATATTAATTAATTAATTATTATTATCATTAACATACTATTATTTTATAATTGCACTTAATTCTTTCTGCAATCGACACATCACTGCAATTAAAAAAAAATATATAAAACTTTATTTAAAAAAAATAAACAAGTTATAAATTATTTGGAATGAAAAAATTGGATAATTATAAGAAATAAATGTGTTATTTATTTTTCGGCAAATAACATAAATCAACGAATTAATAAAACAATATCTACTAAAAAAAAAAAAAGTTTTACAATACTTTTCGGTAATGTAAACTACACGAATTTTAAAACGATACAAAATATATATATATACTTATTACTATATATTTATTAAGATATATTAAACATGACAAGATAATGAAATTCTCTTACGAGAATGACTTGATAAAATTCTTATAAATTTTAAACGCGTTTAATTAAAACGATATATTATATAATAGTAATATACATAGATATTTAATTTAATATTATAATTATAATTTAAAATTATAAATTTATATATTAGGGTAGCGCAAAAAAACCGACTATTATTTTTTTTTTAGCTTAAAAAAAAAATTTTAAGAGGTTTTTTTTTAAATTTTTTTTCTCGTTAAGTCATAATTTTATAGAGTAAAAAAAAAAGTTTTCCTGGAAGTTTCAGTTCAAAATAAAAATTTTAAAAGGTCTCTCACAATTTTTTTAAAATTTATTAGTGACTATTTAATTGGATTAGCATTTTTTGACTCTTAAAAATTTTTAAAAAATTATGAGCGACTTTTTAAAACTTAAATTTTGAATTGAAACTTTCAGGAACTTATTTTTTTATATATACATATTTAATTTAATATATTATAATTATAAATTTATATATTTATTTAAAGAGAATCAATGACCGTTTCCTTTGCGCCAAGCTTGAATTTTTCGTAGCGGAGAACTGTGACTTTTTTTCGGACTTTCGGTTAATCGATCGCTACTACCGAAAACCGAGGCTGCTAGTCATCATACGAATGGCCCAGTCCAGTGTCTATTGAGTGTATGACTATGTATATGACTATTATTATTATTATTATTATTATTATTGTTATTATTATTATTATTATTATTACTATGATGATGATTATTATTAATTCCAGCCGCTGGCAGTGGATTGACAATTTGCTTTTCGCTAACAGCCTTTATTTTATTCTTGTACTTGATGTCCTTGGGTTTGAGCACACTCTTGTGATTGCTTAGCAGTCGTGATGGAGTTAAAATAGACTTATTACTGAGTCCTGTAGCTTCTAAGAAGTGGTCATAAATGCCATTCGAATTAGAGTTGGTATTTGCGCTGGAGCTTGAATTATTATTATCAACAACACAATAAATATCATCGTCCTGGTGCTTGCTGATGCCTAAATTACCCAGCCGATCTGACCCATCGCCTTCAGGACGATCCGGGTCATCAGACAGGTCACACTCATCCAAATTAAACTCTTCAAAATTCTGCCTGATGTCCATTTCTTCAATCTCAAACTGCGAAACTCTATCCTTAGACTTTTTACAGCGCGAATCAATATCACTGCCGATTTTAAACTCCTCAAAGTGTCTGACCATGTTAGGAACCCGGGGAATTTTCTGACTTTCCCTATAAAGCTCCTTCTGCTTGTCCTTCTTCGGCGACCTGAATATACCCTCTTTAAAACTATTATTATTAATAAAATTCAAGCCCGGCGACCTGGTCAGCGACTTATTCAAATGATCATTGTCAAACAGCAAGCTTTTAGATGACGAAGACAAAGACTTAGAAGGCGTAGAAATTCCAAAAATCTTCTTAACATATCCCGGAGCACTCAGCACCGAGTGTTTCTTCCTCGTCTCGTCAATCAGAAACGACGGACTAGGAATTTTCTTCAGCACCAAAGTATTATTCCTGAATTGCGGCTTCGGCGGCAACGCCGGCGGAGTCTTCGGCAGCGGCGAAATAATCTCCGGAAGCGACTCAATGTCCTCATAGTCCAAATTCTTGGCAATAGTCAGCCCCTTGGAGGACATAGACAAACAAGTCTTCTCCTCAATCCTCTCCAGCCTCAAAATAGGACTACTAGACCTGTTCGAAGACTTAGACTTGACAGACAATTCAGGAGACGCTGAAGACACCGAAGAAATAACACTCTGCGCGTCTAAATCAACCTGCGGTTCAATTATAGCAATTGGAATAGCCCCCGTGGTATCCAGCTCTTCCTCATTCCCTTCCGAGCCAATCCTCATAATATTCGGACTGATAATCCTCATCCCATACTCATCCTCCGCTCCAACCTCGCTTTCCTTGTCCATAATAGCCTCTTCAGAATTTTTCCTCTCCATTTCCGAGCCGACGGATTCAATATCCGACAATCTCGCCGGCTGGAACCTTACAATTCTTCCTTTATGCTTGAAAGTCCTCGGGATCGACCGGACGTTTTCCTCTTCCTCTCTGTCCCTCAGCAGGATCTGGTTCACGCACTCCAGGACTGAGTTGTGATTGCTGTTAGGTCTGTAAGAGTTATTCTGGATTACTTCTTCAGTTATTCTATCTTCATCCGGGTCGCTGTACCAATTTCCGCTGGTGTCTTCCATGGATTTTTCTTCTTCTATTTTTTCTTCATTATTATTATTAATATTATTATTACTACTATTACTAATATTATTATTTAACCTATTATCATCACTTTTAGCAACTCCCCTGTCTTCCCTAAAACTTAAGCCTTTATTATCATTTCCCGCGCAAGCATTGACATAGATCGGCTCATCGTCTTCATCAGAAGCAAAATTACAATCCATTCCGTCATCCTTGCTGTCGCTCCGTGATATTTTAGTGACTTCATTGTCGTAAATTTCCAGAGGCTCTGATCTGATAATACCAAGCCGTCTCTGTGAAATGACTTGATCATCATCTTCATCATCATCATCATCATCATCATCATCATCGTCATCTTGGTGGCGATTACTATTACTATCCTTGAAACTGAACCCGTTTTCACGAAGGCTCCTCGTGACTTGGGTATCACTTTCAGAGATAATCCGCCGGGATGATTTATTTAAAGTAGAACCAGGCGAAAGATCGGAACTTTCACCTTCGCAAAATCCTTCGGTGCTCAATAGAGACGGACTTCCCTCGGTGGTTGTTGTAACAATAGAAGCGTCGGTGTTTTCACTGGTAACACTTTCTTTGGATACGTCACTCCCGGCGAAGCTATCCGTCTTTTTAACACCAAACTCTTTGTTCTTTAGAATCTGATCTTCGCAGTTTAGCTTTATTATTATTTCGCGCTTCAGCTGCTGAATCTCTTTGCCGACATTGCTGTCATTGAGCGATGACAGAATGTTATCTGTGGCCTCGGTGGTTTTGCTAATGGTAACGTCCTCGGAGTTTATGTAAGAGTCCAGCTCTCGTTTGTTTTTTAAGTAGTTTTTCGTGTACCTCCGCAATCGCGCTATTTCTATCTGCTGATTCCTTATCACGGTGTCCTTTTCGCATAACTGCTGCCGGATCGATTTTTGCTCTTGCCGCAGACGTGACTCCAAGATTAACAGCGCTCGCAGAATTTTTGATAGTTGCTGGTCACGTAAATTACGCTCAGATTCGTGGCACACGTGCAGAGAATCCAATTCCCGGACCAGCTCTCGGCAACGCTTCGTTGCTGATTTTAAAGCATCTTTTGTGCTTGTCAGCTCCTGCTTTAGTGATCTTACTTCAGTTTCCATCTGGAACATAAATATATTTATAGAGTTAATAAAATTATATTATCTTTCGGAATTTTGTTATCTTTACATCAGATTTTGTTAAGAATGTCAAAGTAATAAACTTGATGGCTTTACTGTGAGATAACAATTAATTTAATAACTTTTTTTTTTAGATTGATAATGGCGCTTTTTAAATATAAAGGAGGATATTTTGTTGTAAGAAAATTATTTTAAATTTCTGGAGGTTTAAAGTTGAAAAAGAAACATTTGGTGGAATTCCACGAGTGGAATTAACTTATTAAAGCGGAAAATTTGTAATAGAAAACCTCGAGATTTGTCCTACTGTTTTTACAAGGGCTTCGCATCTGGAGGCCAATTTTGTAGGGTGATTATTTTCAGATTACCAGGGAAACCTTCTAAGTACTGGGACATAATTGTAGTGGGACGTTTTCGACATATGTTTCACTTTTTAGGAATGATAATAGTATAGTTCTGTGGGAATTTTTTTTTTATTTTGACTTTTTGATATTTGAGCAAGATTAATTGAAGTTTAATATTTGTTGGAGAATTTTGACTTTTTTTGTGAAATATTTAAATTAATTTTTTTGGTGATTATTTAGATTTAACTTTTTTAAAAACAGAATTTAAAAAATTTTTTTTTCAAAAGTATTTTCTAATTTATTTATTTTTTCAAAAATTTATTTTTTATCAAAAATTGACTTATAAAGAAAATTTTTTTCAATTATTCTATTTTTAATAAACTTGAAAAAAATTACATGGAGATTAAAAAAAAATTGTAAATATGAATTTCATCTCAAAAAAAATGATAAAATTATCAATTTTTTTTATTCAATATGTTTCTTTAATTTTATTCCAACTTAATTAAAAATTTAACTAACAAATAAAAATAATAAAATTTACAAATACAAGAAAAATAAATTATATAAGTTGGAATAAAATTAATGAAACAATATATATAATAAAAATAATTTTAATAAAAAATAAAAAAAAGACAAAAAAAAATTTGTTTTACGAGTCAAATTTCTATCTCTACTATAGATAACAAATCTTGTCCACAGTTCTCATAAACGTCACAAATTTTCCTTATCGGTCATCTGAACAATCATAAGCCAAATAACCGAAAAAAAGACCCTTCAATTAAATTAAAAAAACAAACCGAAGTTTTTTTATCATTGTCTCAGTAAAATCTTTTTAGCGGGAGTCTTGTTGTAGGCATAAGCATAAAAAAAGTTCCCTGGTATCGTGATTCACATACACGAACCCGTTTTGGTCCAGCAGCATACAGCGCCGAGCCCGAGTAGAGCCAGAGCACAAGCAATAGCAATATAAATACAAGCGACTAAGACTTGAGAGCCAAGACCAAAACTCGTCTCCGAGACGCCTAAAGGTGCATTCACACGCGTATTTACGGTCTCAGACCTCACAGGTGCGTGAAATTCGTTCCGGAGTTACATGATTAGCAATAGACAATTTAGTTTAAACGTCATAAATTACGAATAATAAATATTATCCCGAGTCGGGGATCTTCTAGCTAGTCTTCAGGGTCCGACCACCCAACTTTCAATAATCCTGGAATGAAAAAATATTTCTATCAAACAAAATGAACATTATTTCTCTAAAAAATCTAGCTTTTTATGCTGAAGATAAATTTCTTCTATTCACAAAATTGAATATTTTTTGGCTATTTAATTTAATATTCAACTTAATAATTAAATTTACTTAGCACTAGACTTACTAGACCACAATAGAATAAAATAATAAAAATATCTAGTAACACTTTCTCCGCAAATCGCGTGGCAATACCCGTGATCCGCGGTTGTAAGTTGTAATGCCGGCAGCACAACAGCCAAAGAGAGTGCGGAAGATTGCGCAAAAATACATTACACTAGAATAAAGAAACCGCGTTCTCTTTAATCGCCATTGTTACATTACATTATCCATTATAAGGTCTATTCAACGTGCCATTTTCTTTTTATAAATTTTCTCATCATCATCATCGTAATCTCAATCTTCATTATTATTATCATCATCTTCAACACCATCATCTGAATTTCCTCTTACCCTAGATCAATAAAAAAATAATAACATACATTAAAAGATTGAAAAAACAAAAAAAAAAAAATAAGCTTTTACGTCACCAGGTTCTAGGCTGTTAGTTATGAGTTATTACATTATCGATTATCGAAGCTAATTATATTTATCACTAAACAGTACCTCTAATTACGGCGTAGTCTCGTTAGACGCACATAAATATTTCTTCCGATATATTATTTATTCTGAAATAACTCTTCTTCATAGTACGGTGTAATTTAAAATTTTATAATACTGCGTGGATACTTTTGAATAGTTTTAGTTTGTTTGATCATTTTTAATTTTTATCAATTATCACGATAGTTTTTAATAATTTACTCGCAACTATCTCGTGATAATAGTATTATTCTTAAAATATAATATCAATTGGATGGACTTCTTAAAACTTAATCAATTAAATAGAAGGCTGTAATTAGAAGAAAAAAAAAAAAAAAAACAATTTTATGTTTTAATTTACAGGAAAGCCTTGGAGGTAATTCAAAAACTGCGATGCTGGCCACCGTATCACCCAGCAGCACGCATTTGGAAGAAACGCTGGCGACCCTTCGTTATGCGTGCCAAGCTAGGTCTATTGTCAACCGCGTTCGGATCAACGAAGATCCTCATGATAAACTGATAAGGCAAGTTGAGACAAAGAAAATCCATTTATTGTATGACAAATGAAAATGTACAATTATCTTATTGTTAGTCATATAAAAGTTTGTATGCATAGGAATCAAAAGATGTTTTTTGTTATCCTATTTAATGATTTTTTTGTTTTCAGAGAGCTTAAAGCTGAAGTATTGAGACTGCGTGGCGTTAGAGAAAATTATGAGCGGCAATTAGGCCCAAGGAGGTTATTAGAGAGCGGGGATTCCGGCAATGACAATTTAGAGATACAGAAAAAACAGCTGGAGATTGAACAACTAAGAGACCAATTGAAGCGCACTGAAGAACAGCTTGCTACAAATCAGAAGTGAGTTTTTTGTATTGAGTTTCTGTTTATTTTATTAAAAATGGACAGGAGTTCTCTTCTCACGGAGTTTGTTATGGAGGTTGAGAGAAAAACAATTGTAGAAACTTAATTGTCCGCGGAATTACTTTTAGGTCATGGAAAGAAAAATTACAGGAAGCTGAGGAGCGTAAAAAATCTGAGATTAATTATCTGCGACACTGTGGGATAGCTATTGAATTAGACTACAAGGAAATAAAGTCAACTCCTTGTTTGGTCAATCTTGCAGCAGATCCTATGCTCTCTGGTACGCTACTGTATCTTATTCCTCAGGGAAAAGTGCGTATAGGGCGGCAAAGCAAGCAGGTTGATCCAATTGACATTGTCCTGGATGGACCATTAGTTGCTCCATTTCACTGGTTAGTCACGAAGAGAGACGAGAAGAAAGACATTTTCTAAATGCACACTTATCTTATTTACATTCATGAATACAATTATAATTATCGTTTTCATTTTCATTTTTATTTATTCACTGGTATATTTTTTTTAATAGCATGGTGACTAATTCTGCATTTATATTTTTTTTCGTGACTGCATTATTGCGTGAATCATATCTAATTGCATTGACAACTCAATAATTATTATTATTTTTAATCATTACTATAATTTTTATTAACTAAATTATTATGTTTAGCACGATTGAAAATAACAAAGGAGTATTGAGCTTGATGCCTGAAGCGAATGGTGACACTTACGTTAATGGACAGGTAATTTAAATAATGTAATTATCTTGTGAATGGATTGTAACTGTTGTTTGTTTATTTTTAGATGGTATGTGATAAACTTTATTTGAAGCATGGAGATCGTTTAGTCATCGGTGGTAATCATTACTTTAAAGTATGCAATCCAAATGACGATAATTCGAATATACAAAGTAATAATCAGCCTATTGATTATGAATTTGCGCATCAAGAAATACTCGCTATTCAAGAGGAAAAGTAATTTTTTTTCTTTCTTATAAAAACAATGCAAGTCATTGTTATCGTGGTTAATCAATTATTTAACTATATTTTTAGACTGAGAGCTGAATTGGAGGAATCGAAGCGTAAAGCGATAAAGGAACTTGAGAACGCAAAAAGAGAAGTTGAAACGCAGTTGGGATCGCAGAAAACTACTTACGAGCGTGAGATAAAAATGCTCGGGACAACTTTAGAGCAACAGAAACTCGCTTTGGAAGAAGTTAGTAAGAGGAAACGACAATTGGAGGTTGAAAAAGAAATGCTTACGTACCAAATAGAAGAAAATAAAAGACGTGAAACGGATGACTCCAAAATAAATGTCGAGCCTTACGAGTCGAATTTTCTCCAAGAACTGAAAAAAATTTTGAATGAAGCAACTGCTGACGCGGAAGTGGCTCTTACAATTGCGGCTAGCAATGAAATTATTGCAGAAGGCGGTATTACATTACACGAAATGCAACTTTTGGTTAGAGAAGCTACTCAGCGTTGTCGAGATATTGGAATTAATTATGTACGTAATAAGCTTATTTTTTTTTTTTTTTTTTTATTATTATTATTATCTAAGTTATTTAATTTATTAAATGCATCCATCATACGGTAAGTCACCACTTTATTAATGTGAGGTTGAAAGGTGAGTTTGTTGTCAAATGTAACGCCTAAGTCCGTGTGACAGATAACTCTTTTAACAGAAACGCCGCCAATCTCATAATCGAACTGTATCAGACACTTATTTCTACAGAAAGACATAATTTTACATTTATCAAGATTCAGAAATAAGTCATAATCAGTACATAGATTTTAAAAAAATGTAATGAAACTCTGAAATCTCGAACATTCCCAGACATATTTTACTGCTAAATAGAGTTGAGTATCATTAGCATACGCATCACTTAAACAGTCCGAGTTAAAACTACATAGTAATATTAAAATGACAGAAGTATGATGAATGATATTTAAATTCATTTGAGTAAAAATAAATAATTAATGAATTACATACTAGTGTACAGTTTTAAAAGAAAGTTGCACATTCACGCCACCAGGTAGCGCCACAGTCTCAAGAGACCATTCCTACCGGTGTTTTAATCGAGTTGTTTTCAAAGATAAATTGAAATTATCGAATAAAAAACATCTTATTTAATAAAAAACAATTCAAAATACCAAATTACATTTCTTAATGAACAATTCGAAGCTTTTTTTTCACAAATTTGTCCCAGACTAAGGGGTTCTTTAGTCTTCATTAATTTACAAATCTTATGTGTCAATTGATCTCTCACTTATAACCGGCTCGTTGGTCTAGGGGCATGATTTTCGCTTAGGGTGCGAGAGGTCCCGGGTTCAAATCCCGGACGAGCCCGGTTTTTTTTGTCATTTTGCTCCAAAATTCATTGATTACATTCATTAATTCTTTAATTACATAAACTATTGTTTTATTTTGTTAATATAATATTATTTTTTTTACAGGAATTTGCGCAGTCACGAGTTATTTCAGAGAAAGGTCTGCAACCAGTTATAAGAATTAGAGATCGTGATCGCATGCTAGAGACTGTATGGCAGCCGGAAAACTTTCTAGACTGGGTACGACGACTCCGCGACTTCGACAATGAAGACACCATAAAAGAATTGGTTGATTGCGACGGTACTAATTGGGAAATATTTGATGAAAGTGAAATGCCTGAAGATTCCTTAGACACGAGTCGTATATCTGTGAATCTAACGCCAGTAAAAAGACAATTGAATGAAAGTCTCCACCAGTTATCAATGAACGGCTCATTTTTGGACTCGACGATAGACAAAACAACGGACTCTGCTGTACTGAGGAGATACGAAGACATGGATGCGTGCCTGCTGCAGATAGAAGTTGCTGCTAAGACCCTCGGAAAGTTGTGTCATCAGTATGAAAGCCGTGAGACAAGTGGAGAGGTCACTAAATCGTTGGATAAAGTTCGCAATGTCGTCTCTACATTGAGAGAAACATTTAATTCGTTGCATAAGACCAACGATAGTAGTACAAATATTTCGAGTTCTAACAATACTGTCATTGAGAACTCCGTTAATTCCGTAAACCAAAGTAATAACGAAAAATTAAACAAACTCGATGATAATAGAACATCATCAGAAAGTAATACATTCCGATATCCTTTTTCACAAGACAATAACTCTAAGTCCGTACGATTTAATGTTAAATAATATATATATTTGTTTAAACATAACTTAACATATCTTTAGATTTAATATTTAAAATATTGATAGACTAATTTCATAATATAAGTGTTTTGATTAGCGAATGCCAGGTGCTTATCTTACACACTTGTTAAAAAATATTTAAAGACTTGCGTCCTAAATACAAGTCATTGGACCGATATTAATGGCCGAAATTTTTTATTAATATTTATTACGTTTATCTTTTAATAATTCGTGTTGTTTTTATTAATTATAATATATTTTAGTCTTGCCTTGTATTTTTTAAGAAAATGAAAAACAAAATAGATAAGAATGAAAAAAAATAGTGATACGTCACTAATACTTACTTGTAAGTAAAGTTTCTCGAGAATGCTTACTATAAATAGTAAGACTGATTATCATTATTAATAAATAATTAGATAATTACATAAACGAGTTTTATAAAAACATTAAGTAATCTGTTAAGATAAATTTAATAAAATTTTTTATTATCAATTTTATATTAATATTAACTTTAAATATAAACACAAGACAATATGATTTAATAAGCTCAAATGCAATGAACAAAACAAAGTGTCATTTAGAATAAAGATTTTTTATATTCTATTCAATTGTGATTTTATAAATTATTTATAATTGATGATAGATAGATAGTACAATGATGAAGTTTTGATTAATGTTGCGTCGCAAATAATTATTAAATAAACCAAAAAAAAAAAAAAAAAACTTAATCAAAGTAATCTTCGATATCAATGTCTGGATTTAATAAATCCTCGCCATAAATACTCAAATCTAATTGATTAAGAATTAAATTTTCGCACATTTCTTCCAGATCAGTATCACCAATTAATACCGCACCTTGAAGTCTGTTGTCCTTCATTACAAGTTTAATATACTCAAGACCTTTAGTCATCCTCAGTAAAATCTCATAATCACTACCTAATTTCTGTCCGTTGTAGAGCCCAAGAAGGACAACTTTGTAGCCAAAAAGAGTAGTAACATGAGTGAAGAGTTCAAAGCAAAAATCCTGAAGAAATCGTTCATTTTTATAACTCGACACAATTGATTTAGCAGCATACCGACCCATCTGATGAGCCTGAGTCCACAGACGCATTTGGAACCAATGAGCTGCAAGATCCCATCCAGCTGTACTGACATCTCCAGCAGCATAAACGTCACTAGCAGAGGTCTCTAATTTCCAGTCGACTAAAAATCCACCGTCTTGACCAAGCACAAGATTTTCCAAGCCCTTGACGTTGACATTAGGCGTGACTCCAGTGGCTGATATAATGAAATCACATCCGATTATTTTGTCATTAGTCAGCTCTACATAAACAGGCCAGTCATCAGATGTACTTGGAACTTGATCAGGCCGGAGAATTCTCTTTACTTCAGACTCATACTCAACTTGGACCTTTATCGCGTCGGCGGCTAAGCCTCTGCGAGCAAACGATTCATGCCAATTAGGGCCCAAAGCAGCGCCAAGTCCACTTCTATTTTTTCCGTCGGTAATAGTGTACTTGAATCTTTTACATACATTACTTTTCTCAGCTGAAGATTTATCTTTGGTCAATTTATCATGGAAAAATTCCGCAGCTCCTGGATCGACAAAAGTTGCTGATATATGTTTATCTTTAATTATCCAAATAACTTCAATGTTTTCTACCTCATGAACAATCTCTGTAGCAATACCACCATTGCCAACAACTATAACTCGACGTGCATTTGTTATCTTGCGTGAAAAATTTTCCACAGACTCAGTATCACGGATACCAATAACATACGGATTGTTCTCGTTAATGATACGAGCTCTGGCTCCATTACAAAGGCATAATTTATTGTATTTTATTACTAATCCCTCTTCTGTTTCAACAGTCTTGTCATTAATATTTATTTGCGCCACAACATCATTAACTACTGCTAATAATGAATTTCTTTCAGACAGAGACTTGGACTCTTTTTCTTCGACATCAAACTTCATCATCGTCATCCCAACTGGCTCAACATTTGTTATTGTTTTAATAAGCGGACTCGCACTTATCAGTATTATTTTTTCATCGGGAGCTAAAAATGATATGCTCTCCGCGCAAGATACCCCAGCGATTCCGCCTCCAACAATAACAAAAGGTGCTTCCATCGTTAAATTTACTTAATATATAAACTGTAATAATTTATTAATTTTTCTGTTGATCTTCTTCAGGTCTGTACCAATCAGAGTAATCGTATTGTCTGATGTCGACGTCGTATGTAATAGTACCATAATCGTGTGCGCGATGAAGCGCTATTAGTAGATTTTTATGCTGTTTTTGACAAATGTTTGTTTTTCTAAAAAAAAAAAAAAAAAATACAATTGATAAAAACATAAGTCTGAACAAATATTTTGTACTATTTAATCTATTTGTTTTTACTTACTCGTAACTTATCACTTCGCCGTTGTATGGAGAGATAAATTGTTTCAGTAAAGCAGTATTTCTATGATCGATTATTAAATATTCGTCACGGCAGATTGGACATGGGCTACCAGTTGATATTATACCGCTTCTCTATAAAAACAGATTTTTTTATTTTAATTAGTAAAATTACAAAATAAGACAATTTTAATGATACTGAAATTCGCAAATGTCGGACAATTTTTATAACAAGTCAATATTAAAAAAAAATATTTAAGAACATTTTTTAATTTTTACATTTAGAATTTTTTTCATAATAATTTGTTATAAAAATCTAAAAAATTACTGTGTTTATTGGTTTCAATAAGATTCAATTACTTTAATGTAAAATAATAAAAATTATTTAAATAAAATACTTACAATACAAGTTCTTCTAGTTTTTTTTGGAGGAAGTGCACCCTTGTGATTTCTGCGATACGGTTTCCAAACTGGCTCACTCCCATAAGTCTCTTTATACGCTAAAAATTAAAGTCAAAAATCTTTAAACAAATGTCATTGTCATTAAATATATTCATGATGTATATGCCCTTATTAATTGTGACTTAATTTCTTGTGAACTATTTCAGGAAGTACTGACGATGAAATAAAAAATAGTCCACAAGAAATTGAGTCCTTATTTTCTACTAAGAATTAGAGTATTAAATTATTAAAAACTACAATTATTAATGAAAATTAATTAGCAGATATTTTAAAATTTTAAGAATTTTTTTAACAAATAAATTATGTCAAAGAAAATGAAAAAAAAAAAATTGATATTTAGAAAATTAAAAAAATAAAAAATCCAATTTTATTAGAAATAATTTTTCGAAGCAAATTTATTTATTAAAAAAAAATTGTCAAGCGACTGCTAACTTTAATGTCATCAATTATTAAATGATATTAAAGTTAGCTGTCACCTGACCAATTTTTAATTTTATTTAACAATTAAATTTATTAAAAAAAAAATTACATTTTTTATTTTTTAAAATTTCTAGATCTCTATTTTTTTTGCTATAATTTATTTGTTGACAAAAATTCTAAAAATGATCAAATATCTGCTAAATTAATTTTCATAGTATTATTAAACTTACCGTCACTAGCTAAATAACGAATACTTGTTTCAACAGGTACAGGATTACGTCTATCCTTAGCTGGGTCAACTGGAGGTTCATTACTCGGAGCTTCAGATTCCTCTTGAAACACCGCACTTCCTCGAGAAAAACATCTTACACCAACCTGCAAAAAACCACCGATAAATAAACAATACTTCAGAAATAATAATATTTACACAAAAAAAATTACCTTGTTGATGATTCCGTGTCTCAGTGCTTCTTGAAGTCTGGTAATAACAAATGACATATCTAATTGTCAGAACAGCAGAAAAAATAAAATAATTTTGTTTTTAATTTCCGTGGCAATAAATATATACTTTATAAGGTTAGTTTTCCCCACGTTTATTTTTTCATCCTCAATTTGAGAACCACTGGTTCGCCATTTTACTTCATCGTCAAACCAGACACTGTGTAAGTATTTTTTTTATGGCTCATCGCAGTAAATATTGATAAATAATTAAAATTTACAACCAAATAAATAATCTAAGTAATTAATAATAATTTTCTAATAGTTAAAATTAAGAATAATTGTGAATGTGCACCGGAAGTAACTATAATTTGACTAAAAATAAAATAAAAATGAACATCCGGATTCCGTAGGTCTATTTCCCGTTTGGTCGTTTGGTCGCGGCAGCTGGTGATACGTAGTTAGGTGAGAAAATAAATAACGCAGTTATAAGTTGACAATAAAATAATTATCGGTGACCAAAATAAACGTAAAAATTGATATTAATTAAATAAATAATCATCTGTAAGGTAAAATAATAAAACTTTATCGGGTTTTTGGTTGCAGATGACAGGTTGGCGAGAGGTTACATGGGGATTACTCCAAAAAGGATTTTGTAGCATATCTCCAGCCAGCCGACACTACCCCAGACTTAAAATATTATCTCTGCAACTATTTTAAACAATCGGAATTTTCGATTTATAAAAAATAACTGTGCCCATCAAATATTATTTAATCAAATAGTTTTTATTATATAATTATCAAACCGTGATAACCGTTTATCCTTATGGATAAGGAAATTAATTAATTGCAATACAATGTAAGTGGCTTATCGATTGCCCGAATCGTTGCTAAGACAATTCCTAGTATTAATAGTTGTAAAAAAAAAAAAAGAAAAAAAACATTTATTACGTCACAAGCTGAAGATTTACGTGATCTAGCTTTACGATTAGATGACTTTAATAAAACTTATCATGTCATCTCTAATTATAAATATATTTTACGCACATTAGTGTGAGAGATAAAAACGCGAGCGCGTTAAATTAAAGTGAGATGCTTATTTTTATTTTATGAATTTTAATTAGCGTGAGAGTGGGTAGTGTTCTCTATTATTTATTCTTTATATTAATAATTATAAATATTAAAATATATATATAATTGCGCTGACCTAATTGGCTATATTTTAAAAATAGAAAAAAAGGCTGGGCAGTTTACGAACTTTGTCGAGTTTTGCCGATGATTTTTGTAGTCTTTTATTTTTATTATTATTATTATTATTATTATAAGTACTGTGCATGATACAACAGTAATTTTTCTTTCGGTTGAAAAAGAGGGGAGAGTCCGTTATCCCTGTTACAAAATTAAAATCTACGTACGTTGGTAAAAACGTTGACTCCAGTCGAGTAAATAATTCTATTTAATAAGAAAGAAAGAGACAAAAAAATGACATGTGAATTTTAATTGGTTGTCCTGGTATTCCCACCAGGAACTTAACCTGGTTATTTAGCTTAGTGGGGGAATAGATGCGCAAAGTAACTGCGCAGTTGTTAGCCCTGCAGTCCGTGGACGTGAACCGTCTCCCAAGAACACGCCATTTCACATCTCGCATATTTGTCCATTTGCAGCGCGTAACTTTTATCAAACATTTATTTAACTCAAGAGTCATATAGGCAAATAAAGACTCAACAGATTAATGTTGAAGATATTTTTATATTTATAAATAACGGGTAGGATTCGTCAGATACTAATTTATTTATATTAAGTATTATATATTTATATTAAATCATAAGCGAAATATAAATTAGGCGTACTGAAATAATTTTGCTTGGTATTCCGTATGGATCAATACCAATCCGTGTTACTCGGGCATCTATTTTTTGCCTTCAGCAATAAAATCAGCTTATGTGGCTTTTATTTATTATTAAAACATGGATGCTCGATTATTAATTATTTATTTGGTGTAAGAATTTATTACGTGATAGCGAGCATTAAATAGTGACATAGTAATAATTTCAAAGATAATTTTTAAGACAGTAATTAAAATTTACTAAGCCGTGACACACAACGTGGCATTTTTTTCGTATAATTATAAATTATATTTAATGAATATCGTTGCAGATTCGTCATGAAAATCCACTGGAAGTAAATCGTCCATTAAAATCATCATCCAATAATTAGCTAGAAAAAATAATTTATAAAAAAATTAAACATGGTGAGTTTTACATGATATTTCGTTTTTTTTTTCTTATGTTCATTTTCTTGGAGAATAAATATATCAGTTGGAATGAGAGAAAGAAAATGTCGGATAAGATGGCGCCACAAGCTGTGATAAAACGTTTGCTGACGTTGATCTTAAATAGATTACGACCCACCCGAGTGGCGATACAAAGTAGGGACTACGATCAATGACCTTATGTGTGAATTCTTATATATGTAATTTACACTGACTCGTGACTTGGTTTTCTTTCTTCCATTGCAATGGTTATTATTAATGTCCTTGATACTTATGTTATATTTTAGATTTTATTGAATGATTGCTAACGTAAATTTTATTTAATTTATGATTGCAGCCGCGGATAGATCCATTGTCATTGCTCAAATGCCTGGGCGTTTTACTGGGCCCTAATGGAGGGATCAAAGGTAAAGCGGAAGTCGAACGCTTGGCTGGCCTTATGATTAAATTTTCTAAAAAACTCGTGTCCAAATGTATCTACATTCAGATTCTTAAGTCAACAGATCCTGAACTTCTCAGCCAGTAAGTTTTATTTTATATTAATTACAATAACAATAATAATTTATTTATTTATTTATTTATTTTTTTTTTTTTAAATTTTTATTCAGCACGTTGAGACGTATGGATACTTAATTATTAAGTATTGGTACGATAAATATATAAAAAAAAAACGTGCAAAATAAAATTAATAAACACTTAACCATTGGGCGGTTTATTTAAGAAGCCGAACTTACTGATATGTGTCCAACAATTTCTTAAATTATTATTATTATATTAATTATAAAAGCGGAGTAAGGAAGCAATAAACTAAACCGGATTTTTTTTAATCATTGTTTCAGATTTATGGGTGCTGGAGGATGGAACCTGATCCACATGTGGCTGACGGACGGAATAGTAGCCAAGAATTGGGCGTTGGTCCAAGAACTACTGGAGCTTTTGCTGCTTTGTCCAGTAGACGTCGACCGTCTGAAGAGCAACAATTGTCCCAAGCTTATCAAGGGCCTTTCAAAAGAAGGAAGTCATCAAGGAGTACGAATGCTTGCAGGAAAGCTGGTCGAGCAGTGGTTGAAACTCGTAAAAGGAGAAACCCCGCCTAACACAGTTCCTACGCAAATTTCAGTTGTAAATAATGGATCGACGTCAAATGCAACGTACACTCCGTCTGTTGTTGTTAATTCATCAGTCAATGCAACTCGGCAAGGAGATAATAAAACTAAACCCGATGAGGCTACTAATTCAATTGAAAGCACCACTGTTAGAGTTCAAGATCTTGCTTTAAACACTCCTATTAATCAAGACTCGCAACAATTTCTACAGCCTCAACAGCCGCAAAAAATTCATTTACAGCCTGTGCAATTGCAATTATTAAATAAAGCTTTACCTGGACAATTGCAACCTTCACAAATAAAAAATCAATTTGTTGTTGTTGAAAATTATCAAAATCAACCGACCTCTATAAGGTATAAAATAATATTACGCGATGGTAAACAGGTTCTTACTAAACTTGAAACAGATGCTTCTAAAGTATCTAACAATATCAATGATAGTGATAGTAATGTAGATAATAAAATGGATATTAAGCAGGATTCAATTATTAATGATGATGATGATGATGATGATAATAATAAAATGTTAGAAAATGGTCAGGTTTATGATAGCAATAATGATAATAATTGTGTTGGAGATAAATTAGATGAGAATAGTACGAGTACTGTTGTGAAAGAAGAGGCTGATGTAGATACTAACGATCAAGTAGATTCTTCTAAATTAAAAACAGAGGACAATGTAAATAGTGAAAGCAATAATAAATCTAGTGATAAGGAGAATAGAGACTCACAAAAAAAAGACGATAAATCGAGTAGCAGTAGTAGTAGTAGTTCGGATAAAAAAAGTAGTCATAGTTCTTCGTCGTCGAGAAGTAGTTCGAAACACAGTTCGAGTTCATCGCGGTCCAGTTCACGCAAGTCTTCTTCGTCCCACCGTTCTGGCAGTAGCTCGTCCAAGGGCTCGTCGAGCTCCAGTAAATCTTCCAAGGACAAAGACAGACATCACTCGAGTAGTAGTAGCAAGCACTCGAGTAGCAGCAGCAGCTCCTCGAAAAGTAAGTCTGATAAGGAGAAAGAGCGGGATAAAGAAAAGGAGAAACAGAAGAAAGATCAGGCCGAGAAGGACAAGGCGACGCTGGAGAAGGTCCAGGGTCAGTCGTTGAGTAATAAGATTGGTAAAATACCGAAGAAGAAGCCTGAAGATGAAAAATCTGGGGAATCGCTTAGAAAAACGTCGACTGACTCGAGAGATAGTTCTAAGGAAAATAAGGATAAAGATAAGGGTGATTCGAAGAAACCTTCTAGTCCTACTATTTTGGAGAAGAAAAATATCTCGATTTCTATTGAAAATCGTAAAAATTCACAGGAATCATCGCGCCCTAAAACTGTTAAAACTTTCAATTCTAAATTTAGATCTACAGGTCTCGAGGAAGAGGTTAAACCACCGCCACCGCGTACTGCAGGTAAAAAACCCTCGACCACTGCAACAACGGTTACTGCGGATAAAAAAATAGTACCACCTAAATTGCCGGTTAAACGTTCGTCTCCAATACGCGAATCTGGTGCCTCTGCTGAGAAAAAGGCTAAAGTGTCATTAGATCCGACGAATTCACCGTCAGAGGACAAGAAGGGAGCTATTAAACTTATTGCACCGAAACCTAAACGTAAGTACTTATATCATTTATTAGTTATCGATTCATTAATTATTAATAGCTCTCCGTATAACGCATTATTTATTACTATTAATATTTATAATATTTTAGCAATTGTCATCTCATGGTTAACAAGTTATTTTATTGACTGCACGTTTATTAATTACTTACTATTGAGTTTACAGGTGAATTCTGGTGGGACAAATGGACAAACATCTGTCTCCAATATTATTATTTAAAATTATATTTTTTTACAGAATATTTTTTATAAATCTATTTTTTTATTAACTTTTTTCTCAAATATATATGCAAAAAAAAATAATAACAAAACGGTAATAATATTATGGATAACCCATGTAAATAATCGCAAGAAACAACAAAGAAACATTCTCTACTCATAATTATTTTCTAATTAGCAGGTAATTTATTTATGTTAATTGATTAATTATTTTTTTTTTTTATTTAACAATTTATTAATTGATGTAATGTAAAGTATGATAGTGATAAAAAAATTACGCGGGTACTTAATAAATAGTAAATAAAAAAAAAAAAAAAAAGATAACATTACAAAAAAGTGATTGAAGATATCAAGAGAAACAACGATGGATAGTATTTATTATTGAAGAATATTTCATCACTGGTATCTCAAGGCTTGTGCCTATTTCATCCTGGGTAAGGAAAAAAAAACTACTTCGTTAATAATACTATTAATTATTTTTTTTTTCTTGATTTGTCTTGTACATGTACATCTTTTTAAAGGTAAAATAATAAATTTATCATTAAAAAACATTTGGAAAAAAATATGAATATTTGAACTTGAGTTTTCGCTACAGCCCACTTAAATAATTAAAAAAAAAATAATATTGATTATTGAAGACTCAATGTAGAATAAATTGTCTGATTAATATTTAATATTAAATAATTATTTAATAGGACTTTGTTTAGAATTAGAAATGTGTTGTTTCTATTCCTTATACTTGGTCCTTAGTTTGCTGTAAGAAGTTATCTGGCATCCTGCTCGTACTATTTAATCACATCTGTTTAATTATAGTTATTACTTAAAGAAAAAAAAACTAAGAGCTCTCTCGTGAATGAAAATTGAATGGAGTGCGAAAGAAAGAGCGAGTGCAAGAATTCGAGAGAAAGATTTTTATTAAAAAAAAAAAAAAAAAAATAAGTAATAATAATTAAAGGGAGAGAAACAGAGTACGAGATGTTTTTATTCAAGGATGATTCATTAAGGATTTATCAAATTGTCATCGAGTCGATAAATTCCTAGTACAAGTGGATAATCAGCTTTAAGGACAATATTCACCGATAAAATGATTACTCAAGATACGACTAGTAAATATTGATTTAAAAAAAAGATTTTAAATGTAACGCCAAGTTTTTTAACTAGATTCATTACAAAAACTAATTTTTTTTTTTTTTTCTATTAAATAGTTATAATTTAAAAAGTTTTTACAAAAAATATAAGGGCTATAGAGATTACAGATCAATTTATTAGAATTTGATTTAATTTTAAAAAATATTAAATGAATATTTATTTGTCATAGAAAATAATGTAGCGGATGATGAACCAGTGCGTGTCTTATATCATTGGATTCTATTTTCGAGCTCTAATAAAACGTACGAGTCAATGTTTTCACAGAAGACTACGTCACACCGTCACGTACTTCTCTGTCACTCGAGAGTGGGTACCAGACAAGGAGAGAAATAGCTTGTGTACTAACCAATCGTCAAACATTTACTATGATGGGTTTCACATATCATCTTCCTGTACCAACATATATGCCAATTTGTATTTTGTCTACCTAGATGGCTTTTTTCTATACTTATTTTTTATTATTTTTAATCAAAACTAATTTACCAATCACTAAGAGTATATTTTTCAATTAATTACCAAGATATTAATAATTATAATAGTTATATTTATTATTTATATTCCTATTAAAGAAAAGGCTCTTTATAAATTAAATGCTTCTTACCTTCATGAAGCTATCTTAATGCATTTTTCATTCGGTAATATTAAAAATAATCCCTCAATAAAGAGAATAATAATCCGATTATTTTAATTGAAATAAATAAATAAATAAATTTGCTTACTTTTCTCTGACTAATTTTCAATTCTAAGTTTTTATTTATTTCTTCCAAGATAACTCTTGCGTTATTAATATAGAAATATTAAAACAATTAAATTCATAAAAGCATTCCAAATAAAATGTAATAATTTAAATATTATTCAACTATTGTTGCTATTTATTATTTTTTTTTTTTTTTTTTTACAGTTTTATAATATGTATTTATTTCCAGCAAATACACAAGATTATTGCCAAGTTCCAGCTATTTATTTTTTAGTTATTAAGGTTTAGAATAAATAGTAATAAATAATCAAAAATACGGAGAGCTATTAAATAAATAAATTTATATAATAATTTAGTAACTAGACAAACAAATATAATTTTTAATAAATAATATGTTATAGCGATGGTACTCCAAGAGAGTGATATGTTTATGGACGCATTGACTGCGTCAACCAAAAGCAAAGAGCCAAGAAAGCGTAAACGCAGGACATCGGTGTCCAAGGATGGTAGTACTGATCCCAAAAAATCTGATGGTACTAATTCAGTATCAGGAGATCAGGGAGCGAGAGATACCACGCCACCGCCTACATCGCCGAGTCATAATACTGATGATAGATCGCCTGTGTCCATGAAACCTGAGTTTAAGGTATTTATTTGCTTCACATCATCTTAAATTTTTAAAATAAATTTTTTCATAAAAATTCTCGACATTGATTTTAATTTGTATTGATATTTAATTTGTAATTTTCAGTTTTATCAAGACACGCTCGAGACAGACGAAGATAAAGAAGACAAGGAACGAGCGCAGAATGATAAAGATGAAGATTCACCTGATGAGAAGGTGAACAACAAAAGTGTAAATGATGAAGAGGATGAAAGAAGTAGAACTCCAACCTGCGATGATGATTCAGAAGAAGCTACTAAAGCCCCGGCATCTCCCGACGATCCTGAAGATTCGGGTCGCGCGCCGTCTCCCAATGAAGATATTCGGTACGTCGACGGTCTGAGGAGCGTATTGCTTCTTCAGAAGCGCAAAGGACCCAAGAAAAGTCTCAAGTGGAAAACAGACTTGGAGTCTGTGCGTTACTTTGAGCTGGACGAGACAGAGCGCGTAAATGTCACGAAAACGTTCACCGACGCGAAGAATATGGAGAAGATGAACGAGCGCGAGGCCTTCCAAATGGCCCGGAAGCTTAGTACCGAGGATCTTATGGAAGAAAAGACGCGGTGGAAAGCGTTGATTCCAATTGATTTACCAGCGCCGTTAGCCGACCCTGGCAAGGACAGCAAAGAGAAGGACATTCAATACGCGCGAGAGAAAGGAATTCTACAAGCGCTTTACTTCAACCGTAACATGATACCAGATTCTCCGGCGGAGCCTGACGAGGAGCGCCATCATATTTACACCGACCCGAAGATAATTCCTCTTGACGATATCTCTGAGAACGCCAGCAAGGACAGTGACAAAGATTTCACAGCTGTGCCATGGCCTGAACCCAAGCCCCAGCAAGCGACACCGGTGATTCCTAATGTTCACTTCCCGACATTCCCTCCACACAACCAGGTGATACCAGGAATGCCAATGCCGAACCAAATGGGACCAATGACCATGCCACCGCAGCAGATCCCACCGCCTATGATCCAACCGCCGATGAACCACATGCAGCCGATTCAGGACGTCCCTGGAGCTGGTGGTTGGAGAACGGGCGACGGCAAAGTTGTCGTACCCGACGTAGCCATGAACAATATTCCCAACATGCCGGGTAATATGAACCACAACTACCCGCCTCCTGGAATGGATCCATCAATGATGCCGCCGAACATGATGGGACCTCCGGGAATGTACAACCAGCAAGACGGCTATCCCAATATGATGCCCGAGGACGGGTCCTTTGGTCACATGCCCAACAACTTCCAAGGACCCGGGATGTTTGGACCCCCCGGACCTGGACCAGGCCCTAACTTCCCCAATGGACCTCCACCTCGTGGTGTTGGTCCTATGCACGGCAACCGCGGCAGAGGCGGACCTCCAGGACCTCCTGGGTGGTTCCGTGGTGGTGGCAATCCAGGTGTCGGACCTCCAATGCGCGGTGGTTGGGGTGGTAGAGGTGGCTGGAGAGGCAACGGCAAGCAACCTCCAGTTTGTAGGCAGTTTACCAAGAGCGGATACTGTCGCGTAGGTGATAAATGCCAGTATCTTCACCCAGGTGTTAATTGTCCGCCATTCTGAAGAGAAATTTGTTAATAGCCTACGTTATCAATGGATCTAATTTTCAATGCACAAACTATAATTATGACTTAAATGTTAGTGATGGTATGAAACCATTTTCATATTAATGGAGACGTAGTCTTTCAATCGTCTTCCTTAATGTACATCACAAGTACTTGGTATTATTATTTATATCGAGTTTGGTGTGTTGGATCGATTTCATTGATAGTCACTGCCGTGCAATTATTGTGGATAAACTTTTAAATATGAATTACCTGTGATAGATCGTCACTAGATCCGCTATTGTTATCATTTGATATCAAACAATACGAAATTATTATTAATATTATTTTATTATTATTATTATTATTATTATTATTATTATATCTAGGGACTAATTTGTCTTTGAGGTATTCGCGGTATAAATTAAAATTTTCACATGACTAATGTACATTTCTTGTAAATAATGTATCATTTTTTGTATAAACAAAATAGAATTAGAATTTAATTCTTATTAAACTATTTATCTTACGTCTTATAATTGAAAAGTTTTAAGTATTAATATTAATCATTTAGAAATCATTTTATTTATACGTTTTACTGATAAGGTTTGCAAAAATAATATGAACAAAATGAAAAACTAATAATCTTGAATGATTATTTATAATTAAATTTATACAAATATTAATCCTTTGATTTTTCAATATTTTATAAGCTCACATGAACATTACAAATTAAGAAATGATGTGTTAAGTAATAATCATATTAGTTACATTATTTTTCATGATTTTTTTGTACATTCTTATATTTAGTTTGTAAATAATTCTATGTACGCTGCTTATAAAATGATACAATAATTATTTTTAACAAAAAAAAAAAAAAATAATTGTCTTTATTAATATTACTCCTGAATTTATAAAATAATTAAATGCACCCTTGTCATATCGTTAGTATTTAAAATTTTCAAGAACATGATACTAGAAAGTAGACATTCAAAAACTTACATAAAAATTTTTAAAACGGCAAACTTTAATTTTTTTACAAACAAATATTGTATGTCTACTATTTCGAGTATCATGCAAAAAATATGGATTAAAAAAAAATATTAATAAGGACGTGAATTTCTGTGGTACATATGGTGTCTGCCACCGTGCTTGTCAACCCTATCACCACCACGTTCGCGGTCCTTCATACCGCGGAAATCTTTTTGTCTATAATTCCCGCGGGCATTTCGCGGCTGTTTGCAATACCAAGGATCCACAATCGGCGGCTCCTTGCGCTCTACGTCTCTGAGCTGCTTGCTTTTTACGTACTCAGGATCATCATCGGTGTAGAGATGCTTAAACTCTTCTTCACACTCTGCTAAAAACAATTTTTGCTCCTTGGTCAGCTCTATTTTTTTATCATCATCTAAAAATAATTATTGGTTAAAATTAAAATTACATGATATTAAAGTTAACTGTCACTTGACCATTTTTTTATTTTATTTAACAAAAAAATTTCTTCCAAAAAATAATTTTTAAAAAATTGCATTTTTAATTTATTAAAATTTCTAAATGTCCATTTTTTTTTTTTTTTTTAATTTTTTATGCAGCAATTTATTTATTATTATTATTATTAAATTAATTTTAATAAAATTACCTTCAATACGTTTTTCTACTTCTTCAGACATTTCTTCTCAACTTTCACTGAATTAATATAAATTAAAACAAAAAAATGGTGTAAATAATACAAAATATTTAATCCCAGCCGTTTTAATAATTGTTGTGTACACTCAACAAAATTTTTTTTTTACTCATAACCTGCAGTACCCAGACATGTCAACCGAAAAAATAAAAAAATCTAGCAAGTAAGAGTAGGGGCGCTGCTTACCATTAGTCAATAACAAAACTTTTTTCTCGTTTATAAATTCCGACTTTCCGTTGCGACTAAAACGACACCACCACCAGAAGTTTTTTATGTCCAATGGAATCGTTCATTTTGTATAATTTGCTGGTCGTTTCTGTTCGTTTCTCGTCGTGACTCTCCACTCTGGCTGATACCAATCGTAAGCACGTATTGTACTAGCATAACGTAGCATAGTGCATAAAATAATACAACAATTGCGTGGATTTGTGCTTCCCCGAACAGACACCAAAGGAATCTCATCATCTTTTTGCGTAGCATAAAAAACAAAAATAAAGTGCCATTATAAAAATAAGTGTCTTAACTCTAATTACAACCACAGTTGTTTGGTAATTAAAAATAAACCAGCACTTGATGATTTCTCTCTAAACTTGTTGTGCAATAATTATTTTATACAAAATGAAGTTCTCCGTTGTTTTATTTAGTGTCTGCTTGCTGGTCATTTCAGTATCAGGTAACAACACATCAGACATTTTTAATTACGTCTAAAAATATCTATTATTATTATTATTATTATTATTATTATTATTATTACTAACTATTTGTCCCAATTATAAACTAATTTATTTTATTGAGGTTTCAGGTTTTTTTTTTTTTACCAACGCTACTGTTTAAAGAGATCAATTATAATCTCATTATGGCAGACGACGACGTGACTTAGCATTATATTAATTAAATATTTTAAAAAATTATTTCTTTTGGATTTTATTATCGAAATTTTAAAAAATCAAACTGGTTACTAGTGAACCGGTTTTTTGGTCGTGATAAACGATCGCTGCTTGGTTTTTTTCTCAAGTTAAAATTCGTCCAATACTTATTATTATTATCATTATCATTATTATTGCTTTTTTATTATTAGTCTAAACATAGAGGATATAATAAGTAGAAGAGCGCAAAAGAATACGAAGAAAGAATAAGATATCTTTCAATACATTTGTATGTTGACTTATGTCGTCATATTTCTGTATTATCAATGAAATATTATTCTCAAATATCTCTAATAAACTACTGCTTCGCTTCGAAAGCTGAATATGAATCATATTAGCTTTAAAACTTTGTATAATTATTCAACTCAGGCTGTTTATATTCAATTAAATTATCTTACTATTATCTTTTTGTAATTAGTGATTGGAGTCTCGAGTATTTTAAAATCTCAAGTTACAAGAAAAAATATCTCCGGCCTTGTACTGGGCTCAACTAAATAATATTTGGACTTATTGATATATATTGTAAATCAAATATTGAGCTAGACTGAAGCGATAGTCTATTCGATTGATAAATGTTTGTGTATATATAAATGTAGATATTTATATATTTTTTTATATGTAACTTAAGCACGTACTTAAGATAAGTTATCGCTTTTCTGCTGTTCATAGTTTAGTTACAGAGGACGCAAATATTTAATATACAATATTTTAATGCTCCAAAGCAAAGTATCTGAATAATATTTATATTTATTATTTATTTATACTAAATCTTGATACTGAAATAAATTACCCTTTCGCTAGAGCTCTAAATGACGTGGAATTTAAGTGGAATTAAGAAGCCTTACGCAGCATAAAATAATATAGAAATTATTTTTTATTAATTCACACATTACTTTGTTGCAAGATGTAAATGTAATTCGAACTTGGGACGTAACATTGATGCGTAAGCGTCGAGATAACGATGGAAAATTACTCAGAGATATATTATTATTAATTCTATGAACTAAAGAGATTTATTTTTACCCATTATTTGATTTTTATGTTTAATTAAGAAAAATTAGCTTCCTTGCAGTTACTATGTGACTTGTGAACTAAAAAAATTAAAATTTTGCATTATTTATTAATGGCTTTTGTTAAATCGCACTGTACTTTCTTAACTATTGACATTTTTAAAGATATAATCTCATCTTAATGTTACACTCATCAAGAGCTTTCATTTAAGTACCCACATGCATTTTGATATATTTTTCATATATACATGTATACATATATATATAATATATATATATATATATATATAAATATATGAAAAATTGATGTGGGTACTCAAATGAAAGGTCTCGATGAGTGTAATGTCAGGATGAGCTTATATCTTTAAAAATTTCAATACTTCACAAGATAAAAGGTCATTTCTTAATTATGTATCAAAAGTATTTTTGAATTTTTTTAATAACATAAATAATAAATAATTTGTATAAAATTTCAGGCGATTCAGCAGAAAAAACTGGCGTGGTTGAAGGAACAGTAATTGACAAACCAGAATTCCCTCCAGAACCGGAGAAAAATGAAACTACACCTGCCCCAACTCCTACCCCTGCGCCGCCAACTACTGCACCTCCTACGACAACGGAACCCACAACAACGACGACTGAGAAAACTACAACAACAACAACACCGGCTACTACAACATCGACAGTAGCCCCAACACCCACGCCGTCTCCAACACCGACTCCTACTCCAACCCCAACACCTACACCTGGACCAGCTCCAGCTCCTACAGCTGGAACATGGGTCGTAAACGGTGCGAATCACACAACGTGTATCATGGTTAAAATGGCTGCGCAGCTGAACGTGACATACCTCAACAAAGATAATAAAGTACGTAATTCTACATGTGATCTAAACATTATTTATTTATTTTATTTTTTTTTTCTTTTTTTTTTTTTTTTTTCAGACTATGCATCAACTCATAACATTGCCGAATAATACCATGAGCAATGCGACTGGAGATTGTGGAGCTGCTGAACAGTATATTAAGATCTCCTGGAACTCTTCAATGGCTTTGAATGATTCTCTGGTGTTGCATTTCAATAAAAATGGAACTAAATACTCGTTGCATCATATTGAGGCAAATTTGGCACCTCAGGATTTACCTAGCTATCAATTTAGTAAGTATTTATTTATTTGGTATTATGAGACATGAAAATCTAAAACCTGAAAGTGTCAGGAAGTAAATTTAGAGAATTAAATACTAAAAAATTTATGTTGAATTAAACAATTTAAAAATTTTTATAATAATTGATATGTTATAAAAATTCAAAGAATTTTTAGATGTCTTCTTATTTTAATACCATAAAAATTTTTGTCAACTATAAGACGTACAAGTATAATTTGTTATCTATATTAATAAATAATTTTTATTGCAGACAACACTTTGATGTTGGTAAATAACACTAATGAATACCCCGTCGCTGTTAGCAATTCATACAGATGTACTAAAGCCGTAAAATTACACCTCAATTCAAACGTACCAAACACAACAGCCGTGTTCGAAGTGTCTGATCTCCAATTCCAGGCATTCAGAAGCGACAACACAACAGCATTTGGCTATGGTAATTATTATTATTTTTCTATTTGGCTAATTATATTTATTAGACAATTGAAATTTAAATATGTACTTATACGGTTTCTGAAATCAATTACAGCTGAAGACTGCGCTTTCGAAACCCAAGACGTCGTACCGATAGCTGTAGGCTGTGCCTTGATCGCTCTCGTAATAATCGTCCTGGTCGCTTACCTCGTTGGACGCCGGCGTAGTCAGGCACGCGGATACCTTAGTATGTAAAGCGACAATTACGTATAAATTAAAAAAATCTAAAGTTATTTTTTATTTTCATTTTTTCATGAATCAAATTAATTTTTCTATCAGATTATAAATTTTGTTTATTATGAACTTTAATTATTATTGATACATTTATGATTTAATTGTAATCATTATCTTTGTTTAATTGTGATTATTTTTTTTATTTAAGTGAATTTATTGATACGTTGTAAAGGTAAATTTTCTCATATTTACCATTGTATCCACAATCATGTTTACCTTTTTTATTTTTGAATTCTTACATTTATAATTAATTAATATAAATATAATTAATATATGTAACTCCTATTAATTATAATAAATATACACGTGTAAATTGGATACAAAAATAGTATTAAAAATTGATTATTGTTACCTAATAAATTCAATTATTGAAATAATATTTTTGTTTTTGTTTGATTTTATTTTTAACTTTTATTTTATTTGTACTTAACTTTATAATCATAGCGATAAGAAATTATTTTTATATTTTAATCAGTCCTAAACCGATTAAAAGCTTGAATAGTTTTAAAAATTATTATAAATATCTTTTAATCTTTAAATATATTTTTAATTCATTTAAAAAATAAAATTGTAAACTAATTTTATCAAAGCCATTTAAATTTATTTCAACATTCTCTGTAATTATTTGCAATGCCACTAGAGGAGCTAGTGATTTCTATTTACAATTTCAATTCGGGTTAACTTTTATTATTAATATTTACACAAGTATTATGTCGAGTATTGGTTATTGGATGTACTAATTATTTGTACAACACAATTAAATGTTATAATAAATATTAACAATGTCAGCACAAATAAAAAAAAATTCGCGAAAAAGAAACCTGGATGAGTCACCACATGTCAACAATTCAAAACGTCGAAAAGTAAACAAAGAAAATAAGTCATCAAATGAGTTGACAGTAAATAATAATACCACAGGAAACAAAACCAAGAGGTGTGAAATATGTAATCAACAATTAAACAAATTAAAATTACTTGCTCCGCTTCCTGAGAATGCTGTCGATGAGGTTGTCGCACTGGCTGACACCAAGTTGTCTCTTGAATCTGATATAGGTTTATTAGAGGATTTTAGGCCGACTTATAGACTAATGAACTTTAGGTAAAATTGAAAATTAAATTATAACACTAAAGTTAGCCGATATTTTTAATTTTATAATTTTTTTTTTCATTTATTAAAATAGAACTAAAAAAATGTTTTTTAAAAATTGCACTTTTAGTTTTTCAAGTTTTTTACAAATGAAAGTTTATCTTTATTTTTTTTAAATAATTTTTCAATTAAGAAAAATTCTAAAAATTTTCAGATGTCAGCTAACTTGATTTCAATTAATACTTAATAATTAAATAGCTAACTTAATTTTAATTAATACTAATATATAAATACAAATAAATAATTCAATTTATAGCGTTTATGACGTCAATGATCACTTATGTCGATTCGATACTGGCTTGATAGAATCAAATGTATATTTATTTTGCTGTGGATTAATATTGCCGATCCATGACAAAGATTCAGAGAGCATTCCGGGGATTTGGACCCAAAAAATAGGACCCATAAATGAATGGTACACTTCTGGGTACGACGGTGGTCCAAACCAGCCGATTTTAATCAGTACACCTTATGCTGAGTACTATTTAATGTCTCCAGCAGAGTCGTATAAATCTTTCATGGATCCAGTGATTGAAAAAATTTATTTGACTAAAGTTGTAATCGAATTTCTTGCTTCGAGAGATGATGACCCGACATACGAAGATCTTCTAGATCACTTACAAGTATTTTATTAATTTATAAATTTATTTATTTCAACTCTTCAAATTTTATTTATTTATAAATTTTTAATAATCTAATTTATTTTCAGACTGTTAAATTGCCTGACGGATTAGTTCTTGCCGAAGAATCATTGTTAAAAAATGCCCAATTTGTCTGTGATCAAGTGACATCATTCGACGTCAGTGCAACTGAAGAAGAGAGTGATTTCCCACTCTTAACTACCTCTTGCATGCGTTCAATCATCAAATTAACAGGTGCTACGGTAGGTAATGACATAAAACAGCCCAAAAACAATGAAATATCTCCAGTGAAAAAAAAAACAATGCCCAAAATGATTCTCACGAAGCTAGTCTACCAAATAGTCAATAAATTTTTCTCCAAAGAGACTGACAGTAAGGAACTTTTTACCACGAGGCAATTGATGAATTGTGGAACGTGTAATGAATGCTTAAAACCTGGATGTGGTCGCTGCGCAGCTTGTAAGAAGAATAAAAGCTCGAAAAAGAAAAATTCTGTTTGTATAAAGCGAAAATGTCCGAACAAAGCCATCGAAGCTGCTGACTCGGACACTGAGTCGCTAAGTGACAAGAATAAGTCTCTGAAGAAGATTGAGAGCATTCCCGAGATTCTGAAAAAAATGAAAGTCTTTTCTAGAAAAGTTAAGTGGATAAGCTCCTCAATTAGTAGTAAAAATAATCGTTGTTATTACAGTAAAGCTCAAGTTAACTCTACGACAATAACTGTTAATGATTTTGTTAAAATAAAATCAAATAATCCAAGATTTGAGCTGATTGTTAAAATTGTCACGATGTGGGAGGAAAATAATGACCAGAAAGCTCACGTTAATTGTTTTTATAACAGCAGAGACACTGTTCTAGGTAATATTGGCGATAGTCGAGAACTTTTTGCCAGCAACCAATGCGCAGATATTTTTTTAAAGTGTCTAGATAGTCTTGTTAAAGTAATTAGACGCAATGTTCCAATGAAGTGGTCCGAGCTGGGAGATACCGAGCAAAGCGTTAAAGAAATAAAGAAAAATTCTAATGAGTATTATTATCAAATGCATTACACTCCAGAGACTGCGAGGTTTGAGTATCTGGATTCGGATCTTAGTGTAAAGTCTCAGGACTCATGTCCTGTTTGTTTAAATAAATCTCAAATTCAAGAAGCTGAGAAACCTCAGCTTGGTGAGCCGATTGTTCAGGATAGTCGAACATCTTACGGTGTCCTTTTGTATAAAAGTGAAGAGTATAGAGCAAGAACTGGCGTATATATTAATCCGGGGGTCGTTAAATTTAAGTACAAATTTTCAGTACCTGTTCCTGAGAAACTGAAGCAAGTCGACGAAGAATTATACCCTGAGTACTACAGAAAATACGCTACTGGAGATCATGTGAAGGGTTCTAACTACGATACGCCTGATCCTTTCGCAATAGGATGTATTAAAACTATTTTTACGACGTCTAATGACAATCCTGGGTTGGAAGATATTTTTTTGGTTGTTAATAAAATATATAGATGCGAAAACACACACAAGAGTTTCCTGATTCCTTCTGCGGATATTAATCAGCTGTTTTGGAGCGATGAAGAGATAAAAATTCCCCTTTCAGAAGTGATGGGCAAGTGTAAAATATTATTAAAGCCAGAAAATGATTTTAATGTTGGTAATCATCAATTTTATGTTTCTTCAACGTACAACGCTGAGGAAGAATCTTTTGAAGTTCTTTCGGAAGATATTAAGAACTCGTTGGAAAATCTTTCTGTGAATAAGGAAAAAAAAGTAAAGCCTCTGAAGACTCTAGATATATTTTCCGGGTGTGGAGGATTGTCTCAAGGTTTGTCAGACGCTGGAGTTGCCGATGTGCGATGGGCGATAGAAAAAGACCAAGCAGCTGCTAGGGCTTTTGTAAAAAATCACTCTAATGTTAAAATGTACGAAGGATATTGCAATGTTTTGCTAGATTCTATAATGCGAAAGGAAAAAGCGAGTTTTCCACAAAAAGGCGACATTGAATTATTGTGCGGAGGACCACCTTGTCAAGGTTTCAGCGGACTGAACCGCTTTAACGCTAGTCAGTATTCAAATTTAAAGAATGCGTTGCTCTTTACATTTTTATCTTACTGCGACTATTACAGGCCTAAGTACATTGTAATGGAAAATGTAAAAAATTTCGTTTTTCACCACAAAGGTCTGATGTTGAAGCTAGCGATGTACTGCTTCCTGCAAATCGGCTATCAATGTACATTCGCGATTCTCCAAGCAGGTAATTTTGGAGTTCCTCAGTCGCGCAGGAGAATAATTCTTCTAGCAGCAGCGCCCGGGAAAAAATTACCCGCATATCCAGAGCCTCTACACGTCTTCAGCAAACGCGCTTGGCAGCTGGATGTTGTAATTGATGGAAAGAAGTACTCCGGTAATTTTTCGTGGAAAGAGTCGGCTCCTTATCGCACTATCTGTGTTCGCGATGCTATTGAGGACCTTCCTAGTATCAGCAATGGAGAAAATCGGGAGCAAATAAAGCATCAAAAAGATCCGACGTCTCATTTTCAGAAAAAAATGCGGAAAAATGAGGCTTTTATTTCTGATCATGTTTGCAAAAAAATGTCCTTGCTTGTTGAAGCACGGATTTCAAAGATTCCAAGCACTGCTGGTGCAGATTGGCGTGATTTGCCTAATATTGTTGTGGAATTGGCTGATGGAACTAGCACCAAAAAATTGGAGTATCGGTATGAAGATTCAACTGGAAAATTGAGGGGAGTTTGTGCTTGCGCTGCGGGGAAAACGTGTGATTTAAAAGATAGGCAGGAAAACACACTGATTCCGTGGTGCTTACCTCATACTGGGCACCGGCATAGTGGATGGGCGGGTACTTATGGTCGCTTGGATTGGAATGGATTTTTTGGAACGACTATTACTAATCCTGAACCTTTAGGGAAACAGGTAGTTCATTTAAATAAAATTTAGTAGACTGTTATTTTGTTATTAAAGAGTAGATTTATATAGATATACTGCCAATATTAATGTTATTATTTTTAAATATTATAAACATTTTTCTTTACAAACTAAAGATACATTTCTACTTATTATTATTATTATTATTATTATTATTACATATTAGGTATTAGGATATTAGTCTTTGTATAACATATCAATTTTTAAAATAAGAGTAGATTTATATAAAAAAAAAAATGTATAATTTTATTTATTAAATTACAGGGCAGAGTATTACATCCAAAAGAAAATCGCGTAGTAAGCGTCCGTGAATGTGCGAGATCACAAGGCTTTAAGGATAATTATATCTTCCATGGATCTGTTATTGATAAATACCGGCAAATTGGTAATGCAGTACCTCCGTTACTTGCTCAAGCAATTGGTCTAGAGATAAAAAAAGTGTTATAAATTGTCAAATTATTTTTATTGTTATTAATTTAAGTAGGAAAAAATGAGTCTATTATAAAGAAATCCGATATTTTGATAAATAAATTTTTTAAGTAAAAATATGAAAAGTATTGATTAAAAAATGTGAGTTAGTTAATTAAATTATTGAATTTCGGGCTGAAAAGGTAAATAGAGGAATTTAAATACTGATGCGCACGCCACACAACAGCTGAGATACGTGTTCACACGGTGACGTTGACTATATAAAATAATTTCTACATGTTCTAAATTTTTGTTATATATTTTATAGATAACATTAGCAATAAATTTAGGTGTTAGTAGTTTTTTAAAATTAAAAATGTGGGCAGATACGGTGTTAATTGTATTTATAAGTGTCTGTACAGCTCTGCTAGGAGAAGGTAAATAAAAAAATTCATTTTTTTTTTTTAGGCTAATTTTATTTAATTTATTTTTAATTGTCATTGTAAATTAAACAATTATTTTTTTTGCAGGTCTAACGTGGCTCATGGTGTACAGAACTGAAAAATATCAAAAGCTGAAAACTGAAGTTGAAAAACAGAGTAAAAAATGTAAGTTTATTGCTATAACCTCTACTTGTAATTAATTAATCATTAATTTTGAGTTATTAATTGTTTATATTATTAAATTGTCGCTGTGTAGTGGAAAAGCGTAAGGAAGCACATGGAGACTCACTAGACAAGCAGCAGAAGAAAAAAATAGAAAGAGAAGAAGAAAGGCTGAAGAATAATAACCGTGATCTGTCATTAGTTAAAATGAAATCAATGTTTGCAATTGGTTTTGCTTTTACAGCATTGCTCAGTATGTTTAATAGTATATTTGATGGAAAAGTTGTTGCCAAATTGCCATTTGTTCCAATCACTTGGATTCAAGGACTGTCACATAGAAATTTACCGGGTGATGATTTCACAGAATGCTCATTTATTTTTCTTTATATTTTATGTACCATGAGTATTAGACAGGTAATTAAAAAAAATTCATTGACAGTTATTTATTTTAAAAAATTTATAATTAATAATAATAATTATTGCAGAATATCCAAAAATTACTTGGATTCGCACCGTCAAGAACAGCCAGCAAACAAAGTGGGAGTATATTCGGGCCACCACCTCAACAATTTAAATAAAATAAAAAGCATTAACTCTCTAAAAAAACAATTGAAACAATCAGAACAAAATCCTTGTGAGATAATTCCCGAGAATAATTTTTTAAAGTCAAATAAATTTATGATAAATATTAACATCGTATTTTTATTAATACATCTAATTACAATTACACAACTCTAGCTCTCATATGTTCTTGCGTGATGAACCGGTCGAAGGCCAATCTAAACTGGTCGATCGTCTTGAAATTTGTATTTCTCATGTACTCTGCAAGTCCACGACCGATTCCTGGTGCAAGTACAAAGCTTGACTCTCCAAAGCCTGTAGCAAACATAACGTTCGTGTAAAGAGGATGCTGGCCAACTACTCCGTTCTCGTCGAAGTAATTGTAGTCATACAACCCAGTTTTGATAGAAATCAGCTTGGTATTTTTAAACGCCGGCACTCGCTTCACGAGCGAAGGTAAAATTTCTCTGTGAAAGTATTCTTCATCAACAGGTAGATTCTTTTCATCCACGTTCACAGCTGAAGGGTCTACTTGCTCGTTTACAGGAATTTTACTCGCCATGTAGAGATTTGACAAGTTTTCACGGCGGAAAAATACTCCCGATGGATCGTTTAGTACCGGACAATTGAGATTTGGTCCATCTGGGGCTTCAAAATAACACAGATGTCTTTGTCTAAAAATTTTTTCATTATAATTTAATTATTTTAAAAATGTAAAAAATTTTTAAATGTCTATTAAATTCAGTATTTTTAATTAACTATGTAAATATTGATTAAAATAATGATTATACCTTGGAATTACAGGTAATGGAACAGAACGTACACCACAAGTACGTCCAATTTTCATAAGATTAGCGAGATGTCCGCTTTTAGCTCCAGCAGCAACTACACACACAGCAAATTGCATGACTTTTTTTTCTCCAGCTTCTGTTTTTACCTATTAATTCAAACAAACAAATTAAAGTAATCAATAATTAATTATTAAACTTAAATAATCTCATTAAACTTCTTACTATAACATGATTTAGTTTGCTGTACAAATCACTAGTGGAAGGTGAAACAGCAGAGAAATTTTGAATGTTACTAAAAATGAATGCTTTGGCTTCAGCCGTAACATATTCAACACCCATTGCCTTAGTTTTGCGTCTCAGAGCTTTAAGAAACGCGTAAGGATTAAAAGATCCTTCTTGTTCGTCTCCCATAGACCCGAGAGCGATTCCTTCGGTATTGAGCCAAGGGAACATTCGCTGTAACTGTGTTGGAGTATAAATAGATGTAGAAGCACCGAAAGAATTTTGGAGCTTGACATTTTGAACAAGTCTCTCAGCATCTTCTTCTTTGGCTAGGATCAAGTTACCATGGGGTCTAAACTCTATGTCTAATGGCTCTTCTTTGTCGAATCCTAAGAATTTGTCAACGTCTCTAAGAAAGTGCGTTCCGTACATTGACAACTCGATGTTTTCTTCCAGCGCAAACTGTTGAGTTATGACACTGCTCGTCATGAGCATTGGAGATGTATAACTTTCCTAAAATGTTATTGAATTAAATAATTTTTTTTTTTTTTGTAATTAATAGAAAAATATTTAGCATAAAAAATTAAAAAATTGTCATACAAGTGGTTCATCTTCCATTACGACGACTTGAAAACCTTTTCCACCGTATTTTTGCATCCAGTATGCTGTACACATCCCCATGACACCACCACCAATAATAAGAACTTCTATGTGGGTCGGGAATCCTGTCGAGTCTATTTCCCATTCGTCCCATTCTGGAGGCTTTGGTTCTTTCCAAAATAATAATTTTCCTTTTATATCACGAAGTTGTTTACCCATTACTCGTGTTGCTCTTCCAATTGGATGCTCCATTTCAGGTTCTTTTGACCAGTAGTCATCACCTTCATTATCTTGTATCAATTTTTTTCTGTAGTCATCGTCTTCTTGGTTGTCCTAAATTACATCAACATAATACAATAATTATTGATAGCTATTTTTTTATGTTGATCTAGGTATCGATTTTTTTTGCTAATATTTTTTTATAATAATTAAATTGTTTTAAAAACCTAAAACATTTTAAGATGTCTGTTGATTTCAGTATGATATTTATTTAATAAATAAAAATAAAAAAAAAAAAAAATTATAAATAAATAGTAAGAAGATGATGTTTGGTTAATAAATGTAATTTGTATTAAAAAAATTACCTTGTTATAAACAATTGATGAACTAGAAAAAGATCTAGAAGTGCAACTTCTAGGAAATATCAGAGAACTTCCACGAATAATATTTCGGAACATCGTGGAGTTTTATATAAATACACTTATAAACTTATAATCCAACTAAAAACACTTGCAGCATTATTTTTTAATGCTTGTCAACAACTAATTATTTTAAAATAATATATTCTCTCTTGCCATATAACCTCTTTCCTCCAACAAAATGAAATTATATACAGTAGGAAAGCCGAGAATCACGTGGTACAGTGAAGTTGAGCGGGTAAATCTGAATTTACTTACAATTTTGAAAACTGTAAAAAAAAAATGTCATGATTCATCTACCTGAAAAGATTAATCTTCAATATTTAATGAAATAAATTTTTAAGTTCAATTAAAATTAACAAACCTTAGAGACCTTTTCTCTCTAAATACGTGTTTGAATTAGAGGACTGTTAAATAAAGATTTATTTGTGTAATGATGACTAGCGAGTCAGGAGAAAATAAATCCACCTCAGATATCTATTTCCGGCGATCTGGAATCCCAGCTGATCCCCGCTCGAATGCCAGCGGCTCATTTTCGCGGTCTTGATGATTACCTATTTGTAGAAATATATACATTGGACCAGTTTGCAGTTTACCGCCGACTAGCATCCACTTCACTGCACGACTTCACATTTCACACCACATTTATAATATTAACGATCGACGACGCAGTCAGCTGTTGACTATTGACCATTGATATCATCAATTCAAACTTGACAATTAAAAAATAAACAAAAAATCTGGCGTCACTTGGAAGTTCCATTTTAAACAATCAAAGAAACCAGCCAGATGACAGCTGGTCTAGATGTCCGATGTGTCAACAACGCATGCAGGAACCTCGTCTCCTAGATTGTCTGCATCCACTCTGCTTGAACTGCGTCAAGGCGTGTCGCTCTTTAGCTGAAGGTATTGTTCTAAATTACTATTTAAAAAATGACATTACAGTCAGCTGTCATTTAACAATTTTTTTATTATATTTAATAAAAAAATTTATTCCAAAAAATTATTTTTGATAAATTGCATTTCTAATTTTTTTAAATTTCTATATGTCACTTTTTTTTTTTTTCATATTTTTTTCAAAAATTTATTTGTAACAAAAATTTTGGAAATTATCAAATATCTGCTAACTTAATTTTCATAAATAAAAAGACTCGCCCTGGAGACGTCGTGATGAGACTAAAGGCTGTCCAACCTGCGACCATCCATTTTCTTCACCAGAAAAACCACTACCACCGCCCCATTATCCTCTTCAGCATCGAATTCTTATGGATACTATCATCACTCAACAGCTGCTGTGCTACTGCGATGGATGTCACGGTCAAGTCCAGGTAATTATATTCAATTCCAATTAAAATTAAAATTAAAACATATTTATTTTGAAGAATTATTAATTAAAATATAAATATGAAAATTTTTTTAGGCTTCACTCCATTGCTCAACTTGTTTGAAAAACTTCTGCAAAAATTGTGGCGCAGAGCATCAGAAAATACGAACGAGAACTGGAACACATGAGATAGTAGCTCTTTGGCAAGCTAAACGGTTCCGACGAACGACCGTGTGTTTAGATCATCCTCAACACTCGCTGAGATTTTACTGCATCGCTTGCCAACAGGTTTGAGTCATATGTCACTCGTTCGTTTACTGTTTAATTATATCGCGCTATATATACTACTTACTTCATTTATATTTTGTATTTATTGTGAATGAAGTGATTCGTGATAATCTGATAATTAATGGGCAATTGTTATTGTTATTATCATTTATTGTAGGTAACTTGCTGTGAGTGCATGTGGAGAGAATCGCATCGAGGACACGCGTGTGAGAATCATAAAACTGCGGGTAGGACTGCTGCGAGAATATTAGCTAATGCAATTCAAGATGCTAGAATTTTATTGAATAGTCTTCTTGTGAATTATACACCGAAATCTTTTTCAGCGGTTAATTTGTATCGAAAACGATGTAGCTTTCTGTAAGTTGAATTTTTTATTTCTTCACATTTTTTTTTTTTTTAATTAATTAATTAATCCAATTGTTTATTTTTAAAAATTATTTTGTAAATTTAATTTTTATTTAAAGAAATCAAAGAATTAACTTGCAAGAAAATGAAAAAGAATTTTTACATGCCCAACAAGCGAAACAAAGAATTGAAGAATTTAGAAGACTTGAAACTTCACGACATCTTTTAGATGCTATTTCTCTAGCTGAACAACTTCTTGCTGAAGGTTTGGTAGCAGAGATTCTTTGTCTATCGAAGATAATCTTAAAGAGATTACAAAAGTTAGGGTTACCTGTACAATCAAGTTTTGGAATAAGTAAGAATTTTATTACATACTGAGACTTTCATAAGCCAGTAGAGTATTTTAATTTAATAGGTAAATTATTTTTTTAATAAATGTTTAGGTGGTGTGTATAGAGGAAAAAACCATCCGGGAGTATTTCATTGCTGTACATTTTGTTCGAGCGGAGGAAAAAAGGAAACTATGTGTTTCTGTCAGGGAACTATGCCTGGTAAGTTTGACAGTTATGAAGTTCAGAAGTAAATCAATGTAATACTTTAAAAAAGATGTCAGGCGAATTTATTTTTGAAGGTGGATACCGAGGATGCGGACACGCTTATTTTGGACATCCTGGAGTTAAGCATTGGTCTTGTTGCGGGTCTACAGATCGTAATAGTAGCTGCACGCAATGGAAAATTCGAAATCCCTCTCATTTTTCTTTTTAATTAAAACTTTGACGATTGACTTATGAAAATCTTGTAGAAGTTATATATTTTTTTATCTTGTAAAATCTATTTTTTATACCAAATAAAAAATTGGATACAAACAAAAGACAACTTCTGAATTAATGGAGCTTAAAAAAAAAGTGAAAAATATTAATTTTTTATCTTCTAAATAAACAAATAAATAAATAACAAATATTTATTGAATTAAACGTAAAAAAGTTATAAGTAAATTAAAAATTATAATCTCGAAAGATTAGTATACATTAATATCAGTGAATAACTTATGATTTAAATTATTTTTATTTGAACTGGATATTAATTTTTTATAATGAAATTGAGAGACATCTGATAATTTTTAGAATTTTTTTTAAAAAATTATAGCAAGAAAAATTTATTTAAAAAATTCCTTCTTTAGAAGCTCTCAAGAATTATAAATGCAATTCTTTTAAAATAATTTTCTGGCTTCAGTTCATTTATCGAAAAAAAATAAATTGTCAAGTATCTGCTAACTTCAGTCATGATTTTTCAATGTAAATTCATTTTTTCACAAAATGATAATTCGAAAAAGCGATACATACGTATGCGAAGCATCAAAGAGTGCTTTACGATCGAAAAATTTTTAATTTTTTTCAATAGAATGACAATAATATTAATACGAAAGTAAAAATTATTTTTCTCAATAATCTTTCAATTCTTTCCATAAAAAAAAAATTATTTTTTACCTTTAAAAAAATTATTTTTTATCTCTAAAAAAATTCATTAAGTAAAAATTATTATCTTGTTACCTAATAACAATAAAATTGCCTATTCAACGTCATAAATAAAGAAATTTCTTAGAGCTCTACTCTAACTCTAACATATCTGCATAATTGCACATTTTTTTGAGTATCTGAATGTGATTATAATTCGCAACACCAAATTTCTTCTTGATCAAGAAGTCCTTCAAAGAACTTTTCTGCAATTCTTTATTAGCAATGCTGATTTGCATTCGTACTTCCAATGGATCAACCCAGACCGTATTACCGAAATGTAAAACAACCTAAAAAAAATAACAAAAATAAATAAAAAAAATTAACAAATAATATTTTATCAAAAATACTTACTGTTCCTCTCAATGAAGTACAAGGAGCTTCCAAATGTTCAGTAAACCAGCTCTTGCTAGCTTGATTAGCCCTGACATTCCACTCGACTTCTTTGTCAAAAGGCGATACGTTAGCTAGGAACACTTCAACAATATGAGCTGGAGCTTCTGCCAGTTCCTGGGGTAACTCTCTCAACCGACTTACCTGCATAAAAAAATAAACCAATTAATAAATCTTCACTTTCAGTAAATTAATTAATAAAAAAAATAAATAAAAATTACTAACATTTTGGTTAGTATAAACCAATCCCGAGTCAATATTTCTCAAATCAACAATTTGAGGTACATCATCAACTTTCTTAACAACATTAATAACTTGTGCTCTACAATATTCATCAAGCCTCTCATCATACCCGTAAATCCCTCCAATTTCAACAGTACGACACTTGCGTCTGTTGCGAGTCGCCGCAAAGTACTGATAGACCTTCGACTCAATTTCAATATGCGCGGCCGGTGAAATCAGGTGTTTCGTCCCCTCGCTATCAATATACTCTTGTATCTTCGCCGAAAAATGAGTCGCATCATGAAGATAAGTAATATTTATTTTAATTTTATCTCCAATCTTCACTGGCGTGATCGGAGTATCAGCTTCAGCAACAAAACAATGCCTGTACATGCAAGCATTTCCCTTTTCACAGCTTCCAAACGCTTTTATCCCATCGCAAATAGGGTGTGCTTTTTTCTGGCGCTCTAAATTAACATAAACTCGCTCGAAGGCGTTCTTCTGCTCAGCAGACAATTTGTACCCCGAGCGCTCGACTAAATTGAGAATACCTCTAAGCTGAATGTCATTACTTTCATCAATAAAAATAGTGACCTCAGTGCTGGTGGACTTTTTCTGTAAATTAGTCATCAAAGTTGAAAACCGGAACAGGAAAATTGACTTAGTAGGTACCGCGATAGAGTAATGAATCAGCCAATCTACATTAGTTATCTCCAGAGTTGGCAAAGGTTTGTCAGTACAAATTAAAACTCCATAGTTTCCAGATATTTCTCTGTCCCAACACTGCTTTATATCTCCAATCTCGGCTCTGACCATCTCTTCAGAAACATACAGCGTGCGGATGCCTTTACTCACCAGATAATCATTCAGCTCACGCGCTTCTTCGCCTTCTGCACAAACTATCATCGTCTTAACCAGCTTGTAGTGTTTGTCCAACAATTCCTCAGTCTTAACAAGCTTATTTTCTTTCAAGATAGACCTGGTCCTCAATTGAATCCCACAAAAAATCGTAGCGTCTGCAAAAGAACCAATGCAATAAAATGGATTGTTGAAAAATTTTTGTGTGAATGTTCCCAACACTCTAGACCATTGCCTAGCGACAGCAATAATTTGCAAAGCCATCAGCCGTGAAGTTTGGGACTTTTGCTTCTCAAAAGGTGTATATTTTTTCAGCAGCAGCATCAAAGAGTCCAAATGTTTGGTCAATAAATCGTCCAGGTGATCAATTACCAAATGATTTATGCTGTTAAACTTGACAGGCGCACAATTGTCCTTATCTTCGAGATAACGGAACAAAAAGGCTGGAGTCGCGATGAAAATATGACATCCATTGTAAATTTGAGCTGTTATAGATCGATATTCACATCCATTAAAAGCTCCGATTATTTTTATGTCGCTGTACTCGGATAAAAGCAACCGAAAGTGTTCTTTAGTGTACAAGACTTCTTTCGCAGATGGACAGAGAATTAAAGCCATAGGCTGGCCATCTTCTTGGTACTGTCGTGTCTTTATTATCATATTAGCAATCGGTGCGATAAATCCAAAAGTTTTTCCGCTCCTCGCTGGACCCACGGCCATCACATCCAGCCCCTTACTGATTGCAGGCCACATGTAGGACTGGAGATTCCTCACTTTTCTCACGGATATTTTGTTCAGTGCTTGATGGACGTGTCGGGTGAATTTCGCACTGGCTATGTCGTGTAAGCGAGTGCACTGCTCGTTACCACTTACTAATATTTCTTCAAATCCGACTCGTTGAGCCACTGAATTAATAGAAGCTGAAGTATTATTTGAGTCACTCTTATTGTCTGAATCAACTATCGGGGAGCTAAAAGACTTGACTGAAGTAAAAGAGTCGCTACTTTTGACCTCCAGCAGATCATTGTTCACAAGAATTGCTCGGTGTGCTTTTACTAGAGCTTTTCTCAGCATAATAATTTGATTTTCGATGATCAAATAGAGCTCGCCGTATTTTTTTCCAGAGTTTCCAGAGGCCAAGGCTTCAAAGTAACATTTTTTAGATGCGCAGATCAACTGCTTCGCTAAATCGATTGTTTCAGGGCACCAAGTTTTTTTGGCTAGAAGTTCTACAAAATCTTCGTTGTTGGATTTTATAATCGCGGGGATGATTCTGTACAAACTTACCATTTCTGTTAAATAGTGATTAGGGATTGCGTCTTTGGGAATGACGATAAGTGCCTGGCGACACAAGTCAAATTTAACACCATAGTCGACTAAAAACGCAGCGTACTTAAGAGTGTCGTGATCGTAGCCGATTATTAGAGCTCGAGAATACCATGCCGGTAAATCAATTCCATCTGGAGTGTCTCTATTAGTTATTACTAGCTATAATTACAAAATGTTAATTTAGTAAATAAATTTAATAAAATATTTTTGATTATTTTTGAAAATTTTTTACTTACCGATCCGAGAGGAATTGAATTATAATTAACATTTTCTTCGGTCTTTCTATACTTCTGAGCAATTACAATAAGCTTTTCATTGATAGCTTTCAATTTTTCCTCCACGTTATTTACATCTCTGATAAGTATCTTACTTGGGTGGGTTAATTTTTCTACTGTCACCTCCACAGCGTGGGGAGGAATTTTATGGTTTATAACAACTAAGATATGTGATAAAAAAAAAGTATGAATATAATTTTGGTAAAAGTAAGTAACAAAGGATTTTGTTGTTATTTTTTGTGTACTTACCCATGATTAGTTTGTAGAGATTAATAAAGGTTACACGAATTAACAATTAAACATAGACAAGTTAATAAATAAAACAACCACGGTTTAATTTAAATGGATTTGATACATTTAATTGATTAAAATCTTCATTTTTTTTTTGTTACGGAACGCAGTGACGCTGATACCAAATACCACGTGTGTAAACAACCAAACAACCCAAGCGTCAATTAAAAAACTGAAATTTGAAACCACGTTTTTTTATTTCATTTAAGTGTGAAATGTAGGCGGCGCCAGTGGTATTGTCAATTAATTCCCAAGCGTCACAAAAAACTCACTTGATTTTTTGATAAATTTTATTTAACAAGAAGTTAAAAATTAATAATTGTCTACTTAAATTCAACAAAATATTGCCAAGAAGAAAATTTTTGTGCCGCTTGGGTTATTTTGGCAAACAGAATCTAAACTGTATCATTTATAGAAATTATTATAAAGTTTAATTTAGTTTTGATTTTTAATTCTAAATTATACAAAATAAAATTTTAGATAAAATAATGATTTTCTTGAAAAATAAACTAAGTAAGGATAAAAAATTATTTAGAAGTTTCTAAATAAAGTTTTCTTGATATAATTTATTTGTTAAAAAACTTCTAAAAGTTATTAAATGTCTCAATTTTAGTATCATAATATTTTTTATATTTTCAAAAAACTAAAGTATTAAATATAAAAACTTAAAATATACAAATGATTACTTATATTGATAAATTTCAATTTTTAAGCAATAATGATGAATAAATTATTTAAATACTTATATTAAGTTTTAAATAAAAATATTAGGAATTAATTATTGCTAAAACTATTTTGTAAAGTGAAACTTAATTAAAAATAAAAGATAAATTTTATTAATTTTTATTTATTCATAAGATGGAAAATTCGATAAGAAAGATTGAATAAATATTGAATTTATAAATTTTTATTATAATCAAATATTAATATTTGACACAAGAAAATGACAGATTACTTCTTCTTGGACACACCAACAGTACGACCACGTCGACCAGTTGTCTTGGTATGTTGTCCTCGGACACGAAGACCCCAGAAATGACGAAGACCACGGTGAGCGCGGATTTTCTTCATGCGTTCCAAATCTTCACGCAATTTAGAGTCCAAGTTGGAACTGGTGAGCTATGAAAAAAATTACAATAAAAAATTAGTAATTTTCCACAGTATTGATGAAGTAAAAAATGAAATTTCAAGTTAATTAATATTAATGTTGCATGCTGATCTAAGTCACAAGTTACTTAAATAAATGAATAAGTATTCAAGTTAACTAAAATGCAGTTTATCTAGCACAGATTACCAACCAAATAGATTAATTAAAATACAATCAACTGGTCGTGTATCTGTGCAGTAGATTAGATTATTTATTTATATAAACAATTAATACCTGGGAGTATTTTCCGTCAATGATATCCTTTTGTCTGTTGAGGAACCAGTCTGGGATTTTGTATTGTCTGGGGTTGGTCATGATGGTGACGATTTTTTCAACCTGTCAATAAAAAGAAAAAAGTTATTACTGTGGTTAATTGATTTAGCGTTTAATGAAATTTGTGATTAAATTAAAAAATTTACCTCCTCTTCGGTACATTCTCCAGCACGCTTGGTTAAATCGATATCTGCCTTCTTGCATACAATGTTGGCGTAACGTCTTCCAACTCCTTTGATGCTGGTCAACGCGAACATGATGTTCCGGTTACCATCAATGTTCGTACCAACGATACGAAGGATGTGCTGGAATTTCTCTGGGATGATCAGCGACTGAAATCATTGAAAATTTTAATTAATCATCCATTTTTTAATATTCTTAAATTAAATATATCGGAGCACTAAAATTATAAAAATTAATTTTTTGAAACAAAACAAATATTATTAATAATAATAGCAACAATCATATTATTATTATTAACAATCATAAGCTCATGACTTTATCCGCGAAATCATAACCTCAAAGACGCATGCTGCCGTAAATTAACTATTTGCAGTTTAAAGGCAAACGGTAAATCAAAAATAATCAACTCATTTTGTTAGTCAAAAAATTAGGTTTGATAATATGCAATTTTTTGATAAAAAATTCTAAAGATTTAATTAATATTAATTATTTTAATTTAACAATAAAATATGGCCTACCATGTTGAGCGACGTCAGTGTAAAAGAGGCTGATTTACATGTGTCCGTATTTACCTCACTATACAACGGCTTTTAGAAGAAAACTTCAGCACCATCTTCTGGTAGAGTTTATAATTGCAGGTATTGGAGGGGAAACACACGACCTCTGAATGATTCGCGGGGGTTGATGAAATTAAAAATCAATTGATAAAATTAAAAAAAAAACATATTAAAAATTGATAAATTACATTTTAATAAACAAATTATTTATTTAATTTTTTTTTTTTAATTTTATAATAAATTTATTTTATTGCAAATAAAAAATATATAAAGCAAAAGATCCAGTTATTGACACTGGCTTATTTCTTTGACACTTGCAATTTTATTTTAATTAATTAAAAAAATAAAATGTTCTCAAAAAATCAATTATCTTAAAATTTATAACTTAAAAATTATATTTATTTATTTTTTTTAATTAAAATAAAATTGCGTGTCAATAACTGGGTCTTTTACTTTATATTATAAATTTAAACTCATTTATTTATTGAATATATTTTTATTTTCCTGACTTAACTATTAAATATTTTAAAAAAATGTTGCTAAGCATTTAATTTTTGTATTTTAATATTAAAAAGTGTTCCTAAAGTAATTAAAAAAAAAAAAATACCTAACTTATCAAATACTTATTACTAAATTAAAAAAAAAAAAATAGAATTATTTAATAAAAAAACAAATTTATTTAGAATGGAAACTTAAATTTTATTTTTGAAAAAAAATACAATCATTTAAAGAACAAGAGTCTCCTGGAGTTTCATCTGCTTCTTGCATTTAGCTTTAATCTGAGCAGCGATGCGGTCGAGATCACGACGTCCTTGGCTGGTGAGTTTGCGACCACCCAAAGGAGTCTTCTCGATGAGCTTAAGCTGCTCCAAGCTCTGGAGAGCTTTGCGAGCGATACCTCCAGCAGATTCGCAGAAGTGGCTCGGGTGGGTTCCGTTGCGCTTGCGGCCACCGAAGATTTTCCTGACAGCACCAACTCCAACGGGGCTGCGGAAGTAGATGTGACGGACCAAAGCCGCGCATCTTGTGTAGTACCAGTCCGGGTCATAGGGCGCCAATTCCTTGTGTCGGCCTGTCTTGACAATGTCTACCCAGTCAGGAACGCGCAATTTACCAGTCCTGAAGTCAAAATTATCATTAGTCAATTGTAATTAATTATTTTTACATAAAACATTCCAACAGCATGAGTAAAAGTTAGGTTATAAAATGAAACTTACTTTTTCAGGAAAAAGGCGATACCTCTGACGGCTTTGTCCTGGGGAACGTCTTTTAAATTTACTGACGGCATCTGTAATTATTATAATTAATTATTATTATTTATTTAATTATTTTTTTATAAGGATAAATAAATACTACTTTGCAATTTATCACGTGTTAAAGTCACGGATATTGTTTTAGAGTTTTAAGGATAGGTAAAAAGTAAAATTAGAGTTCTTAATATTTTAAATGAAAGATAAAATAATTAAAATAATATTTTTTATGTTTATTATTATTTTTTTTTATTATTTATTTAATAAAAATGATTAATAAATACGGATATAACGAACCTTGAAGGCGATTCTAACCAAAAGAATCTGAAAAAGAATGTTTTTAGTGAAGTTAGTATACTTTAGGCTTTTATATAGTAAGTTTAATTTTACTATAGTAAAATAAACTCGGTAATATAAATTCCTTCTTTCTGAAGGGTAGCCATTATTAAATTCAAATTTATAAACAATAAATTATTTTTGAAATAAAGATAATTAATAATTAATAATTAGCAAGACTAAAAAATGAAATTGACTTTCTCTTATACTTTTATTGAACTAGTTTTCTTTTTAAATAAATATTTATGGAGTAACTACGAGAAATTTTGTGTTTTTTTTTTAGTTTTTCGTGAGTTTAACAACATGCAGATGTCTACAGCCACTCCAAATGAAAATAAAACTCAGTGCGCGGAACACAATCACATGGGTTATGTCACTAATAACTAGTTAAGTAGGCATGTAATAAAATTGTAATTAAAAAAAAAGGTAATTATAAAGAGAATACCAAAGTGACAATGTATACATTCGATGCGCAGCATATCTTTGGAAAAATATTTAGCCGTTGTACAGCTATAACATTGCCAAAAATTAATTTATCGCGGTCTCAAAAGGTAAATATCAATGTGTCAGTAGGTTAAAGTTCATTTATTTATCTACCGACATACATTATTTATTAAACAGTGCATAATTATTTCATAAGACTATCTAATATTGCAGATACTGATAATATGCCTGACGGGAGGGACGTTGCTGCTAGGAAGCCTAGCTAAATATTTGAAACGGCGGCGGCGACCACCTTACCCTCATATTCGCCGGCCGACTATTCGACCGCGATTTATAAACTCCAAAGGATCTAATTTCGGTAATTAATTGCTGTAATATTATATTTCAAAGAGGAGTTGATATTATATGTTATTAAATTGTTATTAAATGTTTAGATGCTGTTTCTCAAGTGTCATGGGCTAAAAGAAGTGAAGCTAGTACGAGAAGTCATATAAGCGACCGGGCATCTCTTGTTTCGTCGATTCCAGGAGGTCCTGAGGGTGATGTTAAATTAACTCCACAACAGTATGGCGTTCTTGGTGAGTCTTTTATTTTTTTTTTTATGTTTAATAATTATTTTGGAGTTGAAATTAGAGATGTAAAGTTTGTTTACTAAGCAGTCAGTTATACGTTTACGTAAATAGAATTTTTTAGTTTTTAATTTCATAATTTATAAACACTTTCTTATCAAAATGCCTAAGAAGTATTTGATTAAAGTTTTTATTTTAAAACTAATAATATTTTTAAACTTCAATTACTTAATTATCAATTTTTCAAATTTTTATGTATAAAAAAAAATATTAATTTATATTTTTAAAAATTACCTAAGTAAAATTGCATAAATATATTATTTTTATGTATTTTTCAAAGAAAGAATTTTAATTGCACAATTAAAAGACTAAGCATTTTTTACTAGTCATTAAACTTAAGGAATTTGCTGGAATATGTGAAAAATAATATACTTGCTAGTAGCACAGAAAAGCTTTATTTTTTAAATAACATAATTATTAAATATGAATAAGTTTATTTTGTTCGAAGCCCAAATAATGTTCTGATCTAATTCAAGAACAAATTTATAGATTGATCTAAATCGCAATAAATTTATTGCCAATATAATTATAATCAATAAAATAATGAATGCAAAAATCCGTATACTAAGTACCAATTATTGCTTGCAATTGGGCTAACTGATATGAAACTTTGATTGGGAAAATGATAAATTAATAGTTAAAAATTCTAATAATATAATAAATAAAAATCGAGAGCATTAAATTAATAATAGTTTGTGCGAGGTAACTTCTAATATAATGATCACTTAAAATATATATATAAATATAAATATAAATCTATAGAAATTTCGTAACCAAAATACTAAAATATAAGAAAAATATTTGCTATCCATTAAATAATCAATAATAATTAATAACAAAAACATCAATAAGATGATTAATAATAATAACTAATTAAAGTAAAGCAACGAATAATATTAAATAGTAACTCGAATAATTAGGAACGCTATAAAGTAATAAGCCCTTATTATCTGCACGATCGATCCATTATAAAATTGTATTTTCAGTATTAAGCCTGATATAAGTGAAGAACAAATTCCATAGCATGAAAAAAAAACATTTTAACTCGCTAAAAATGTGCTATCTTGCAAGTAAGGAAACGATGACTCCATTTATCAATTTTACCTTGACTAATCAGATAATTAAAAAAAAAAATATACGTATATAGAAGGAACATGCGGTTTAATAGAAATAAACAGATCATATGAAAGCTGCGTAGTAAATTTAATCTGTAAGGAAATAGATCGGGAGTAGGATATAAATAAATAAAAGCATAATTGGAAAATTGAGGGCCTTGTTTGTAAGAAAAATATCTTGTACAGACTGTACGTTGATACGGTCACGTATACCAGGGCTAAACCGGATAGTGTAAGTTCAGCCGTACTGTAACAGGTTCGCTGATTTAAAATATGTGTGGGTTGCAGACTGATGTATACACATTACTATTACGTGGAGGATGTAAAGGGAATGACAACAGACTAGTATTGGTAGTACGTAGGCTGAAATAAGCATCTCTACTATTACATACACACCACAGAGAATCTGTACGAACATCAGCCTAAGGGGCAGAGTGTGTACGTGACCACTAGTGGGGACTAACCAACGCGGGATCACAAGTAAACATTCATGCGCGTCAACCACGCCGTAGTTGAAAGCAAAACACCGATCCATTACGTTCTATTCACGTAAAATTTATAATAAAAAAATACGTTGACGTTTAACTCCAGTCTGTTGAATACGTTCAATAAATATCAAGTCTTAATTTCATCATTTACACCGTGTTTCATAACTCGATCATACCTCAAGCAATAATATGATTTATCAGTTAATTGGAATTGTAATAAAGTTCCATTGAATTTATCTTATTTAAAAATCTACTTTTTGCGCGAGATATTTACTCTAACGTGATCTTACGGTGTGATATGACCTAGAGTTCATTGAAACATTCATTTATTGAGACACTAAGGATGAGAATAATTATTGTCAGATGAGCTGATAATAATTTATGAATAACTAGTTCTGAAGATTTAGTTAGTTGAATATTAAATATCGAGGATTGAGCATAAAGGAGCAGAGAGAAAAAATGGATCTTGTTTACATGCCAGAAATTATGACCTACGGATCATTCAGGGCTCCGGCTTTAAGAGACTATGAGCAACCGTGGAATAAAAATTATTTTCAATATGGTATGTTTGTAATTATTTTTTATTATTTATTCTGTTTTTTTTTTTTTTTGTTGTATTTACCATATTATCAATTATTTATAAAGGTTGAAGATCATTTAGTAACCGCTGAAAACAATAAGTATCGCGTGCCGGTAGATATCTTTAGACCAGATATTTTTAACTCTATCACGAGAGTTTTTAATAGTTTGATTTTTATTACTTTACTTTTATGGAATAAAATTCTTAAAAAGTTATTATTAACATAATAAAACTTTAGTTATTTAATTAAATATAGTTAAAAATGATGACGCTAGACATACGTAAATAGAGTGAAAGTTGTTAGCTCAGGTTTTTTTTTTTTTATCTAAATATTTGTTTACGATTCATAAATCTTTTTTATTTTATGTAATTTAAATTTTAATAAATTCGATGACTAAATCGCTCGCTGATAATTTTTGATCTAATTTTATTCATTATTTATTGGAGTGTTTTTTTTTTTTCGATAATTCACTGATAGGACACTCTAGATGTATAAAAAGTAGGCCAAGCTTAAATTGCGACGCAGCCCGTCTTGTTGGTGTTGATACACTCTAGTTTGTCCTTACCTTGTGGTCAGACTGTTATGTTATATCGAAGCACGCATTTTATTTTTTCAAGGACGCCAAATAGTGTCTTGCGTGTTTACTAAAATTTATTACTATTACTTGTTTTAAAATATTATCATACATATGTTTGTTTACTTTTTTATGCATTCATATTGCCATAAGATAACAATGAGCTGTACACAATTATATGAAAAATAAAAGTGCAAGTTTCTTATCATGTCAATTTTAACACAAGATTGATGACCTTAGCATAGATTATTTTAAAAAGTAGATAGTAAAATAATAAATAAATTAAAAAAAATATTAGGGATAAAATAATCCCAATTAAATATTAATTTATTTAAATGGATAAGATTAATTTTTTTTAATCTATTGAATATTAATACCTCGATAAAGTTATTATTACAGGGTATTAACATTTAATTGCTGTTAAAGATTGCATGTAAATTAAAGTCTATTAAATGCGGAAAACACGTCAAGAAACTTAACCGGTTTTTATTATAAAAATTTTATTTATTTATGATGAGGTGTGTTTATTTATGTTTACTTTATTTTTGTTTTTATTGAAGGTAAATCACCGTCTAATAACACGACTAGACAACAGCAAGAACATCTACAGCAACAATTACGCGCAAACTCTAAAAAGGAACACTGCCATTTGTGTAAAGAGAGCAAGAGAAGATCACTCGGGGCCTATATAAAGGGCAAAGGTAGATCTATTTCTTGTAACGAGATACACGAAGAGGTGGAGGAGGAAGATGAAGAAATTGATAATGCCAGGGACAATAAAAACCAGTCATCTGATAATAAAACTTGCAAGCCAAGCGTTAAAAATAATGAAAAAACTGCCACTAAATTGTAAATTATTATTATAAATAAGCATTATTCTAGATTTAAGATTTTTTTTAAAGAGATTTATGTCTAAGATTATTTTTATAGGACTAATATTTTCGATTAAAAATATGAGATGAAGGACGGAATTTTTAATGGGGTGTTAATAATTAAATGAATGATAAATTGTTATTTATAGAGCGGAATATGGAATTTTGTAAAGAAACTAAGCTTGATGGTACTTGGGTTTTATTTTTCGGGTGAAATTTTTCCACTGAGTTAATACTTTATTTTTTATGCTGTGAATATTTTTTTTTTTTTTTTTTATTATATTTATATTATATTATGAAAAAGATAAATTATGTTGGGTGTAAGTAAGATAATTTTAGTCACTAGCTTGTCTCGGATGATAATTTAGCGAGTAAATAGTCTATTAAATAAATATTTAATTTATTTAAGCACAAATATTTTGAGTTTTAATGAATAAAGAGTAAATAAGACAAGGTTCAATTGAAAATAGTTACGATAATTATAGATCACGTGAGTTATTATAAATAAAACTGTACAAGTATATCAATATGTTTATAACGATGTCTAGAAATAATTAAGCCGATAAATATTATTGTTTATTAAATTAACGGTATTTATACACGGCATTTTATAAATACGTTTTTTTTTTTATATATGATTGTTTTTTAGACTATTTTCATTTGCAAAAGATAAAAATGGATTTAAGAACCTTGTTTACTATCAAGAAGTTTCATTGCGACTATAAAGTTGTTAAAAATTGTAAAGTTAAGATAAAAACAAATTCAAATATTTTTTAATCAAAGTAATTCAATTTTAGAATTGTTATTTATAATACTAATGGTTAAATATAATTGTTGAATCCAGACCAGACAGAATAATTACAATTACAGACAATTGCATGTAATTCAGTCAAAAAATGTTTAATACATTAAAAGTGTATGTTTACGTAAAAATTATGATTTATGGCAAGTGTGAGGTGATTATCGGAGATTACTAAAATTTCGTAAATCCTCTGTACTGTTTATCAGAAGTTTATTCATATTTTTTTTTTAATTTTTTTTTTTTTTTTTAAAGAACAAAGACTGACAGCTGTTAGACTTTAAAACTCTATTTACTTTAGCCACACGATTGTCAAGTAATCTGTTATCAATCCATCAAATATTCAATAGTTTGATTGATCGATTAAAGGAAAAATGTTAACTAATAATTTAAAAATAAGTATTAAATATGTTTATAGTTATTAAGGATAAAAAATATGTACAGTTGTACAAATATATAGACTTATAAGCAATAAAAATTCATAGAATAAAATAATCTTTATTAATTAATTTTTTTTTATCTCCCTAATTTAATTCTCGGATTTAAAAAATATGACGTAGGCGCTCCTCTTGCCGCCATTTATTTTAAATGCGTCATTGTGCACACGGCACGAATCTGACTACTGATAGCTTGAAAAAAATAATTTTTTACTTGAATAAATTTTTAAAATTCAAATTAAAAAGGTGAAATCAGTTCCGGTATTTTTTAAAAATTAATCGGGAAAAAATGATACATTTAAATTTAATAGCGGAAATTTATAATTTTAGTGAATGTAAAATAGAATTATAAATTACGCGGTTATTGGTGCCGTGTGCAAAGCTAAGTGCCGTGTGTAAATTGTATAAAGCCACAATTGACGACTGAGCGGCCAGTGGTTTCTGTTATTTTATCAGAGAACAACATATTTTATCGACTACAGAGTGCTGTTGATAATATAGAAAATTCTAGAACAAGCGGAGAATTTTACTTTTTTAAACAGTTATTAATTATTCGATTTTAAAAACCAATAATGGGCTGGGATATGTTCAAACGCAACAAAAACGACAAAAAAAAGGTTCAAGGTTAGTTAAATTATAAAATTTATGGATTTTTATAATCAAGATATGTAAGAAGGTCAATTGCATTGGCTATTTTTATCCGTTGTGTCATATATTTGGTTTTTTTCCTTTTTGCAGACCAACAGAAAAGTAAAACCGAGAGGTCCAGGTGTCGATGTGAGGAATTAGGAAAAAAATGCCAATGTCAGACCAATTGCGGTTGCAGATGTGGAACGAAACGCGTTTACATTCGTCCGCCAATGTTCAATTACTTCACCGACACGATGCATTAATTGGTTACAATAACGAGTAAAAAGAGAAAGTTTTTTATATCGATGACGAAGACGTGGCAGTACGGATTTCATCATCAACTTAAAAATGCAACTATCAAGTATTATATGAAAATCTTTTTGTAACTGAGTATTATATTTTTTTTAATTAATCAAATGTTATTAGCTGTAACAATTAAATTATTTATAAAAAAATAAATAAAAATATAAACTTACCTTCAATAACCATGTTAATACCGACTCTCGATACGGAACGAACCCTCGTTTTCTGTTGCTAGTACTTTCAGCTAGTGATGCAATTACTTTTCCTAAGATTAGCAGCGATTTGTTGATTGAAACTCCTTCCTAAAATTAAATAAAAAAATTGTATTAATTTCATTAATTTTTTAGAATAAAAAAAAATTGTATTATTTTTTAATAATTTAATTAATTTTTTAAAATAAAAATAAAAAAAAAAAATTACCCGCAATCTATCACCACTTGCGCAAGTTTGACTCAGTCGTTCGCTACCAGCAAGATCAACAAGGTTTATTTTACTACGTCGACTAGATTCAGCAGAGCTGGAGACATTAGAAGACTCAGACTTTTTCGGGCCTTGGGTCAAAATAATACTAAAAATGCTGTGTGACCTCGAGCTCTTTTCGTTCATTCCCGTAGCAGCAGTAGCTCGCTGAGAATTCCCAACTTTCAGCCACATCTGAAGGTCTTCGTAGCTTTGGACACTGTGCTGACTCAAGTCGACGACGTAGGGTCCAAACACCGGGTGCTCGCGAACTTTTAAAGGCGCTCGTTTGCTTCCATTACCACTAGAATTGTTTGCTAGCAGATCGTGGATCTTCTCGTTGTAAATTTCAAAGTAACTGATCTCCACGCCAATTGTGTAGTGACTGTTGCGAGTGGCTAATGAGAATAAGTCGTAGCAGAATCTGGGAATTATTCCAGCATCTTCTGACGGCGCTAAATCGTTCGAAAGAGTTGACTCGCCCATCATACTGAAGCTCTTTCCCGAACCCGTCTGCCCGTAGGCAAAAAGACAGACGTTGTAGCCTTCAAAGGCGTTCTGTACCAATGGTGACACCATGCTGTTGAAAACAGTCGCCTGGCTGGCGTGGTTCGCTCTGGCGGTGTTTGCGTATGAAACAAAACAATGGTCGTATGAAAATGTATGCTGTGATGCATCGCAGTCTACTGTGATGTTCGTTCCTTGGACTTTGACGATTGACATTACTTTTGGGTCACTCAATTCTCTGCAATAAATAATTAGTAATTAAAAATTAATTGACAATAATTTATTTATTTAACTCGTTGAAGACACATGGGGTCCAGTGACTGATTTCATTAATATTTTTGAAGATATAAGTATCTATTTTTTTTTTTTTTTGTAACAATTATAATAAAAGTTTTATGACAAAAAACTAAATCTTTTTATATTATTTTGCATGTTTAAATGTTTTATTCTCATTTTAAGCGACTGACTAAAATTCTCAACTTAAAACTTGAGAATAAATATGTGTGTCTTCAACGGGTTAAAAATAAAATTATTATTATTGAAATTTACTTTGAGTTCATGGGCCTAACTCTAATGCCGACAGTTAAATTACTAGTTTCTCCTTCATAGAGCGTTGGTTCATCAGTAGCAACGTCACTCTTACCTCTTGGTGTCTCAAATTGCACGACACCAAAACAATCTGGCGTAGATTGATGCAAAGAGTGATCACTGAAAAACTTTTTGCTGGGAGTCCTGAAGGGTGTGCCATCAGTCCTTGGAGGTTTGGCCGAACAGAAATGTGTCACCGGTGACTTTTCAGTCGGCATGTGATACCCTCGGGACTTGGGTGTCTTGAGTTTATCATCAGAAGCCGCTTTTTTAAGCTTGTCTTGCCTGAGAGTCGTCGTTGATTTAGATTTACTTGTGCTGCTAAATGCTGGGCTGCTGTTCATTCTGCCTTGTGACGCCAAGTCTGGCTTTTTAGGTGTCACCGTCTCAACTGACGTAGATTTTTTTTTGTTGAGCTTTGACTTGTCCATTGCTATTTTATCCAGGTCCTGATTACTTTTACCACTGAAAATAAAATACTTAGTTACTTAAAATTTTTTTATTAAAATAAAGTTAGCCGACATTTAAAAATTTTTAGAATTTTTTTTATTAAAGAATAATTACAAAAAAATAAAAAAAAAATTTTTTTATTTGTTAAAAACTTCAAAAACTATAAGTGCAATTTTTTAAAAATATTTTTTAGTTATAAATTAATAAAAAAATAAAAAATGTCGGCTAACTCTATTATTATAATTTTTTTTTTTTATTATTCGGATTGTTAAATTCACAGTTAATAGCAAGTTTCAAGCAAAATCCACAAAAGTTTTAAAATATGTGCTGTTGATTAGTTGACAGCAAACTTACTGTAGCATTTTTGAAGGTGGATTATTTTCTTTGTTGAAATTAATAGGATAAGTCGAAAAAATAGCATTGCAAGATCCGTAATTTTTTTGTTGCGACATTATAGATATTGTTTAAACAATAAGCACTTGGATAAATAAAAATATGATTAAAAACCATGCAAAAAATAATAAAAAACGCCTTAGGTCCAATGTTTAACCTTAATCTGAGGCGGTGTACTTTTCAACGGCTTCCAAAGCAAGATTCACGATCTCAATTATTTATTAAAACGTCAAATTCTTGCCGGAATATTACATTATCAATTTTGTTAATAAAAATTAGTAATTAGCGTGCAAAAGTGTACTTCTTTGTAGTTGGCGGGAATAACTGGGCATTATACACCATATTACAAACAGTCTACTGGATATAAAAAACTCGTTAACTTGTAAAAAATACAAATGTTTTGTTTATACGAAATGGACGCTGTCCATTGGTCGAACTAATACACTTAATACATTTAATTCGCTGTGCTGGTGGCAGCACGAACGTATTCTTTATACTATACACTTTATATAAAAAAATAACTACAAGCTGAAAACATAAGTAGTCATTATTGGTTAAAAATTTTTTAGATGCATAAAAATAAATAAAATTATTTCTAGTGTCGGAAATTAAATTTCATTGGTCGGTCATCATTGTCCACGTTATACTTGGTATTCGTGGATAAGAAACTATCTGTTGGTGCGTAATGTTTCAATACGGGTTAAATGTAATGTAGTGTACTATAGAAAAAAAAAAAAAAAAAAATATATATATAAACAATATAAAAATTTTTTTTTTTTAAATAGATGACAAGTAGATTGTTTGTTGATTAAAAATTTAAATTTTGACAGCAGTTACAATGAAGACAATACCAAAGTGTAATCAAGATGCTTGGTGGTGGAGCAGAAGTTCTTTTTGGGGAAAAGTTGCTTTAGGTTTATTTGTTTTTATTATTTTGATGGACTTTCCTCTGATGTGCCAAGGACATGATCCTCATGATCATCACCACCATCACCATGATCATGACCATCATCACCATGATCATGATCATCAGCCAGCGAGTTTTAAATACTCTCAAGCAGCTAACAGTAATTTCAAGCCGCCACCGGTACATGATCATCACCATGAGCACCATCATCATGATCATGGTCATGATCACAAGCATCCAAAAGCTAAACCAACGACTGCAGAACCACGCGAGAGTGTCATGCTAAATGCTATCGGAGCAACTTTACTGATATCAGCAGCTCCTTTTGTCGTGCTTTTCTTCGTTCCTCTAGATAATTCTAAAGAAAAAGAGTCATTGCTGAAAATACTGCTGAGCTTTGCATCCGGTGGTCTTTTGGGTGATGCATTTTTACATTTAATTCCTCACGCTCTGACTCCTCATTCACATTCAGATTCAGAGTCTGATCACGATCACGATCATGGGCATGAACATTCTCATGATCATGGTCATGGACATAGCCATGATCATGGCAACGGCATGGCTGTTGGTCTCAGTGTCCTACTGGGAATAATAGTCTTTTTAGTTGTGGAAAAAAGCATAAGGTTAATAAAAGGTGGTCATTCGCATTCACATTCTCATGAAGTTGATACCAAGTCTAAGGACAAAAAGAAGAATGATGACGCTGATGATGAAGTTGAAGCTGAATCAGATGATGGAGATATTAAAATAGCTGGTTATTTAAATTTAGCCGCTGATTTCTTGCACAATTTTACTGACGGTCTGGCAATTGGTGCCAGTTATCTGGCTGGAAAAAATATTGGGCACATCACGACTTTTACAATTTTATTACATGAAGTACCACATGAAATTGGTGACTTTGCTATTCTTGTACAGAGTGGTTGTAGTAAAAAGAAAGTAAGTATTGTTAATTTAATAATTTAAATTAGATAAAATCTGAAATAAAAATTATTATCAAAATTAATTGTTTAATTTAATTTTCAGGCGATGATGCTTCAATTAATCACAGCCTTAGGTGCTCTATGCGGTACTTATATGTCCTTATTGGCTGAAGGAATGGGTAAATATACCTTGATGATAATGAAATTGTTCACCGTATAAACATGAATATTAAAAAATATTTATCTTGCAGGAGATGTAGCAACAGCGTGGATTCTACCATTTACAGCTGGTGGATTTATTTATATCGCAACGGTGTCAGTAATACCTGAATTATTAATTGACACTAAATTCTGGCAATCAGTCAAGGAGATAATTGCTCTTTTGTTGGGTGTTTATATGATGGTATTAATTGCTGCATATGAATAAATGACGCATTACGCGATTAATATTTCAACCTAAAAAAAAATAATGTAAACATTCCAAATCCTTGAAAAATTAATTATTTAATTCATGTTTTAAGGTATAAATAATTTTTAAAGACACTTACTGCTCAGAAGAAAAAAATAACGTACATATTTACGAGTTTAAAAGACTGCTCACATGAGTCAGTATTTTTTATAAATACCTTTATAATGTAGAGAATCACTTAAAAAAATATTATTCTCTGATAAATGACAAATAATTAATTAACCATTGTCGATTTTTGTTACAGTCTGTACAACATAGTTTATAAATTATTTTGTCTATAAACTTCATAAATTATTCTGTTTATTTACATTTAAATATTTTTTAACTTCGTCAAGACATGAATTAGCTTGTTCTTGACACGCCTCATCTTCATTCTTTTTAGCACGTTTTAGTCCTTCAAAGCATGCCATCTTAGCCTGGTTGTACAGAGATTTTTTAATATAAACATTCCCTAAATTAACGTAAACCGAACTTAGCTCTTGACAATCTTCCAATTTAATTCCTGAAATGAAAAAAATTAAGATTAATAAGGTAAAAGTCCCAATTATTGACACCCTAAATTATTTTTAAATATATTTAATAACCTGTAACAAAAATAATTAATTCTAATTAATTAAAAAATTAAAAAAAATTACTGTCAGTTCAAAGTATTAAATATTAATTATTAAAAAAAAAAAAAAAAATTAGCACCAGTTCATCAAACCAGCTTATAAATATTCATTTTCTTAACAACTTTAATTTTAAATTAAAAAAAGAAATTGATTAGTAAAAACATTAATTGAGACATTACCATAAACAAAATTTAACGATATTGATATTTAATTGCTTAAAAAAAATGAAATCATAAATTTGTCTCTAATAGTTTCAATAATTAGGGCTTTTACCTTATAATTAATTAAATAAAAAATAAAAAAAGGGGGATTAAAATCATCCAGATTATAATTTAAAAGATAAGATAACAACCTCTTTCAATAGCATCATTCAAATATCCGAGAGCACGATCATGCTGTCCCAAAAGGCAGTAAACAGTTCCTAGATCGTTCAGCAGAACCACAGTCTGTTCGTGACTATTTCCATAAACTTTAACACACAATTGATAAGCTTTCTGATAATTCTCCAACGCTTCGCTGAGACGTGATTCAGACAAAAGCATACGTGCATACCAATCACGACTCATTGCCCAGAGCACCAAGATATCTTCATCAGTTGGATTTTTAATAGCGTGCTCTTCAATATTCTCAATACAAAACTTATATCCCTCTTCAGCTGTTCTGTTTAATTAATATTTTAATTTATTCTATTTACCCAGTAAATCAGTTTATTGAGCAATCAATCAAATATTAAAAGAGTTTATACTTAATATCCCCAGATTGCTCAAAGAGTTTAGCAACCTTCAAGCTTATGTGAATAATCTTAGTATCATTCTGGTCAGTGCCAGTCGACAGCAGTCTCTGCATAACAGTCTTGAAAAGGTCCTTAGCTTTCTGAATTTCTCCAACTTGGAAAGCTAAATTAGCCATCACGTCGTACACGTAAGTAATACCTTCGAAGTGACCAAGAGTCTGGGCTTGACGCAGTGCTACGTGCAACATCTGTTCTGCTTTTTTATATTCCCCTTTCTGAAACCATTCAAGCACCAGTAATATATCCATACTTATAATATAATAATATAATACATTAAATAATCAATAAGCTTACGTGACGTTGTTATAGGAACTTACTAACCTGAATTAGAAGTATTGATCGTTTTATCGTCATTATAAGTTCCGGTTCTACTTCCTCCTCACCCTTGGAGAAGTTAAATCCAAAAATAGTAAATCCCATCATAAAATAACTCCAATTACGTTTTTCCTCATTATTACTCGGTATATTTTTAACAATACTTTTAAACCCAGTCACTGGCCGCTTAATTGTATTAAAAGAAATTCTTTTAATAAAATTTGTAGCGCTCCAAAATCTAGACATTTTTATTTTATCTCCAGTAATTTATCTTAAATCTTTTGGAGTATAAAACTGAAACATTAATATCAATCTAGATAAATTTTATAGAGCAATTTAATTAGATAAAGAATTTTAAATTTGATAAATACCTGAGTGATAAAAGCTTCTGTTATATAAATATTCCATAACCCATATTAAGTTTTAGAGTTTTAGGCTAAAAAATGTAATAAGAATTTTACTATCAGAGCCGTGGTACAGCGATGTTTGTAAACACATTTGAATATATACACCCACACATGTAAGCTCTGTTACGTGACACACAGTAATAATAATAATAGTTGTTATTATTATTATTATTATTATAATAATAAAAATAAAAATAAAATAAATACAAACCAGGTGTACAAAGAAATTTAAAAAACATAAGCGTGCATGTTTCTTCAGTTACTGTCGGTTACAATTCTCATAAACTTGGTAACAATTCGTAAGTTGATGCAATCCTATAACATAGAAGATATTTATATTTATCAGCCGTGTACATTTATAATATAATATGAGTATGTGTGAGTATAATATAATATAATAACAGAGCTTATGTACACAGAGTTAACTTGTGTAATATCCTACCACAACTTAGACGATCGATGTCAGTTCATTCGTGCTTATCCACGGCAATACTCGTACCTGACTGGCTACTGCGAGGGTCCCCTTGACCTTTACCTGTTTCTCCACCATCCGCTATCTGCCGTGTAGTTCAGAATTGTACATACAGTAGTCAGTGTTTCATTCTGTTCACCAGCCCGCACCTAAACTCGCGTTTTGATGTCGCGATCACAAGACACTGTCAGTTTCATATTTATCAGGTATGTTGTGATATAACACCTAGTTAGTCGTAGTATATTTTATTTATAAAAAATAATTTATTATTCAAATAAATATCCTTAAAAATAAAAATTAAAAAATATTTACCTTTAAATTTTTAAAGTGAAAGTTTTTCGTTGAAGAAAACTGTGAGTAGTTTTTTAAAAATTAAAAATCTTAATTACTGGAGATTTTAAGTGCTCCAGTTAATTGAGTAATTGGTTTTTCGGTGGATAAGTAAACAAGGAATTCCAGTTTGTCGTATGTGGGCACTCCCTGTTTTTATTTACATATGTGCACGAGATCCGCGAAAGATGGCGGATGTATGCCTGCAAAAAACGTGTTAATTATTTTTTTAATTAATTTATAATTTATAATAATAAATATTTTGTACCTTTAGAGTGTAACTGTTAATAAAAGTGGAATTTTACTTTCATAGGTGTTGATGGCTGGTGAAAGTATGACGATAGTCTGCTCAGAAGGCCGCAACGTGGTAAACATTCTTCTCTGACACTAAGACGAACCGTTGGATACCTTGAAGTAATATTTTAAATAGTCGACTGGCCCATTTACTCCACAATGAGCTCACCAAACTCCCAAGACACGACTGACGACGCCGGAGTCGTGGATATTGCAGTCAAAACCAAGAACTGGGTCCAATTCGAGGAGGAACCGGCTCCGAAACTGCCTGAAGAAATTCTTCCAGCGACGATAAAACCTGAAACAGTTACTGTTAGTATTGATAACATTGTCAAGGAAGCCGAACAAAAAGATATCGCTAGTATTCCTACGGCTAGTGTTCCTGCTGGAGCAGTAGCTGGTAATTCAAACAAGAAAAACGAGTACAGCGGAGCTGTGATAGCAACCGAGTCCGTCCAAATAAATTTAGATAGATCGGGACTCAGCAGATCTATTTCTAATGAAAGTCCTGAAGCTAATGTTCCTTCGGATGTTAAAGTTTCCGATCCTAAGAGCGCGTCTCTTAAAACTATTGACCTCAGAGACACTTCTAATGGTCGCAGTAATGTTAATAATGTTATCAGCACGCCTATTGGCAACATTAGGAGAGGATTCGCTAATGGTGACACTATTGTCACACTACTACCGGTTAATACGAGATGGCCATGGATTACTCCGGCTAAATTTCGACCTGAATTAGTTCCGGAAGAACTTATGGCTCAAGGTCTTACGGTAACTTATATTTTTATTTTTTATGTTGTTAATTAATCACCTGCACTGAGAAAAATTTTAGGAGAGAAAAAAGTTTGATTTTTTGACAAATTTATGTTTGTTCTTTAATTTTTAATGATTCCGTACGTCAATGATGGATTGTCCTTTCAATCATAAATTTATATTGAAAATATTTAATTGCTATTTTTTTTATCAATGTTTAAATTATATAACTATTGTCTAACTTTTAAAATAATTTTTTAAACCAACAATAAATATTTTTTAACTAGTAATTTTTTTAACATAAAAAATTATCTTGACTCAAGAATTTAAATAAAATTTAGTAATTATTTATTTATTTTTTTTTTTATAATAATTTGAGGAAGAAATTAAAATTTATTTCAACCATTTAAAAAGTAATTTTTTTTCGAGGATAAAATAATTTTTTCCGCTGAAAAAAATTTGTTAAATTAAAGTTAGCTTTCATTTGACAATTTTTTAATTTTATTTAATAAAAAAATTTGTTCCAAATTTATTTGTTACAAAAATTTTTAAAATTAATTATCATAAAAAATTTGCATTCAAAGCGATAACAATAAAAATTAGCAGTAAAATAATTTCTTATCTATTCTTTAAAAAGGAATTTTAAATTTTCCCAGTGACTGTGATCATTAACACTGAGTAACTTAAACCGATGACTCATTTAATTAATAACAATTAACGTTTTATATTTATAGTTAACGGTGGAAGATTACGTTCACGTTATGGAGTTGCTGGTCAACGATGTGCGTTTTAATATGTACAATATTTGTTATAAGCGTATCCTTGTGCTATGGATTTTCACAGCATTTGTTATTCTACTTGGTCTGTTGTTTTCTGGTCTGGCTGGACTTACACTATTTGGCCTTGGTATTATGTGGTTAATACTAAATGCAGCAGCTATATTTTTATGTATGTTTATAAAGATAAAACTAAATCACAATTTAGAAAAATGTATGGCTCAAGTAAACAAGCATTTGTTACGTCACAAGATAATTGTCGGTCTAGATGACAGAGGGAAAATATCTTGTCATAAAGTTAATTTATGCTTCATCTACTTTGACACTACAGACTGCGTAGTAAGTCTCTATTTAATTATTCATCCAACTATATACTGACCACGATTAATTTTTCATTGAATTATTTTTAAGAAAAAACTCCAAGAAGTTATCGAGAGAGAGGAACGCGAGGGCAGAGTCATTGGAGGTGAAGAAACTAATGAAATGCAACGACGTAGACAGGAATTGCAGCAGCGGATGGACATCGATGATACTGATATTGTCATACAGGGAAGCACGACCACCAGGTTATCACGCAAGCAGGTATTGTATTTTTTTTATCCACTGGTCCATCAAATTCTTTTATTGTTTTATCCTATTGTTATTCTTTAACAACTCTTATCTATTTTGTTTATTGTTGTATTTATTGTAAAACGTAATGATAGGGTAAAAGCGAGCAAGTGTTGTGTCGATACATTCAGCGATGGGGAAAGGATTACCTGAGACGGCGCTTAGACTGGACAGTTGATGAAGAAGGTGGTAATCCATCTTCACCACGTCATTTAGCGTCGGCTTTGTGTCCGTGCCAGTATATTGAAGAGTGGCTCCGCAATAAACCACGGGTTCAAGGCCGAGATTTTTGTCCTAGGTGGAGTAGTTTCCTGAGAGATCGAGGGTTTTGATTTTTATTTTATTCCAAGAGACCGTGAACCGTGTACTTAATTTTTTTAATTAATTTATTTAGATAACTGATGACTAATAACTTTATGACGTATAGGATTTTAATTACAGTGAGAAACATTCCTTAGATTTTTATTAATTATACGCTTGCTTTACTATTTTATAGTCTGCAGGATCAGCTATCTATTTTATCTTTTTTTCTAAAAGTTTTATCTTTTTTTATTTTTATTTTTATGGAGGGTAAATGTGGGTATTACTGTGGATTTTATTATTTAGAAAGATTTTCTTTTATTATTTAAGAAAAAAAAATTAAACTAATAATTCAATAATTTATAAATTGAAAATTTTATTATTGCAGTAATATTAAAAAAAAAAAAAAAAAAATGATTATTAAAATTGAAGAAAATAATTTTTAATTTTGCAATTAATTTAATTAGAAATATAAATTTTTAATAACTGCAGTAATATCCATAGTTATCAAAAACTGATTGATAGAAATGACTTAATGCTTGCGTTTTTAAAAATAAATAGTACTAAATGTGTATGGCTTTAGTCGTTGAAACTGGTGACGGTGTGTGTTGGCAGGAGCGGGCGGAAATGCTGTTACTGAGGTACGCGTCCAGGTGGACACGTCAATTTGTCCGTCACAGACTCGACCTGGTAGTAGACTCCCAGGAACGGAATAGAGCCTACGTTGGACCAGCTATTCCTCCGCGTCACTGCGTCTCCGCCCGTTGTCCTTGCCAGTTTATCGAGGATCATCTCAAATACAAACCCCGAGGCAAGTTAACTTTACGTCAAATATTTACTTTGCCGGATTTTGGTTTCAAATAACGGGACACTACACTGGTTTATTTTATCTAAGTCGACTCATTTTTTAATTCATTAACACTGCGCTACACTCTGGTATAATTGTTGGATACATTTTTTAAGATGCTTTTCAAGACGATCTTAATTAACAAATAAGGCTGAAAGATGCTTTTATTGTTACTGCACTTAGAGATTATGTCTGTACTTAATTTATTTCTTTTTGACTTGGTAATTTTAGTCATGATAAACACATCACGAAGGTTTAGGTCAGAATATGGGTGAAAGATTTAAGATGAAAATTTTCATCGAAAAATATATCTATATTCCAAATATTTATCTTTTACAATTTAATAAATAATTTAGGAATTTTTTTGTATTATGATTTTTAGAGTGGTGCAAAAAAATCAAAAAATTTTTTTTTTCGTCTCAATAAAAAATTTTATAAGAGTCAAAATAAAATATCGAAAATATTTTTGCAACTTCTGAATCGAACAAACTTTAAATTTTTTTTTTTTATTAAGTTGAAATAATAAAGAATAGAAATAAAGTACAAGGTATGAATAAAACAAAAAAGAATTACTACTGTATTTTAAAATATATTAAACTAACATGTGATGTTACTCATTAATGTAGTACATTAAATTTATAAATTACTATTAGATATGTAAAAGATTTAATATTCAACAAAAAATATGTCTTCCCTAAAAAAGTACCATACTTTAATAAAAATGTCAAAATTTTAAAAACTAAAATTTGAATCTCTAATTTTTCCCGAGATATTCTGACAAACCGCCCAAGCAAATACATCACGTTTAAATTTAAATTACTATTGTAATTAATTTTAACATTCAAAAAGGTCATCACTTCAAACTTTATATTATATTTTTAGTACGGGTACGGTGTTGGTTTACTTTTAATTAAATATTAATTATTAACTATTTCTAGTAAAAATTAATAAATTTACTAAAAAAATTAATTAACTAGGCAGCTATGTAAAATTTTTAAAGCGCACTATGAATTTTTTCTTCAGACTAATTACGTCTTATTCCGTCCAAAATTTTAACTGTTAGGAGAGTCCAAATTTTACACTTTACTTTTGGAAAAAAAAAAAACATTACCGTATTTAAAAGATCAAATGTCGCGTAGTTTGTAAAAATCAAAATATAACAGTATATAAATGTATATTTTATAAAAATGGTTTACAAAGTAATATAATTACAGTGTTAGAGTTCAAAACTTTATATGAATATATTATATGTAATTTTGTTATTAGCTATTAAATAGTATTAATTATAATATGTATTAACTTTATTATTATTAATATTACTATAAATATGATCACTAAGATTAATTATTAATAACTGATGTAATTATAAAGCAATGAAAAATTTCGTTATTTAGATAAAAAAAAAATTGAAAACTAAAAAACTAATCATGGGGAATTATTTGCACGCAGCTGGACAAGTGGAGAAAGTATCTGTTCGATCTTACACTCATGCTTTAAATACTTAAATAAAAAAACGAAATAATTTAAATAAATGTTATTAAATGCACAAGGGAGTGCGTAAGTATTACACCATTAATTAAAATATTTATTAATGCTCAATTATTTGGGGAATTGCACAATAATTAACGAAAATTAATAACACCATTAAATTTATTAATAATGTGCTGATTTTATTTTATTTTATAAAAACTAAAGATTGAAATTTGTAATTAAGTGAATTATTTAAACAATAACCGCATGAATTTTTCAGGCTATCCGCCAGGTTTTACGTGGTGTGCTTACCTTAGCGATCCTGCTATTAGGTTTGACCCAACATACAGCCCAAGTCCGTGCAATAGAGTTTGATAAGTTTTTATTTTAAACTGTTAATATTTCGCCTTTTATTTTATTTTTATTAAATTATTGATTTATACATAAAATAATTAATTGATATTGGAATTGTTTGTTTATATTTTGAAATGTAGTGTCATATGAAGCAATTGACGTATACGTTTAAATGATTATTGTAGAGGAGAGTGTGCTTCGATATTTTGTCAGTGTGTGAATGACAGCCCTGGGAGTTGTACATTTAATTGAACATATCGCAGTAATTAAGCTGGGCCCTACTAAATTATTATTAATTACTTAACTTTAATTACCTAACGTAACTATTGGACTAAATGTTGTTAACAGTTACGTTGTATCTGTTTGATGTAAAAAAATTGTGCCTTAAATGTCTGATCAACAGTGTGAACATTTATTTTGTAATTGTTTACTAATCCGTCCATATTCGATTTTTTCAATCATTCCAATCAAATTATGTGCAGTACAAATTGTGTAATTGTTAATGATTTGAATAAATACGTATGAAAATTCTAATAACTCGTCTGTTTATTATTTTTATTATTATTCAAGACAAAAATTATAAACCTAAAAAATTTTCTTGATAGCGTGGATCAAAAAATTTCTTTGCAATTTTTAATCTATATTTGTAGGTAACAAAAAAGAAAAAATTAGAACAAAAAAAAAGTTTAGGAAAGATATTTTAAGTATTTTTAAGATAGATAATATTATTAATACAAAGATAAAAAAAAGACCATTCGGCAGTTGAAATGGAAGTAGATTTCATCATAAATAGAAAAAAATAATGGATTTTTAGTAAACCGGCGATTAAAAGCTTATTTCACCCTAACTCCGTTATTTGTTTACTTACTGCTGGTGTACAGTAAAGAAAAAAACAAAAAAAACGACTGCAATAGCAAATTTCATAATTGGCATAGCGGAATAGGACATAATTTTGGGACTACACATATGATATGGTACTCAAATTGAAGCTTATTTAAAGAGCTTTCATATGCAATTTACAGAAATTCGATAAATTATCCCATTCAAAAGTTATTTAACTACGAAAATGAAGAAATGGAAATTTTTATGATTTTGAAAATTTTGAAATCATGGCATTTATAAATTACTTGACCGATTAAGCTCATCTTCGAACTTGACCTCGGTATCTATCTGTGGAATAAGTATGTTGAGTTTGATAAAGATCCATAATAAATTGGCGACGCTATCGTGGTGAAAAGCCGCGTTATATCGTGTATATATATACATATATAAACTTTTGAACCATATGTATTTTCTGACTCAACTCGTCGAGTTAAGTCGGAATATAGCAAAATTTTTCAAAAGTTTCGTCATGAGGACCATTGCAATAGTTAGATTTCTATGAAACCTACTAAAAATAATGAGAATATAATATTGAATTAACTGACAATTTAAAAAGTCTTAGAGATAAAAGTAAAAAATTAAATTATAAAGAAGCTGCAACGTATAAAGTTCTCTAACAAATTAAGGACTAAAAGTAAAAATAAGAGAATTGACTAATATTTAAAGATCATACATCAAGATTAAATAAGTAAACATCTTATTTTTAAAAACTTCCAAGCTAGACCACGAGTTTATAATATCCTCTGGTAATTCTTTCCAGGTTCATTTTTTGAGTAATTCAGAAGAATAAAATTTTTAAAAATAGTTTTCTGAGTTCAAGATTTTTTTCTCTTATAAAGATAATTTTTTTATCAGTTTATAATTCCCTAAAATTTATATTCATGCAGGAAAATTTTTTCTTATTGAACCCATTATCATCAAAACAGTTTTAGTACTAAATGAATGATTAAATAATTTTATAATTTGTTAGTGTGTCATTTCTTCATCGTGACTAATACTTAATACCGTGTAAAAGTTTTAAAGACATTAAACTCTGCTAAAAAGGATATTCATTTTAACAAAAGCAATTCTTAGATTAAGGTCTCACGAAATTGTTTTAATGATTCTCTACTGTTACCATACTTTTTACAAAAGTAAATCGTTTATTTCTCTAATTTATAATTGATCTTGTATTTCTCAACATTTAATATTAATGCTTCATCATAACAATATATTTTTACCTCATAGTGTTATATCAAAGATAGACATTCACAATATGGCTAAATGAGTGGCTAAATTTTATAAAAATAATTTATTTTTTCGTTGTTCAAATAAATAATTATTAAAAATACATTGAGGCAAATTATACCATTAAATTTATTCTATGCAATTAAAAATCATATTCAATGTAGCAATTTTTACGTATAACAATTATTAATATTCATAAAAATTGTTAATATGCAAATAACAAGATCTCGTCATCATCTTAAGAACGATCAACAAATTTATTACAATTAAGCCACTTTAAACGAAGTATGCAGATCAATTTAATTGCACTGTGAGTGAATGATCGCATGATTTTATTAAATGAATAATTAAGATACTATTCGATTTAACTAATAGAATCTTCTTCTAGCAAAACAATAAGCAGTCACTAGCGAAATAAATCTTTAAAAATAAAAATAAAAGTCTGTAATTTAAAAATTCTAAAATAATTTTTAGATCCCAAATTTTTCATTGGAATGTAAACTGTAATTTTAAACTTTTTTTTTCATGTAGCAATCAATAATTATTCAATATTACATTAAGTTCTACAAACCAGAAAGTCCTTCAGCCTTTCCATATTCTGCATTCTTTGATGAACATGCAATATTAATATATGTATAATAAAAATGCGTATTAATAAAAGTAATTTAACCTATGAAAACTAATTACCAATTACTAATTACTATTCACTTCTCTAATGGATAACCGTTTTACGCGGTAAATCAGTCAGATAAAGATTTCGTTTTCTCGAGGTTAATCGATGCAAGTGAATCATTTCATTTCAACCGCAATTTTAAAATAATAAGCGCCGCGCAAAAATATTAATTCATAGACTTGTTAATTATAAATTATAATTATAATTATAAAATATCTGTTTAAATGTTTAAGTGACATCTGAATAGGCATAATCATAATATTACAATATTATTTATTATTTATTGTGTATTTAATATACGATTAGGATTTTGATTTGTAAACAATATACGATTGTATATCAATTTACAAGGTGCTTCCACGACCTTCATCTCAACATATCAATTTGTTTACAAGTTTATTTTTATCCTTATAAAAATTTGGAATTTATCGATTTCGCGTTCATTAATCATGAGAGTAATGATTCTTAAATTTCTTTATAATGACAAAAAAATGATTCATAATTTATCTTTAATATTGCAAAAACACTGATTGGGTATTAATAATTTTATCACGACAGCGAATGTACTTAAAATAATTGATTAATTTATAAATAAATGTCTTTAATTTTATTTAATTGTTTTTATTGGTACTTACAGATGTAAGTCAAAATTTTTTCGATAGAAATGTGAGAAAATGTAATGCGTTAGTCATAAAGTATCTATCATTACTGGTAAGTAGATTGGTAATTAATTACTAAATGTGATATTAATTTAAAAGTGTTGATTTGATGTTAATTGTTAAGTTAATAAACACCACTACAATTGCGTAATAAAAGTTTTTTTTTCACAAATAGTGTAATATCGCTACACCACTTTATTTACTTACACTTACACTAGCATTACATCTACAGGGACTCCTTCTTCTCTTTTAATACTGAGCGCGCGATCGTGAAACGCATTACAAGAGTAAGTTTTATGCCCGACAAACTTGTTCACTTCAGTTGCTCAAGTGTCATTCTTACTGTATCAACAATTAACATTGTTTAAATAATTTAACTTTATAGATTTTTTGGTTCTATTTTATTTTTAAGGAAATTTTGGATTTTTTGACTGATGGAGTGTGTGATTATGCGTGATTTTTTTAAATGCTGAAAAAAACTTTTTATAGTTTTTGTATTGTTTAGCCCAGTGTTCAAAATTTTTTTAATATTATCAATTTTATTCAAAGTGTCGAACGTGAGACAAGTGTTATAATTTTAAGGAATTAGTTTGAAAAAAATTTTTTTTTAATTAAAAATAAAATTTGATTACTAAGGTAAATATTATTTTATTTTTTAAGTGAAAAATTGTGCGAAATAATCATTATAATTAATGATAATAATTAAATTAAAAAATTTTTTATTCAAATGAAATTGAAAAGAAATAAAACCAATTCTTGGAAAGAGAATGAAATTTTTTTTAACTTAAAAAATATATTTATGAAGACAATAATTGTTTTGGGGAAAATCAAATTTTCTTGCTCCAAAAAAAAAATTCCCTTTAAATAAGACTGCTTTGATCTTTTTAATTAATTAATTTTTGGTTCAAGTGAACTTTTTTATTGATACAATTATTTTTATACTTTAGCTTCAATAAAATTAAGATTAATCTTTTTTTAATCAATTCGACTAATTTTTGTGATAAAAATACATATTCTCGATAAATATAAAAAATATAAATAAACAATTCATTTGTCAACGATATTTTCTTAATTGAAGTATTATTTTTCCGTGTCTGTGTATTCTATAAATATATTTATAATATATATATATATAGATTATGATTTGTAGTTACGAAGATAAAATATAAGAATAAGTTGCCAAAAAACAATGAAATAAAATGTAAATGCTAAAATAAGCACAATTGTGAGAAATTGAACTTGAAAATTACGAAATACATAAGGAAGAGAAAATTTAGTATTTTCTAAAACATAAAAAAACGACTGCGATGTTATTGAATTTAAATAAAAATTAGAATTTTTACAGAAAAAAAAAAAAAAATAATCGAAATAACAAAAATGATTTGATTAACAAAACATCACTGCAAAATTGTCCGCGCCTGTACCGCCTTAGTTCCCACTTAATTGTGCATAATTAATGGAATAATTATGAGATTTATAAAAGACTAGACATTAATGCAAATTAATCCTCATACTTAACGTCTTAAATGGTAATTTTCACTCATCTTTTGCATTCGCAATAAAATTTTTTGTCAACATTCTTATTAACATAATTATTATAAATAATGATAATTATAAATTACTCTTATTAAAGAAAATTAAAAAAATGTTATATTTTGATCGTATAAATGAGAAATTAGTAATTATTTATACTAAACAATTCATTGTTTTTATTGTCACGCGTTTAGGACACTTGTATGCTACACGTGTGTTGTATGCGCAGCCTACGCATTCACAAACATTATCTCTATGTCACGGACAAAGCCTTGATATTAATAACGTAACTTGTAACTCGGTCATTGTATCATTAAAATTTTCGAGTGTTTATGTTTTCTCAATTCATTGTCTCTATTAAAATGATAAATTATTGCTATTTTTATGTCTTTAAGACTTTCGTCAAGAATTTTTAATTTTATATCACGACTTTTGGTGCTTAATTGTGAATAATGAATATTAATTAATTTTTATTGACGATTTCTTTGAAATATCAATTTTAAAGACCATTTAAAGAGTAATCATTTAATGATTTCGCGTAAACATAATTAAAGTTTAAGGTGAAAAATTGATAATGTTAGTAGATTAGCAATAAAAAATATTTTTACAAGACTTCTAGTTGATAAAGAAGATAATAATTTTCTTATTAATAGATTAATTAAAAAAAAAAAATTTCTGGGAAGTTTCTTGGTTTTAAAAGATATAAAATTAATCATTTTTTATTTAAAAAATAAAATAAAGATTCTCGATTGTGAATTTTCGCACGAGGCAACTTGAGATGAATTATTGAGGTTTGTTTATTTGATATTGTTAAAAGAAATAAATAAATATTTTCACTTATATTAATGAATAAAGAATAAGATAAAACAAATATAAAAATGGCGGAATTTACAATAAAATAAATAATTTTAAAAGATAAATAACATAATATTAAATTATTATATTTATAAATCTACGCATGAAGTGACGCTTTGCATACTTATTTATTTAGAAAAAATAATTATCTGATAAATTATTTCGCAATGAGCTTTGTATTCTACAAACAAATCGTAATTTTATTATTTTATTCAAAAGATATTATTGTGAATAAAATAAATAAATAAAATGAATTTGAAAAGAGTAATAATTAATAAATCCTTGGGATTTATTAAAAATACAGCGACGTCCTTTCAGTGATTTATTTAAATTATTATAAAAATATTTCTATGACATTTATTGTTGATAAATAAATTGCATAATGAATGTATTATTCAATATTTTTAAATAGATAAACAGCTGACATTTCAACAATTAAAGCATTAATCAAAAATTATCCGAACCGCTGCATTGATGGTGACTGATTTATCAATCCAATTATCGCACTCGTTTAAAAGATCAAAAGTTATGTTTCCAATCTGTCTTAATGAATAATTATTGTCCTCAATTAATAACTGATTTGTGAACAATACACTTTTTACTGATTTATCATTATGATAATAAATCTTCCAATATTGTTCTTTAATAATAATAAAAAAAATGAAATTATTTTGAGTGAAAAAATGAGTAATTGGGTTGAAAATTAATGAACATTGTCATTTTTCAGAGTAATTTATACTTGAAGAGATAAACTGATCGGCGTTAATTGATGCTATGAAGGATATTCCAACTAACGGCTATGGTATGTTTAATTTTTCATTTTAATTTTAAGAAATTAGTTTATTTTAAAAAGATTTGTGTAAAAACGAATTAAAAAACATTTATTTCATTGCAAAATTTGTATTTTACCCCCGCCAGGAATCGAACCTCGACCCTACGCTTCTAAAACTATTCATTTGCTAAAACTTCACTGATAGAAGGATTTCTTAACATAAATACAAAGAAATAATTTTTTTAAATACTAAGAAATGATGTTTAAGAAATGATTTCTTAAATACAAAGAAATCTTCTTAAATGTTAAGAAATCATTCTATCAGTGTTGAAAATAAGGAAAAAATAATAGAGTATTCCTAGAAAAAATTATTGTACTCATATATTTGAATAAACAAATTAATAACTAACGAGGAAAAATTGTCATATCTTTTGAGGTTTACATAATTTCGTCATTATTTTTCTTCCTGATTTTCTTGTGGTGTTTAAATGAATCATAAAAATTTTTCAAGTGTTTTAATTATACTTTTTTTGCATGAAATTAATTTATGTAAGAAGAGTCTATAGATTTTTAAAAAATAAAAATTGACGCTGCATTGAGAAATAACGAAACCTTAAAACGTACTACATTCTCCAGACAAGGCTGCATTCCCGATTGATATTAAAAATCATCAATAAATCGAAGGCCTAGTTCCTATTTGATGCCCTCGTGTATCAGTGAATCCTTCGGTTAAAATTTAGAAGTCAAGGCTTTAACATAAATCTCACTTCTACAATTAATCCATTATTCATAATTTAAAAAGTTTTACTCATCTTGCATAATACTGATTCAGTTTTAAAATTTGTAATAGTATTTCAAACATCTGTAATTTTTTCATCTAATTTGATCATTCAAAAATTAAAACAAAAAAGTGATAGAAAAATATTAAAGCAAACAATTAAGCATGAGTTTTTCGAGCAATATCGTGGAATTTGAACGGGAGTTCTTTCACTTATCCATTGCAATAGATAGTTGCCCTTGATGTAATTAGAGGGTATTAAAGGTGAGCAACACCGAACGAGATTTAATCAAACTATAAAAGACTCGTTGGTACTGTATTTAAACTCTGATGTACACAAATCAACATACAGTTACGTGATAGTATTAGACACTTGAACTACTGATCCAGTTTATATTAATTTTTAATAACCAGGAAAAATCGGGATGTAAGAAAAATTCACTAGTTACTCAGTAATATAATTATACATTTCATAACATAAATTAAAAACAATAATCCGATAATAATTTAATTTTAAAATATTTATATTAATTAGTGTTCACATTGAACTCGAAATCGCCGATAAATATTTTTAACCAGCACGCGATTCTTAGAATCTAATCAACTTAAACTACAACTTTGACCTCTTGTGATATTATATTTATATCACAATTAAGTTTTGTCTAAAGATTTATTCATTTTTTCATTCAAATATCTCTTTTCTAACTTATTAATTGTTACCAAGTGATGCAATTTGATTTAGTGTTGTATTATTGACCTATTTTTTAATAAATATAAATACCATTGATCAAAGTTGAAACATTTTCGAATACATTTTTTATTTCATTGAACTTTTATTCATAATTATGATAGTAAATACATTGATAATTACTTTTTTAAATCAACATGGACAAAAAAATTTAATTTTCAAAGTCAAGTAAAAAACTGAAAAAGCTTTTCATCAGAAGTTTTTCTCAATTCTAGTAAATTTTTACTTAATTCAATAATTTTTCTCTTAAATCAAATTTCTTTTTTTTATTAATTAATAAATAATTTAAATTAAATTCAAATAAGAATCCCAAAGTCCATTAAATTAATTGACTGAAATTATTGAGAGTATATAAATGTATGTAAGAAAGTAAAATTAAATTAGTACTACAACAATTATTGCATACATTTTAGTTATTATTATTATTTGCCACGAGTCAATGTATTGCGTTTTGTTTGTTTTCATTTTTCGCCCCGTCTGACTAAACTGTTATTGATAAATTATCGTAACTGATTATTACTAACATACACAAGTACATTTATTCGCATGTGAGTAAATCGTCACGAATTGACTTCCCAGCCAATAAGATCGATTGCGAATCGCGCACACCCACTGTTTACTCCAATAGCATTTGAGGAGTGACGTCACAATCTCTGAGACAAAAGTTGAGTAAATAAAAAAATGTATTAAAATCTTTTTTGTCCTTTTTTTTAAGTTTATTATAAATTATCTTCTCAACGTTATTTTGAGTCTGGAAGTAAATTACTTTTTTTGTTACAAATCCTTTGACTAGGAAATAAATAAAAGCAAATCCTTGAACTGTCTGGTCATTTGATATGAACAATCCATGAGGTTAAAGTCTTTCCGGCAAATTACTCATGTCAATAACTTGATTATTTTTAAGATATTTCTAAAATTTTCCATTTAGTTAATAAACTTTGTTATGCCAAGTCTAGACTGCTGAGTTAAAGGGTTAATTATTGAGAATAATAAATTACTTCCTGGTTAATATCTTTATTATGATGCATACAGGAGATTTTAAGACAAATTTTATCGTTTATTACAAGTTTATTTTTATATTTTTTAATGTTTGTCAACGCAAGTAGGGAGCGGGCGACACCCGCCGGTAACACAGCGGCGCTTGATTACACAGGTTTGTTTTTTGTCGATACAGGGAAAGCTGTCGCAGGGATTCGAGCCGTCAGTCCCTGCAATAATTAATTATTAATTTTAATTTTTGAATTTATAATACAGAATTTTCATTTTTTGGAAAAATAGAAATAAATGATTCTTACAAGTAGCGCAGCTGTTTACATAACACCACTTGGAACAGCATTCTATAGATTCATCGCACTAATTTAAAAAAAAATTTTTTTTGTGAAAAAAACAAAATTTTTAGAAAAAAAAAATTTACAATTTGTTATAAAATTTTTGTACCAAGATTTTTATTAATTGATAGAATTTAATCAAACTAACTTACCGTTCTTCCTTCGCCTTTACATTTACTCTTCTTAGCTTCTGCAATCGCAACGATTACCGCAACGACAATTAAAAAAGTTACAATATGTTTCATGTTTAAATTTTTTAAGCTAAAAATCTCGATTAATTTTGAGCAAGTTACTAAAGAATTTTACAATTGTTATGCATTTTTTACCCTTTTATACTCATTATCTCACTGGTATTGAAAATTGCAAATATTATTATAATTGTATTTTTAAATAAAGTACAACAGACGAGATAATTATTTAAGATATTATCACAATTGTATAAACAAAAAAAAAAGACCATTCGGCAGTCGAAATGAAAGCAGATTTCATAATAAATGTAAAAAATCCAAAAATTACTGCGATCGGAAACGACCGCGGCTTGTCACCACGATAGCGTCGTCAATTTACAATGGATCTTTATCAAACTCAACATACTTATTCTACAGATAGATACCGAGGTCAAATTCGAAGAACTGCTATTGCACAAAACGAGTGCAATAGCAAATTTCACGCTATCGTAGTGACAAGCCGCGTTATATCGTATATATATACATACATATATAAACTTTTGAACCATATGTATTTTCTGACTCAGCTCGTCGAGTTAAGTCGGAATATAGCAAAATTTTTCAAAAGTTTCGTCATGAGGACCATTGCAATAGTTAGATTTTTATGAAATCTACTAAAAAAACAGATAAGTTTCCATTGTAATCATGTTTATTAAAAATAAAAATATTGCGCGTGTATTATTAAGTAATCAGATTTTAAAAAAAGCGATGATGTATATATATATGAGATACTTTCCGTGTTATCACAACTTTTTTTTCCTCATAGAAATACGCGCATATGAGGAAATAAATTTACTCATATATTCATCCGGATACACTATTTACATCATACATGTTTGTTCTTGTAAAATTTATAAACTGATGAAAAAATAAACTTGATTCAAGGGAAAAAATACATTTTAAAGAATTTTATTGGTTTAAATCAAGCAGAAAAATTCATCAATCAAATAAAATTTAGTTGAACCAAGAAAAATTCTTGATAATAGTATTTTTTCTTCCAGTGTATTATAATATAATTAATAAAATATGTATTTAAAATTTTCTAGCTGAAGTAAACGACAAAAATGGAGTTGAAAAGGACAAAAAGGAAGAATATGAAGAAGTGGACGCGATCCAAGAGGCTATGGGGGCGATGGGACGATGGCAAATCCTTGTTTGCATCGCTATTTCCCTGGTGAAATTTCCTGTGGCATGGCATCAGCTGGCCATTGTATTTATGGCGCCGCACACCCAGCAATTTAATTGCACAAGTCCAGCAAATATGCATACATCAGCCAAAGATCAGTGCATTGTAAATGTAAATGGTAGTCATGTCGAGTGTCAGTCTTGGGAGTTTGACAGAAGTATATTTCCCGAAACGATAATCTCTCAGGTAATTATCAAATAATTACTAATTGCATCTTAGATTTTATTTTTATTTTTAAACATTGACAAATTTTTTCTTGCAGTGGAATTTGGTTTGTAATCGGTCCCATTATGCAAACATTCAACAGTCGATACTCATGTTTGGAATACTGTTGGGGAATATAACTTTTGGCAGTTTAGCAGACAGGTAATTTTTATTTAATTATTATTAATTAAAAAAAATGTTTTAAATGAAATGAAATTTGTTCCTTAGATTTGGCAGAAAAATTCCATTGATGATATCGGTGATACTTCAACTGGTATCAGGAATCGGTTGTGCAATAGTACCGTGGTTTCCAGCCCTCCTGTTCTTGAAATTATTGGCAGCGATGGCTACCGGAGGGACGATGGTTACGAGTTATGTAATATGTATGGAAATAGTCGGTACCAAATGGCGAGCAGCTATAACAGTACTCTATCAAATACCTTTCAGTTTGGGACACATGTCATTAGCTGGAATAGCATACTTGTTCCGTCACTGGCAGCATTTGCAATTAGCCATATCATTGCCGTCAATAATACTGTTAAGTTACTGGTGGATTGTTCCTGAGTCACCGAGGTGGCTTTTGGCCGTTGGAAAACAGAAAGCTGCATGCAAAATACTTAAAAAGGCAGCTAAAGTTAACAAAGTTACTGATAAAGATATTCCGGAATTGGTGCGAAAACATTATTTGCATCAAGTGAGTATCTATTTATAACGTTTTCATATTGTATACGTTATAAAAAGTTTTTAACATAAAAATTAAATTATAATTAAATATTTTTTCAATTAATTAGCTGAGACTTTTAATAAAAAAATTTCTCTTATAAATTCTGATAAATAATCTAAAAATTAAATTTACAATTTTTATATAAATAAAAATGTTCAATTTATTTTTATTTTTTATTAAAAATTATGATATATTTTTTTATTCAGAATTGTTGATTGAAATTAATGGAAGTAAATTTTTAGTTTCAAAAATAATTCATGATTAATTTTTCTAGAATTCAAGAAAATCAGCTTCGGATCACTCGGCGTCAATAATTGACTTATTCAGAACGCCGAATATGAGAATAAAATCATTAGCAATATTTTTCAACTGGGCTGTATGTGGAATGGGACTTTTTGGGATGACGCAGTACATCGGACAGGTCGGCGGTGACATATTTGTTAATTTTGCGGTGTCAGGTGCCACTCAAATCCCTGGTAATTTCGTTGCCTGGTGGGTTATGAATAAATTGGGTAGAAAAATTACATTAATGACTAGTCACATCACTGCTGGTGTAGCCGCTTTGCTTTTAATTGCTGTACCTCAAAGCAAGTATTTTTTTTTTAATTAAAAAAAAATATTTTTATATTATTTAGTAGTCATGATTAGTCAAAATTTATTTTTATAATTATTTTAGATTTAGCATGGCTACGACTCATACTCGCATGTTTTGGTATTGTTGGGATGTCAGTATCGTTCACAACAGTGTATTTATTTTCCGGTGAATTGTTCCCAACTGTTGTAAGAAATATTGGAGTAGGAACGAGTAGTATGTGTGCAAGAATAGGATCAATGGTTGCGCCATTTGTTGTGTCATTGGTAATTTTTTTCTATATTATTATGTAAAATTATTTTTAATATTTTTATTTTATTATTTACTGACGTTTTATCATTTTAGAGTTTAGTTAGAGGATTTTTACCGCCGTTGATTTTTGGCACATTCCCATTGATTGGCGCAGTCTTGGCATTATTTTTGCCTGAAACCAACGGATGCCAATTACCGGAAACTCTTCAGGACGGTGAAGATTTTGGAAAGTATGTATCACTTTTTTTATTATAATTATAAAATTATGTTATTAATTATTAATCATTTGTTGCAGAAAAATAAAGAAAAGTTTAAAAGTGAAAGAATCTGAAGCTGAAATAGCGCTTTGATGTTCAATTATTAGTTAACAGAAGATCAAAATATTTATAAATAGTTAATTTTTTGTTAAGTTAAATCATTCCGTTTTATTTCTATTTATTTAGAGTCAAACTTCTGAAACTCGACATTATAATGCGGACCATACATATAGGTTCTTAATTTTTACGTACTTTACAAATTTAAGTCAAGTCATAAAGCTACGTTTCAATACGAGAGAGTTTGATTTTACTTTAAGATATTCTTAAGCTAACATTTGACGATTAAATTTAATTAAAAATTGATCAAATGCGATAAAGTATATAAAACTTATTTTTTGTAAGAAAATTTATAAGATACTAATGGTATTTTTTTAATTTTAAAAAGATGGACCAAAGAATGCGTTTATTTTTTGTATAACGCGTTCTTCAATGTGTAAATAAATTATTTTATATAAAATTGGTTGTTTTTATTATTAGTACTGAAGCTCTCTATTATTATTCTGGAAAATCTTGGCAAAAATTTTTAACCCAAAGTTCACGAAAGTAATAAAAGTCAAAGTCTTTATTTATCATGTTTATTTTATCTATCCATAGATCTCTATATCATTGCAACATCCTCAGTTTATAATAAAATTCACCTATCACAATAATTCTCCAGAATGACAATTATTGTGCAATTATAAGTCTTAAATGAGATTTTCAGATCTCATAAATCATAAAAAAAATTGACGACTCAATTATGAGATTTAAAAAGATTTTTTTTAATCAAGTCATAAAAATGCTACTAGATAATTAACGTCGTTAAAATCATTAATAATTATTTCGCAAAAATCTTCAGTTACTATGTAAAAATTACAATCGAGTAAATAATAAATGTAGTATCAGAAATACTGGATAGGATATTGTTGATAATATCTAAAAAGGAAATTACAGGTCGAATAATTTAAGCGTTATGTTTATTAGGAAAAATAACAGAGGTCTGTCTAAAAGGAATAGTTATTCAGGACTATCTTTTCTCAATTACTCTACCTACTACTTGGGCCTCTCACCCCACTAAGTCATACTTGTACACTGCGAAAAATAACTTAAACCTAAAGTTCCAACGTATTTCCAAAATATTTTTAAAATCACTCTTATCTATCTTTCAAAACATCTACACACAGTATGACTGACGTACTTAACTGACGTACTTAAATTCTATAATTTATGATATCTTAGATATATTTTATTTGTCCTTAGAGCCGAAGCTCCCTCAAGGCCATCAATAAGCAATACATTTTTATACATATACAAGTATACAGTATTAAAATACAATTACAATAGTTCTATAATTTTGAGAGCAAGATCTTAAAGTTACCTAATACAATAAAGTTACTTAATACAGTAGCTAATTAGTAAATTCATAAACACTCTGAAAATACTTTGAAAGCAAAAATTATAATTATTTAAACAAATATAATGATGATTTTAATTGTCATCAGCCAGAAAAAATGAAAAAGAGGCATTTTGAAATTCAGGAAGACTATCTGCAGTTGTCAACCCAGGTGGCAACGAGTTCCAGCTACGTATGCCATGGATTATAAAAGATTGCTCATACATATTGCTATTTGCTCTTGGCAAATAATAATGAAATATAAAGAAAATAAAAGTTAGATTATGAAAATAATTTTCTAAAATAAATAATTATCAAACTTTAGCGTGATTACTATGAACAGTACCATTGTAAAATCTAATCATGCTCATAACTTTAATTACTTTACAATTTACTTCCTTAAAACTCAAAATAACTGCTATAAAAAATGTAACGGCATTATAAAATAAAAATATAAAATATAAAAAACGTTAAAAAAATTAAAATAAAAAAGAACTAATGAATCAGATTCAGTGATTATCGATACAATAGATAAAAAGGTTTCTTTTTTCAATGTCAGCGCGCTAATCGACTCATTCATAGCCGTAAACGTTTTAATAAAAAAAAATAATGGCAATAATAAGTAATTAATGCAGAAAATCTAATTACAAGAAAATATGTGAGAAGTTTTATCTTTAATTTACAATAGAAGACCTTCGGATGGTTATTTTAAAATTTTTAATTCGTGCAATAAATCCTATTAAATAAGATAAATCCGTTGGTTTTCGTCTTATCAGTAAATACACTCAACAAAAGTAACATTTAATTCACTAAAATATTCAATTACACATACATCCGTTTTTTATAAGCCTATTTCATGTTTATACTTGACCTACGGATCGTAATAAATCCAAACAAAAATAATTAGGCAATAAGATTGACAGATGACGGACACAGCCTGTACTGATTAATACGATCCTCGAAATAAAATTAAATCTTCTTTATTAAGTCTGTTAGTGAGTGATTTCTGGTGTAGGACTGTATATAATATCTATATAAGTAATATCCGATTGTTGGATTCAACATCCTCTGTCCTCGGAGCATGATGACCGAGTATATAAAGAGACCTGGACGTGGTTCAGCTTCATTCACGGTCGTTCCGTTCTCCAAGCCAGTGACTCGGGTTCTCCAAACCGTGTAAGTATTTTATTAATTTACGTACGTATATTTTTATATTTCTCTATATGTAAAAGTTTATTCGCGTAATTATTATTATAGTTGATTATATTACAGCTTGATACATTCATTAAAAATTACCTTCACCTCTATACACATTCTACCAATTACTACATTGCATACGCAGTGTATTATTAACACTTGATTATTGCTTACTAGTTAAATTTTATTTTCCAAAGATGTTATTAAGTTTTTTTTTGAATAATTTAGTTATACAATAAATTTTTCAATGTATTTAAAATAAATTTTTGCTAGAAAAATCTATTACAAAAAATGTAAATAAATAAATGCACATATTACATTTTCTTCCGTAATCGCAATGCAAATTTAAAAACAGAGAAAGCGTCCTGGATTGAGAGTGTCACATAAAATGTTACAATGCTTGCCAAACTCCTCTCTCTAAATAATAACAACATTTATCGATTAATAACAACACGTTTACCGATATGTAAAATAATAACATTAAAATTGATATAATAAATCAATAATTCCTGATTATAATAATTGTTTAAGTTAATGTGATAAAAATAACAATAACAATTATGTAAATAGCAAGCGCGGATATTATAAAACTCGTGATTTCATGATTCATGATAGATTCTATGGTGAATGAGAATAATGTATAAAAGGCAAAAAAATAAACGTATAAATTTAAACCAGTGAGTATAGAAACAGAGATACAGAGGTGTGGCAGGACGATAAGCAGACACTAACAATATAATAATGAACAATGAGTATCATGAACTCATTCTATTACAATTGATCAGGGTACTTTAAAAACGCGGAAAAATTTTTCAATTCCGCAGGGTGTGTCAGTCGATTGATTGTCAAACATCAAAAGGCTTAATTTATTCATTAATATCTTTATCAAGAATTTTTTATTCGTTTAACGGAAACGTTTTTCTAATTAATGATTTTTTTTCTTACAGAAATATGTGGTATTTGATTTTATTACTGAGTTTGTCGGTGGTTACATGCGACCCGTTCAAAACAGTATTCTCATGGAAACAAGTAGACTACAATTTTCCAAATGAAACGACGCGTAATGCTTACAAAACCTCTGGAGATTATATCAAAGAACATGTCGTCCCACTGGGATTAAATGTATGGGGTGACAAGCTTTTTATCACAGTACCGAGATGGAAGAAAGGAGTACCAGCTAATTTGAATTACGTCAGCTTGAATAATGGTAATGGCCTATCGCAATAAACAGCAAATAGTGATCCGCCATAATAATAAGAACTAATCTTAGCTTAGTATCTCTGACACGAATTTTATTCATTTAATTTAAAAATATTTATTTTTTATTTTAAGCAGACAATAAATCACCGTTGCTCAATCCTTATCCTGATTGGGAGTCTAATGACATCCATTCACCAGATGCACTGGTAAATATTCTCAGGGTCAGAATTGATGCTTGTGATAGATTATGGGCCGTTGATAGTGGAATCGACGATATTCTCGGTGAATTTAATGCTGTCCAGCCCAAAAAACTTATCGCCATCGACTTGAAAACCAATAAGGTAGTTTATATAATCTGATGGAATTCATTCGATTGATTGAATTGATTTATATCAACTGTTTTTTTATTATAGATCATTTTGCGATACACGTTCAAAGACTCTGACCTAAAACCCAACACATTTTTTGCTGACACCGTTATCGACGTTGATCCCAAAAACTGCAGCGACGCGTATGTTTACAATTCTGACTTGGGAGGCTACGGGCTTGTTGTCTACAGCATGGCCAAAAATGATTCTTGGAGAATAAATCACAACTACTTTTACTTTGATCCTCTCAATGGTAAAAACCCAGAATCTTTTTTTAAAATAAAAAAAAAAAACACTAACGAGAGCTAATAAATACGTTTGCGTGAACTCTATTTAGGTGAATACAATGTCAGTGGTATTCATTTTCAATGGACCGACGGTATGTTTGGTATGGCCTTGAGTCCGCCAAAAGAAGATGGCTCAAAAACACTCTACTTCCATCCAATGTCTGGAATTCACGAGTTCGCGGTGTCGACAAGCCTTATCAAGAATCAAACTGCCCTGGCTGATCCAAAATACTGGACCCAGTTCCACGTTGTAGGTAACAAAGGTCCACTCACTCAAGGAACTTCTTCAATGTACGACTTGGAAACTGGAATTATTTACTTCACCCAATTGAACAAAAATGCTGTGGCTTGCTGGGATACTAAAATGGACTTAAATCCTGATAATTTCAGTAATTATTTATTTATTATTATTCGGTAGATTAAAGCTGTTGATTGAAATGACAAGTGACCTTTGTACTAATTTGATGAATTATTTTCACAGGAATTGTAGCACAGGATAACGAGAAATTGGTTTTCCCGAATGACATAATAATTGAACCGAAAACACGGAAATTCTATTGCCTGTCCGATAATTTGCCCGTGCTTCAATACAGCGAGTACGACGTAAATCAAACTAATTTCTACATTCATGTCGCTTCGCTTGATGATTTGACAACCGCCTGCAGGGCCAAAGCTGAATAATTGCGGTTTTTTTTTAAAGCCACTGTGAATTAATATTAACTTTAAAATAATATTAAATAAATCTTTTAAGAGAAGATGCAATAATTATTGTATTTACTGATGACTGTATTATTTTTTCCATGAATTTTTTAATAGAATTACTTTTAAATAAATCAAGTGGGAAATAAAAGTTCATTATAAAATATCCAGCTAGAGTATTTAATTATAAATGAATTATTGTATTGTTAATGGATGGACAGTTGATTTATTCAACAATTTAAATCCTCATTAAAATTATTTATGTAATCAAAGGCGGAAATTAATAATAATAAACGAAAAGACATTATTGATGATTTTAATTAGAAGCTTCTGTATTGTTTTTATTTTCTAAAGTCAAGGATTTTTGGTGAAATTTAATTCACTTTGTTTTTTGTCGCAAGAATGAAGACACTTCAAGAAAGTATCAAGCAATAGGATACTTCTAGCTTTTGTAGCGTGGAATCTACTTCAATTACAGTCAGCATTACGAGAATAGATACGGGTCGAGGTAATAATGGGAGATTTATCGACTTTTTAGTAGTTACTTACGTTGAAATTGAAATAAAAAAAGAAATAGGGGAAATAAAAAAATTTGACAATCATGTGGGTTGAATTGTACACCAAGATACTGTTGCCTCTTATATAACGCAAATACGATTGGTATATAATTATGATTATTATCTTCTAAGACTTTTTTCAACAATACTGTGCTAGAAATAACAGACATAAGACAATTTTTTTGTTTTTATAAACAGTAGTCATTATAAATCAAATATTCTTAAAAATTTTTATATAATAATCTCTATTCAAAAGTAGAAGATATCTAAAACTTTGCTTGTAAATATAATTTATTAAATTTTTAAATAAATAAATTATTATTGAAATAATATTTAAAAAATTTCAATTATAATTCAAATAATTTGAAGTTAAAAAAAAGTTATTTTTAGTGAAAAAAAATAAGCAAATGTAATTTTTTAATATTTTCATAAAAATTAATTTATAAAAAATTAAATATCAATATTTTTTTATAAATGTATTTTTAATTATAAATTAATTAAAACACTAAACAGTTGTCTGATGTCTGTTACTTTTAATACAGTAAGCCATGCTCAAACATCAATATCAAACTTTCAAATTCAAATTAACTCACTTTTCCCGCCTTTTGCTCCAATAGCTGTTGGGCTCTTCGCTCCTACGAACTTCCTGTGTTAATGACAGAAATCTGGTATCCAAACTTCCTTAAATAAATAAATAAGACAATTATTTAATAAATTCATTAAAATTAAAAATTAATTATTTTATAAATACCTATTAAATCATTGTTTGTTGATAAATAACACTCAACACCCCGCACAATGTCAATGAAGCGTTCTAATTTAACAAAATACTAACTCAATATTAATTAACAACTCGTAAATATTATTACAAAATGACTACGAATTTCTATATAATCAATTAAACTCAATTTTTAATTAATAAACTTATTATTTATTCTGTATTTATGTAATTTAATACTCGTAAACATTAAAGAACGCGGTTTGAGTCACTCAATGGCCGGTTGGAAATTATTTGGGTTCTGCGCACGTCACTTGCGCATGGTCTGATCACAGGGCACTGCGACATCAGCGACGTTGTCGCACTCCGGCTTCATTCTCCCGCCAACCAAGTGACGCAGCTTTTCGGACTCGCGATTAAATTAGATAAATAATTATTTTTAAGTCAGTATTTAATAAAAATAATTATAGGTACTTACTCCCTAATATATAGGAAACAATTTGAGATAATTATTTAATCGACATCGCGAGAATAACTAGCTCAAATAATTAAATAAATTTTCGGCAATTTTAGCATTGACAGGTCCATAGTATGTCCGGTTTTTATGTTTGCGTCATTATTAATTACGTTTATTATTATATTATCCTTTTATTTATAATATCAAGAAATAATTTATAATTAAGTATTTATACGTGCAAGGTTTTTTTTTGTCAAATAACTAAAATTAAAATAATAAATTTCGGGCTCGATGGTGCCGCCATCTTGATTTCAACTTTCGAGATTTTTCCAACGGTCGTAAATGGCGGCAATTCGTGCGGACTATCGTTCTAGCTGTTATTTTATTGTATAATTTCGATTAATGCGCGGTAATTAATTATTATTTTTATCAAAATAACTTCATATATTTTTTTTAAGTAATCCTAGATAATAATTTTTATATACTTTTAATTTTTTTTTCGTTAAAATAAATTATGACAATTTTGGGATTTTATTTTCGGGATTTTTCCAATAATTACTCAAGCAATTCAATATTTCATGTTCAAAAAATAATCTTTAGAACTGCTAAATAATTATTTACTAATTTATTTATACTAAATAATAGTAATTTATTTTATAAAGTATCTATTTTAATTACCGGTGTTTGATTCGCTATATTTCAAAATAATTTGAAAGCTTCTCGGTCGTGCTGTTCTTTTTTCACGTCAAGTATAACCAAGTGTAAAGTGTCGATAGTTATAATTTTTTTTTTTTTCTAATAAAAGTGTTCAATTATTTGCGTTAAAAGTCTATTTGTAAATTCCACGGATAAAAATTTACTTAAGTGCAAGTTTTAGTTTTTATAATCAAAAAATTAATTTAAGTGTGACATAATTTATATCAGAATTGATTCTCAATCTACTTTCTCAGTGTTTCAAGTAAGTATTTTATTTTTTGCAATTTTTCTTCAACTGATTAATTAATTTTTTTTTTGTATGTTAGAAAATAATTCAAGAATCTGCATCAAGTATCCAGAGTCTAGATGACCTGATGATCTTCATCGGTGAGTCAGATAATTTTATTAATAAAATTACGAATAAAATAATACGAAAAAAAAATAGGTATAAATAATTACACAGGTTTAGAACATGATTAGTTATTTATTCAATAAGTTATTTGTCGCAAACATATTTCATTTTCATTTATTTATTATTTTTACAACGAGTACGAGAAATCGTGTGACAATTTTGTTAACTACACGATATTTCTCGGTCAAGAATCTAGACGTTTTCTATAAATTATGTTATCAGCATAATAATGATAATTACCATCATTATTATTTATATATTTATTCATATATTATAATATTTAATGTCGTAACTTCACTCCAGGAAGACGAGAACAGCGCACCGCACCGTCTTACAATATTCATTCATCCTCATTACCTATGCAATCAATTCAATCTATTAATTAATTATATTCACCAAAATCCTCGTGTACTTGACAGCGAGAATGTTTCCATGAACCAAAATTCCATTACATAATTCCTTTGACAAATTAATTAAATACTCAAAAGTATTATCAGTAACAATAATACACAATTGTTGCTTCTTACAATTATTTTATGTATAATTCTTATGATTAATATTATTAGACTTATTTACTGGGCGTACTAGCAGATGATACCGCCAAGTTTGGCGTGGGACTGCTACTACATGACCGACTTAGCAGTCTGTGCGGTTCGACGGTTAGAAAATTTAAGTCATTTGTTGGCTGTGCGTTCAGTATTTCCGGTTCAATTGGACTTGGACAGCGTCTATTACTACAATTTGATGCTGTTGTTCTAGACAGGGTGTGTAGAGGTATTTGATAGATTCTTAGTGGCTTTGAGTCACCGTGCGAATCTGAAAAAAATTATTTTGGTGTTGTAATTAGTCAATTTTGATTTTATTTTTTAGTTTATGTAGTTTTTTTCAGGGAAAAATTAATATTAGACCAATGATTAAATTACTGCCATAGACAATATTTTAATACTCGATTAATTTTACTGAAATGTTTAATTTTTTTAACAAAATTCATAAAAAATAATTTTTTTTTTTCAAATTAAAATTAAAATTAGAAAAATCATAATTTAAAAAAAATAATTAGAAACTTACTAGATATACTATTTTGTGCAGAGGGTGGACTGTGACTTCTGTCATCTTTATCAGTCTTGGTATCAACACGTATCCTCTCGCATTTAGACGCCATAAACTCCGGTGCAGTTGTAGCAAAATAAGTGTCATGCTTAGATGTTATAAGTGTCAAATTTGGCATACTTATAGTATGGACAAGATTACCATTGATGATTAAACGAATTTCCATAGTATCTGTTGTAAATGCAATAACATACGGAAAGGCACACGCGACAGTAATTGGTACAGAGTTCCAATTAAAATCAAACTCCGTTGACGCAGCAGTGTCTTCGGATAATTTTTGAAAATGACAGGTATTATTGTAACACAATAACAACTCCGGCTCCTCGTCTTCGCACAAATCCAGTGCTGCGACGATGTGCGGTTTCATTGATGCCTCCATGTGCAGGGATTTAGTAGCTCCGTCGACAGATATTAATTCAAAATGATGCCGCAGCCCACAACAGAGCAACCACTCGTTGTCTGATGCAGTACTTTCAATAATTGTTACCACTGACGGTGGCTCCGAGGCATTATATTCCTTTATGAAACGAAAACCCTCAACAGTGTCGGTGTCTGTTGAAGAGCACCATGTTGTCCAGGCTGCGTTGTGCTTCCATTGGAGCAGGGTTAATTTTCTACCCACTGCTATACACTGAAAAATTTTTTTTCATTTTAAAATTTAATTATTTTGAAAAAAACAATGGCTAATATTTTATTTTTTATAATTATTATTATATTTAAACTATTCTAATCAACAAAATTTAACTTTGAAACATTTTCAATTACACGAAAATAAACTATGGTCAATATCGGATATCCTGCGTGTGCTTGTTTCAATACTCCAAGTGTTTACTCAATATTAATTTACGAATTTAATTAAACTAATTTTTAATGATAAATTTATTTTTTAAACTTTGAATAATTTTTAGATAGAAAATAATTAAATTCAAATTTTAGTAATTGATTAATTTACTCTCACATTTTTTTAAATTATTATTTTCTTGATAAACTTTAAGAAAACCAAAAATATGCGAAAAAATTCTTGAATTGATTTGAATAATAAATAATAACATAATTACCATTCTCAAATGAGAGCCACCGGGTCTAGTAATACTGTAAAGTTGACAACCACGAGTCCTTTCTAATTTCCTCTCTTTAATATGTGACCGCGTTCGTATGATTGTCGGACGGTTCGAAGTACTAGGATTAGAGTTGGTAGTCATCGTGAAATTAGACGAAAAGCTGCCGGCAATATCCTCATCCTCTTCAAATGAATTGTAATCGATAGAGGTTGTATTGCTTTCTCCATTAAGCTCGCTCAATCGATATACATATACGTTGCTTTCTTTACCTTTGTCGCCAGTACGGAATAACAATATGCCATGTTGTTCCACAACATTCAATTGTTTAATTTGGACAGATTTATCGAAAAGTAGTCTATCGGGCAGCCCATCTGAAAAATAACCAGAAAAAATAATTAAAAACGAATAAAATGAAAACATCCACCGTTAAACGATCAAACATTTTTATTTTTAGCTTCACTTTGTGACACACTAATTTTAAAATTCTTCCTCAAGTTCTTGCTCTCAATCAACTTTTTTTTTCTTTTTTTTTTTTATATTTATAATAATAATTCTTAACTATTTTTATTTATAAGCGTTGTTACTCACTACTACTGAGGATATTAATCGACATTATAAATAATTATCTTACTACCTATTTACGCGGATTATGAATAAGTGATTGAAGCTTTTAATTAATCAACCATTTTAATTCATTGCTTCAATAATTGATAATCTCCTTATTTATTTATTAATATCGTGATTAAATATACACTATTTTTATCTTAGAAACATGATAAATTTTAATTTTTAGTCATCCGTTTCTTTTTTTAAATATATTTATTTGATACACGCGATGAATTATTATGAAATTTAATAGAGAGATAAAATTTATTTTTCAAACCCGATTGAAGCTTTAATTCCCACAAAAGAAAGTTTATATTAAATTCACATTTATATTATTCACATTTATATTATAATATTAATTATAAAGGGATTTATTTAAATCTGTAGAGATCAATTGAAGGCTTTGGATTTATGAATGATATATTTTTAAAAAATTATTTCTGTTGATTTAATCCGTTTAGAGAACAGTAAAAAAAATTACTAATTTCACGCGAATTAAATTAGCACTAGTACTCTATTCTCAAATTAAAAACCGACAGCTTTAATTTTTCATCTACCAAATATTAAATAAAAAGCAAATGCGATAATTCTAGTTATAAATAAAAATAAAACACAAACCTTCTACGAGGAATGTCCCATTTTCAGAGGCTAAAATTAATTTGTTATCTGACCAAATGTCACCGCAAACCAACTCATGATGAAAGTCGGGATATATACAACGGGGCTCCCAGGGCCTTGGTTTAAGTGGTCCGACAGTTGCTAGAGATGTTGGTGCAAGTCCTCGAACGATTGCATCGAGTTTTAGATCCTGTCCAATTCTAACCATTTCCACAGATCGTGTCTCCTCCCTTCTGCGTCCTGCTGTTTCAACCACATCCGAAAGTGCGCGTCGATTCAACATACTCTAAAAGCATCAGTAGGTGGTACCCTTTCATTGCACAGAAACTACTTTACTTAATCAATAACAATAAAAATAATTAAAAAAAAAAAATAGTAATAATAATAGTAATAGCATCAATACTACTGATAAAATATTCCGAGTAAATTTATTGAAGTACAGAGAATAGAATAAAATAGTGTAAAACCAGACGTTTTATATTTAATCATTAGATAAGACTTATCAAACATCTGGACACTTTGTATGCATATATAAAAAGTGTATATTTATAGTTTTTTCAAATATTTATGATTATGATAAATATACTCGGTGTTTTTTAAAAATTAGGTCAGGTTATTTATTGCCTTTAATTACTTTGTTTAATTATCAGAGTAAGAATAAAGTTTATAATTAATTTTCTAAGGTTAAAGTTAATATACCGGGGGGTTAAAATACAATGTTTTATCTTACGTACGGAACTTACGTTCCCTTTACTCTCTTGGGTGTGCTCCTGGTACAAATCCCTAAGTAATGAGTCCAGTGTACGCTCGCGTTTCCGTGAAAATGTCGGTGTATCAAATGTAGCTTTTTCCCCGTTAATCAGCTTTACGAGAAGAAATTCTCGAAAGGCGTACTGTTCCTCGAAAAGTGGAGGACACGGCAAACTTGGCCCAAACAGCGGCACGTTCTCGTCACAGTAGATGGCTATTTGCCAACCTCGTTCCACACTTGCCACTACTGCAAATACATCTGGAAAAGAAGAGATAAATAATCAAATAAATAGGACTTTTTTTTTTTTTTTTTTTAGAAGAGTGCTATCAAATATATTATTCTATCACGTCTAAATCCGTAGTCTGAAATACTAATTTGAATATATTATTATTATTTTATTATTGAAAGTAACGTCGGATTTATTTTTTAATTTTTAATAAAAATTCAGAGTGTACTCACGTGTAAATTGACTTTTTATGCAATTGGGATTAAAAGTCTCGAGTAGAGTGGGATCGTCGGTGTAAATAATGTTTACAATGTCATTTCCAATGTGTCTTTTGCGCTCTAATTGCTGAGGATTGTCTTTAGAGTGAGGCAATATTGTGCTAACGTGGAACATAACTTCATGACCTGCGTAGACCGTGTAAATACTCTCTTTTCCCGTCATATCGCCTGGCAAATTAAATAAAATTGAGCTATTATTATTATTTTTATTTAAAAAAATTTCTTTCGTCGTTTTGCCTCTGACATAGAGTATCAAGTACTCTTAATCTCAGCTTTTAACGTCTAAGTATTTGACGATGAATAAAATACATCAGAGAAAATTCATCTCAGTTTAAATTTAACGCCCACCTTTGACATCCAGACCACCTCTGTACTTGTCCCAACCCTTAAGGCGAATTCGTTCGCCGAGAATCTCTAAGAACCTCTCGAACCCAGGACTTGCCTTCTCTGTTGAGGATAGAGATAATAAAAAACATAAAAATCGATCGATTAGTCCCTTTTTTATCCCAAGTTTTTACTACTTTGTAAAGAAATTCTCATTTTTTTTATATTACTCTTGAGATCTGTACTCTTACCATTAGAAAGCATCTCGTCGTCGGTCGTCTGGCCCTCCCGGGCGTATATAACACCAAATTTAAAATTCACTGAGCCCTCTTGCTCCTCCAGTGACAAAAGATCCTGTTGAATCAGTGAATTTTAATATATTATGGATACTTTATGCCGGGTAGAGAATGTCATACATAAAATGTTCTCCAAGGGCTATACATACACAGATATATACTTACTTTTTGAATCTCTGGAGCGAAGATCTCGCGTGGCGCTTTATCAAATTTTTCTATTCCAAAAAAATTGCTGCAAAGACAGAAAATAATCATGTCAATATTTTTTTTTAGACAAAAAATTCTATATTTTGTTTAAAAAAATTGGTTTTTTCTTTTTACCTTAAAATTTGCTTAGCAGTCATCGATTTGTTGGACGAACATGGCAATGCAATTTTTTGCGTTCCCTGTTGGGAAACCAAATGAAGCCAATGGATTAATAATTACTTATTTTTAATTAATTAAAATTAAAATTAATAATAATAATAAACAAGTTTATATTATGAGAACTCACAGTTCGTCTCCAGAGGATGACTCTAATGTATTGTGGCACACATTGATCACCACCGTCATTCTGGACGACTGACAAAAAAAGTGGATTTCTCTCGTGGTCTGACGCAACGTAATTCTGATGAACTTTATCGTTAACATTGCCGTCGACAATTCGCCATCGGATAAAGTTTTAAAGCCAAAACCAAGACCAAGAAGAGGAATAACAAAATGAGTAAAACATAATTTACAGATGTATAAAATTATAAAGTTTTAGCCAAAGTTTGTTAGCGTTAAATTATTTAAAACTCAATACTCACGTTTCCCGAGGAAATATTTGAAGTACCAACGTGTCTGGTTTTCCGGATTCTCGAGCACTGGAGTGCTGGGTGACCCGAACATCTGATGGAACATTTCAATACAAACTTTCAGCGGTGATTTGCATTTTATATTTTAATATTTACTTTTCCTGTTATCGATTTTAGTAGCTAATCTAAATTTTACTTTTTTATTTATTCGTTCAATTTATTTCGTGTATAAATGTTCGCGATGGAAAAGACCGTTGGGATCGAAGTTCTCGAAATTCAACGTTTTAGAATTTATACTTTAAATTGGGGCGTTTATTTGATTGCTAACCATCAGTTTATTACAGAAAATTCAATTTCTAACATGTTTCATAATTTTTATTTATATTTCTATTACTTTATCAAAAAATTCAATTTTTAATTTAAAAAATCAATTCAAAATTTTCTTTACGAATTTAATGGTATTTTTTATGAAAAATAATTTTTTTTATACATGTGTAGGTATGTAACAGGGTGAGAATTGACCTGTAAAAATCATAAATGTCAATAAATTTGACATTTTCATAAAGCAAATGTAAAAAATGTCCCTCATATCTTCAAAGATATTTATCATGCTATATTTTCATCACTTGGAAAAATTTTTAATTTTTTTCTATTAATTTTGCATATCTTTTATCTTTTAAAAAACAGAAAATTAACTTTACCAAAAATTATAAACATCTTGAATCACAATCGTAGTGAATAATTTGTATTTATCTAAGAAATATAAATATTAAAATTCATACCTCTTCTTTTTCGCCTGGCGAGTCTCCATTCTCCACGCGAAATCTTCGTCCATTCTCTATGCCGTCTTGTTCGATTTGCGGCAGCTAATCAGAAGAATATTAAATCTTAACTTTTAAATCCTATTATAACTTTTTTTATAAAATTAAAAACAGAAAGTCACCATTTCTACGCTTCCGTAACATCTTCTTGACAAGACACCGCGCCTTGATGTTGTGTCTGTCGAGGATCTGTAAAAATAAAATGACAACCATTAGTTGGTTAATCGCCGGTATATCCGAGCGTCTTATCAAATATTGCAAATTCTTTATCAGTGCTTAGCTCACAAATAAATAGGTCACAAAAATCTGTGTCAAAGTTATCCCGAGTAGCTCTGCCAAATATCTAGGATATTTGGGGTCAATATCTTCGCGTTTATTGGGGTGAAACGGGCGAAACTTTATATTTTATTGTTAGTTTCTTTGAGTTTCAGTTTCAGTTTTAGTTTGAGTTATGTCATTTTGGGTTAGGTCATACTCGTACCAGTAGCAATAGTAATAATAATGAAATTTTTCAATTTTCTTCTCAGAAATATTACTTTTTATCTGAATTGTTGTAAGAAGTTGTTAGCGTTGCAGTAAAAAAAATTAATATCATAAGTATAACTTATGCGATTTTTTTTTTATTTCTAATCCAATTAAAAGAAAGGAAAAAATTTTATTTGTCTGACCGTAAAAGTTATTTCAACTTTACCAAGTTGACTCTAATTTTAGACAGCTATAAAATTATTGATTTATTTTAATGAACACCAGTTGAGAGTGGAAACTTTTTTAGCAAGAAAATATTTTTCTGTCTTTAGTAAGATAATTTGTTAAATAAAAGTACAATGCTTTTTTATGATGTTAGTAATTATTTTTACACCAACTTTTAATAACTTTTAAGTTTAAATTCATGACTGCGGGTAAAAAAATATGCTTAAGTACTTTTGATAAAACAATACCAAAGTTCTCATTCGTAATCAGAAAACGTTTTAAATAATTCGAAGAACATTGACCCCAATTCTATTAAGGATCGATTAAATCCTTTCCAAGATATTTAATTATAAAATTACGAAATTCCATTATCAAGCGCTTAATTAATTTTATCCGTGATAATAATAAACAATTAAAAATTACTCAGCTGTTCTTCATTTATAATTATAATAACAACAATTATTATTGTCAATGTTATTATTATTATGCTCCGATAAATATGACAGTACATTTACAATTTATTCCCAGGTCTCGGACTGTCATATTCAATTAAAAGTAGCCTTTGAATGTTTCTGTCGACATGGTACATTTCTCCACAGTTATTAATTTATCATTTTCAATTCTCTGGTTTTTGTAACTCTTATTTATCACTACTATTTTTTTACATCTCTTAACAACTTATTTAGGTTAATAAGAACTCTATTGAGGTCATATTCTTCTGTGGTACATGACACACAGTCGTGAAAAAGCAAATGAACTTTAGCATAATTTAGAATATTGATTTTTATGTTACGACCTCTGGTCTCTGGTTAGAAAAATTGTCATTTATTTTCGAGAGGTTAAATGAACCTCGGAAATTTTTTAATCAAATAATTGATGAAAAATAAAAATTAGAATAATTATTTTTAATAGAAAAATAATATTTTCTTATTCAATTTAAATAAAGTTGATGTCTCTTTTATTTTCAAGAATTTTTTTACTTAATTAAAATAGTTTTTTCTGTTTTTAAACTAAGTTTGATTAAAAAAATATTATTTTAATTAATAGATTTTTGTATAAAAAATTTTTCCAATAATTTTTCAATTTAAAAAAAAAATTCCAAGCTTTTATTTCTTGTCTCTAATAAAATAAAAACAAATTATGTAAAAATAAATAATAACCGTAATATTTACTGTATTACAAAATGGTTTAATTACTCAAACGTAATTGCAATACATTCATTCAAAGTTTAAAATTATGGACAAATTGATTTTCATTCATCCCATTTAACGATAATATAATAACCGAGAATAATCCTGGATTTGAAAAGCCCGTATTATTAAATATCCTCTACACTACATCTACATATTCACATATATATATTAACACAAATGCAGAGAGCAAGAAGTATTAAATAGTGTAGTGTGCATTCAAGAGACTGAATAATAATGTATAGAATCTGGACAATAGAAGTAATTTCAATGAACCTGCTATTTTTTCACCTTTTATTTGTATTCGTATTTCTATTTCTATTCCATTACACCATTTATACCTTTCAAACTTTATAACAATAAAGAACCTACACATGATGACTGGCTCGTCGATGAAGGTGTCTTAGTTGTGACGAAGTCAAGACCGGCATGCAAACCGATCTAGATCGATCGCGAACAATTCTCGGGGAAGTAATTTCTTCGTCGCTCTCACGGTCGCTGGTACATGGACTGACATTGTTTCCACTTTCACGGCTTCTACGCCGCTCATTTAATGACGATACTGATGACGATGTCGTGCTTCCAACTTGCACTTGGCTGGATAATATTGTCGGGGCTGGAGACGGCGGCGTTGAACTTGTGTTATTGCTTCCCGATGAGTTTGATGTTAATGACAAACCTCGTAATCGCGTTACTAACTTCATGTCTAAACTCAGCATCACTTTTCAAACAAACAATCGTTTTTCACTTTCTCGTTTTTTTTTTCCTTTTTTATAATAAATCTTTTGCTGATAATTCATTACTATTAATATTATATCATCTCCTGTAAATTAATTACGAAAATTGATATCGTGTCTCGGAGAAAAACGAATCCGAAGATTTCATTAGTCATCTATATATCGTGAGAGACATCAAAAAAACATTTTTGGTAATATTTTATCTTATAAAAACAAAAATTTACTGATTTTTAATCTCAAATTTATTTTTATTGATTTAAATATGAAACATTCATCAATAATGTTTCATTCGGTGATATCTGAATTTCTACAATTGAATCAAAAAATCTATAGCAATAAATAAATTTTATCAGCAAAAGAATAATCTCCAAAAATATTATTGAAAGATAAAAAAATGTCAACGATAAATATTCGAATAATATTTAATATTTAATGGCTTTGAAATAAATTGTCAGATTGTATAGAACGGAAACAAATTTAGGTCGCATATTGCGTTTGCGTTAATTGTTTGAGTTCATGTCAAGGGTGATTTATCTTTGAACATTTTTTTTTTTAATATTTTTGTACACTTCAATCCACTGGCATGAATTAAGCTTGGTGTAGTCTACGGTATTTTTTATTAACGCTATTTTATGGAAGGGACTCGCACATGTAGAAGCGGCTATCTTTTGTCCTTGATATTTGATATCGGGTAATAGATTGTAGTGCTTTCGATTGAGTAAAACTGAATAGAACAGACCTAACTGTGACTCAAAATTGGGTGTACACGAATCGACGTGACTATCCTCATGCCGGCACTCATTTATTTCTCTTCCGCTCTGTTTCGCTCTACTAAACCACTGATAGTTACTTCTCTAACTATATAGACACATATTCAATACACAATATATGGTGTATAATATATTATGGGATACAATATAATACAATATAATATGGGATGGAATATGCATTTAGCCATTATGTGTGCAAATAGCCAGTTTGAGAACATACATATAGATCGGATATGTCTTCGCATTAAATTATATTGGCTGATCACCATTATCATCGGCACGAGCATAATCGCGGTCGACTGTATGCCTATACAGCTGCGGTGTTGACCTCACAGGATCAATTATCTTGTAAAGATCAATCGAACATCATTACCAGTAGGACCTCATGCTAATAACTGTTGTTCGCTCAATTTATCGCGCTGTTTTCATTCTTCTTGATTATAATTATTAAAATAAATCATGTCAGAATTAAATTTCAATCAAGTTTTTAGTTTTTAGTCCTGGTGGAATATTTTACACAAAAAAAAATTTTTTTTAAACTAAAACTTTCATTGAAAAATATAATTTTCTCAAATTAACAATATTTTTATTTTTCTTTAAGTTTTTTTTATTAAAAATAGCCAAAAAATTTTTTTTTCACTCGAAATCATTCTAAAATATATTAAAGATTTATTTTTTAATGAAATATAAGTTATTTTGATTGAAAATAATAAACTACTTCGTTGAATTGCGAATTTTTGGTCTTCGTAATTAATTAGTTTTATATTTTCTACAGTCGCGAATTAATTTTTTGAATTATTTTCTAAGAAATAGTAGAATTTTAAAAAGATTTTTCTTGAATTAAGAATTTTTATATCAGATGGAAGTAATTCATTTTATTTTATTATTTATGCAAAGTATTAAAGATCTACTTAATAGTTTATCGATTTTAAAAGCAAGTTATTCATTTATTGAATATAAAAGTATATGCAGACTTTATTTTATTACTATTGGAAATATCTGGTCTATAATAGGTTTCAAAATATTCTTTTTATTTAAATACCGATTCATTAGAACTGACAATTTTATTGAATCTGAGCAATTTGAGTATTGGTATTAAATTAAGTCAATTATTGAAGATTAGATTTATTCAAAAAAGTTTTGAAGCGTTTATAAAATATTTAATACGAATAAATTAGAAAAAAAAATTCAATTTACATGTCTATAAAAAATAAGAGATCAATTGAACAGTACTTAGATGTTCAAATATTTTCAATGATTTTTAAATAAAATTTTCTGCAAAAGTAGGTTACTTGTTATTATTGTGATTTTATAATAAAAAGTACACGAGTTAAACAATAAATATTATAAATTATGAATTAATCATAAAGAAATCTGACATTAGCGTATGGCTTTTAATCTTATTTACATACTCAACGGTAAAGAATTATAGCCATTGTGAGTCCGGAACAGAAATATAAATTCAAGAAAAATACTTCTCCGTATTTTGATGGAACAATCTATTCTCAGTTATTTAATTTGTCCTTACGTCTATATTTGATTCAAAGCTCGCGAAACGACAGAAAGTAATAAATTTTATAAAAAAAAAGAGAAAAATAAAATGTAGAAATTGATTTAGACCAGAAGTGAAGCCTGATTGTACTTCCGATATCCTCATTTATTTTTATCGAGTGGCCCAAGTTTTTCGAACTCCTTGAGTGGATTAATCAATAACCTTTAATTTTAATTTTGATAATTATTAAAAACGAACGCGCGTTAAAACAAAGCTCTAACAATTTATCGATCAAACTTTTATCATCGGAAGTTAAAAAAAAAAATGAATGGATGATTCACTAAAGTTGATAAAAATCTGAGGTCAAGACTCTCGTCCTCGTAGATTCAATAATCCCGTGTCAGTGTTTTGTTGTTGTTGTCGTTTTCGTTGTTGAATATTTAATATTTAAATCGCGACTTTTCAGCTCGGATAGAGATAAAATTCTCTGTTTTTTAATTTCACTAGAAAACACTCAAACTCTAACGTTAATCCCCTTTGAGAGGGTTAATCTCTGCGACGCAGACCGTAGACCGAGCTGGCACTTTACTAGTGTAGTTTAGGGACTACTATTCTGTTATATCATACATAGATACAGAACTACCCTACTACACTACTACTGTCTATATACTAGTCTCTAGTCTGGTGTAATTCTGGGATTACCGTAAAACTTAAGCTGCCTAGACAGTAGTCGGGGTGCCATGGGCTTTTATCTATCTCACAACTGCTGATAATTTACTTCCCTATACAATATATCTCATATCTCTTTCACATTTTTTTATCATCCTCATTCTCATAATCTTGCCTCTATTCACTTTTATCTTTTTTGTCAATTTTTACTCTATTCAATATTTGAACTCTTTGTTTTTTAAGATTTTTAGAATGCATTCGAATCTGTTCTAGTTTTACATTAAAAATTTTTATTCATATGTTTTATGGATTAAAATTCATTATCTATTGAAAATTAGAAACTTTTTTTCCGAGCAAAAATTATTTTATTTAATTGATTATTGACTAAACTCAAAACTTTGGTAATTTCAATATTTCGCGAGGAAACTTTAATTTTCTACAAATTTACTTTTATGACTTTGATTTATATCGAACTTTATAGACAGAATCGTGCAAAGTGAATCTACTAAAATTTAATTGATATAATAAAAAAAACTTTGTGCTAAAAAAAAATGGCCTTGATGGAGCATAACCTTCAAGGCTATCACATAAAAAATAAATAATACCAAGGGATAGACTTGAAAGGTGTCAAAAAGATTTTGCTGGTCCTTTTTTTTATGACACAATTTTTCTTTGTTTCTATACTTTTTAATCTCATAATTTAGTTCAGTAAAAAGACACTTTTTTTTTTTAATTTATACATTTTTGATAGCAAATTTTTTCATTTTTATAAATTTTTGATAAGAATAATTTGAATTAAAAATTTCAAAAAAATTTGATAATAAATTTTTTTACATACGAAATGTTGATCATACAATTTATTTAAACTTGACTTTGTCCACTTCATTATTCATATTCTTCAAAATTAAATTTCATAAGTTATGACTTCTAAAATTAAAAATGACCAATTTTCCCGCGAAAATAATTAAAGAAAAAATATATATATAAAATTTAACTCGACATAGTCCTTGAATATTAGCCATAACAATAATTATTCAATACCCAATTATCTAACAGCAAATTAGTTAATTAAAGCGCGTATCAAAATTAATTAATCTCATCGTGCTTCAATTTCAATTAATTTTTTTAGTAATAATTAATTAAATTTAATTATATCTAATCAGCGATTTAAACAATACCGAATTTTAATTACCACCACAAAAGACTCTGACATTTACGAAAAAATACCCGGATGAATTCTTTAAATTAAATAAAATAAAATAAAAAAATCCCGGTTAAAAATGTAAATATTTATAAAAACTTTTAAATAGAAAACAATAATTACAGTCTTGTCGTGGATCATAACTAGTTAGTTATTTTTATTATTATTGATACGGTATTTACAAAGATCTCGAGATGACAAGTTAATAATTAAATATCTCAATACTTGATTAAGTGTTACAACACGTTGCGCTTGATATAACACGTTGATGATGACAACAGAGTAACTAGATCGTGGCCCGAATAGAATACGTTCACGAGACAAGAAGTAAGTGAGAAGGCTGTGTAGCACCACGCCGCACGGACTCCCAACCCCTACTGAGCGGCAACCCCGATTCTGCTGGCACCCCTGTGCTTCATACTCTTCAACCACCAACACGTACATCCGCTCTACCACCAACATTGTGTCCATGTGTGTCTATATTCAATGTATACATTTGTTTAGTGTAGGTGGTGAAGAAAGAGTAAGACTGAAGTAAAGGGTATATCACTAAAACGCGATTGTCTACTTACTCAAGACGTTACTTTATGAGTTAGCCCCTTTTATTTCTTTCGCCACAACGTCTATCTTCTATCCTCTCCATGTACATGACAAGACACATAAAGACGTGAATCCTCTTATTCAGGCACATACCAATCACAATTGTACATATGCTTGTTTGGTATCTGTGTATGGGTAGTACTTATATGAGTAAGAGTATGAGTATGAGGGAAAAAGTTTAAAAAGTGTTGTACAACTGCTGTCGCTAAACCTTAGCCAAGTTCACTGACTTTACGACCTAGTACACCGT